TTCATTCACATAATAATTTTGATCAGGTTTCAAGAGTTTTACCGTCAAAATCGATTGGATATATTTTGCAATGTCTAGCTCTCCCGATTTGATCAGGTCTTCTAGAGAGCTGCCATGGTCCAAAAGAATTCAATACATCAGCATGTATAGATCAAATGAGTTCCCATATTCAACCACAAAAACGTTGAATTTCATAGCTCCATGTGTTTACCTAGCACTAGTAAAGGAGCATAGCATGTCTATAATATTCAAGAATCATAAAAATTTATGCTTGATGCCTAAACAAACCTTGTATAAATCTTAGCTGAGGCAGCAAGTATGGCAGTTCAGTTCTGTGGTCTGAAGTTATGTATCTTTAATCCCAGCAGCACAAATAGCAAAAAAACAGTAAAAATAACTAGAGAAAAGAAAAACAGAAATAGATATCAAAATATGATCTCAATTATCGCTACTGGGTTAATTATACTTTTTGTTCATTTATCCTCTAAAACGGGAACTTGCTTCTCTTTGCTGCAGCAACTAGCTAGTTGGGTTGACTCAACTCTGTATTTCCCCATGAATTGTATGGTAGGCAACACTTAAAAGAGAAACATAAATAAGTTCGGGCAACACAAATAGTAGTCTTAAGTTCCTAATTACAATCATGGGTTTACTGAGATTTTAGAGAGATGAACATCTGACCTTACCTGACAACTACAAGCGAGAAAACAAAGTTATTGTTAAAACATCAGCTTAGTTTCCCAAGAATGAGCATGCTACGAAATTGGAAAAAATGAAAAATTGCACTTCTTATTGGTGGACCAGGGGGAAACAAAGTAGAGTTAATAAAATTGAAAAAATCCAAAAATTGCACTTCTTAAGCAGCAACTTTACAGAGGCCCAACATACCTCACTGACCCCAACTCCAGCTAACTTGCATAGTAAAAGACAGCATTACCTCTGCATATTACATTCTCTGAGTAGGACGTATGATAACTCTCTTCTCCAAAAAAAAAAAAAAAAAATACAAAAAACTTCTCCCAACTCCTTCTATCTGCTAATTTAAGCATCAAAAGGATTTTCTGTTTGTGAATGGCACTTTTTTTTTTTTTTTACTTTACCGATAATCATTCTTTAGCTTATCCAAGACAAGGACGACTCAAAGAAATTCTAACCTCATCAATAACTGCCTACAAACTACTAAAATGCCAAAAAAAAAAATAATAATAATAATAACTAAGTTTTGGGTGGAAAAGAAAAATGAGGTTAATCTAATAAACAATTGAAAACTTAAATATAGTATGTAATTAGAAATATAAAAATCGATTGAAAACTCATGTTATTATATAAGTATGTATTGAATTATTTATACTAAAAAATATCATAACCTGACCCACTTCCATCATTTGAATGTTAATTTGCTGCCACGTGAAATGAAAAATAATATAAGTGAAAGGTAATGATAAATCCATTACTGTTTCAACAAATCATGGGGAGTCCAAGATAAATCCATTGCTGTTTCAAAATTAATCCAATACAAGCAAAAAAGTAATGGATTTAAAATGAAGAAATGAAAATGTAGGTTGGTTATCCCATGCTCTTGAATAAATTATAAATTAATCTCTCTAGTTTTGCCAAACAAATTTAATTGGTCGAAAATCTTATGTTTGTGTTTTCTTCAATTTTCATGCTCAAAATCTAACTTATTTTTTTTGTAACAACAAGCTTTACTAAGTTTAATTTGAGATTTTATAACTAAAAATAGTTTTTTTAATTTTTATCAAATTTTAAAATAACAAAATAATTTCAGTAGAAAGTTCCTTACGACAAAAGATAAAAAATATATAATTTGGTATTCAAGCACATCATCAATTAACAAAAAAATTAACTAAAGCATTTGATAGATAGTTTTGAAAAAATTAATATACTTAATCTTAAAAAAAAAATTAACATTCATGTATGCAATTGAGAAAAAAAAATGGTAAATTTCTAATTTAGTATTTTAAAGATAACGAACACGTCATCGCTTAATAAAAAAATTAATGAAAGTACATAATTGATAGTTTTGAAAAAATTAATGTGCTCAAATGAAAAAAAAAATTAAAGTTTATATGCTTGATTTAGAAAATATTAAAACTTGGTATATTTATATTGTAATTATCTTAAATTTAGATTTAATCTAAGGTAAAAATTTTAGCTTTTAACTTATGAATTCTAACTTATTCTTTAAAAAAAATTATTTTCAGTCATCTTTACCAAACATACTTCTAACTTAAAATCATTTTAACTCTTTTTTTTTATGTCATAAATTGTTCATGAAAATAGCTTATAAATTATGACTTAAGTAATAAGTTACTTTTCATAAATCATACCAAACATACTTTAAAACATTTTAATAATATTCAATCAATAAAATCATATAGTGATTAAAAAATACAAAGCCAAATTCACTTAAGTTTGAATCAGTAAAAATAGTGTTATCATATCTAATAAAATTAGCATATTTACGCATGTTGGCTTTGTTTTTACATTTTGAAATCATCCTATATGCTAAAACAAAACGATTTTTTATTGTAGCAATGAACAATGTTATAGTGATTGTTCACTGCTACAGTGCTTTAGTTTTTTTTAATTTTTTTTGGCTAGCGGAGCCTCCCCCTTAGTTTACTATTCATATGAACAGTAAACAACTTTTTCTCTCCTCCTTTTTTTTTCCTTTATAAACATTGGACTTTTTTTTAATTTCCATCCGTACTGTTCACGTGAACAGTAAACGCTGGCTCTCATTTTTTTTTTTAATTGAACTTTTTTTTAATTTATGTTTCTTAATAATATTGGGTGTTAAAATTTTAAAGGAACCAATAATTAATTGGGTGTTAAAATTTTAAAGAAACCAATAATTTATTTCCTTTATTATTTATTTCTAAAATTAAAAACACAAATAAAAAATAGTTAAATATAATATTTTTTGATGAAAAAATTATAATTATTTTTTATCATAAAATAAATTATTAAACTGAAATAATTTTTTTAAATAATTTTATATATTTTATTCAACACACAGCTGTAACGCTGGTCAAAAATCTAGTTAATTATCTATAACAAAATTTTATTCTTCTAATTTTAAGCAAATTTGATTTTGTATTTAATGTTTTCAATTATCGAACTTTGTAATGATTCACGTGAATTTTTCTTTTCTCTTTCTTCTGACAAAGCAAAGCGGCCACAGTCGCATCCTCAACTGAGGGAAGAAGGCAGGCCTCCAAGAGCAAAAGGTCCCCTGCCAACTCACCCCTTGGTCGCCTCCTCACCTGGTTAGATAGGGCGGCAATGCCCCTATCATCTACTCTTTAAAATGGGCCGACCGAGATGCCGTCAGCGTTCACGGAGCGATGGATTAAAGACAATTTGCTATTAAAGCGGTAAGGCGCTTGCTTGGGACACAAAGACGAGAGAAAAAGAATGATTGCTATTTGTCCTACTTTTCTTCCACTTTATTCCATTCCGTTACATTACTTTTGCCAAAGAAATAATGGGTCCAAATTCCTATACTATTTCAGCCTACCGAAAGAAAAGACTTAAGAACCTTATTTCCACCATCTAGATTATGGATCACTTTCCCGCTTGATTTGTAAAATGACATAACCTGCCAAAGCGCTCTTTCGATAGCATAGCTTAGTTTCAATCTTATTAGGTTTTTTTATCTATATTACGGTATGAGTCGAATAAAACATATAAAATTATTTATATTTAATACTTTATATTATATTATATATATATCAAAATATATCAAATCAAGATTAAATAAAAATTTATTTAATTTTATAATTTTTTAAATCAAAATTTTGAATTTAACTGATTATTTTTTATATTTTTCATGAACTTTTGAAACATTATTAATATATCTCTATCCATAAACTAAAAAAATTTATAATAGTATAAAAAATATCTAAATCAATAGATTATTAACTAAAAACTTATTTTATAAATTATTTTTTAAAAATATTTTTTTCCTTAAAATTTTTAATTAAAAAAAAAAGAAAAAAAGGGTCAAAGTGTTCAAAATGGAAACAAAAAAAGAGGAACCATAATGAAATAAAAAACATTTACGAATTAAAAAAAAATGATTGAAAAAGAAGAACTAAAGTGTAATGTCACAAAAAATTTCATAATAAATATCTTTAAAATATTTGAAAAATATAATAATACCATTGCACTATACAGTAAAAGACTAGTTCATTTGAGTCTTTATGAATAATACAAATGAGTTTGAATAAACAATGTTTTAAATAGCATAATAAATAATGTTTTAAATAATAGAGTGAATAGTAACTTATCATTTTACTTTAGTTTTTTTTGTTAACATTAATCTCAAGGTAGAAAAGCGCCTGTATGACCCAGACAACGTTCTAGGCATAGGAGGATCAGAGTAACAAGGAGAAAGAGATCATTGAGAAAATAATAATAATAATAATTGAAACTTTTTATTTATTAAAATTACTTTTTTTTTTTTTGTGTGTGTTTTTCCTAATTTTTCAAGTGAATTTGCTTTCAAAATCAAAATTTGTACGTAAATCTTTAAATGAATCACGCCATAATTTTTTGTAGGGAGTTAATCATAAATTATCTATACTTTTGAAGAAAAATTGAAGCTTAGATCACAAAAAGTCATTTTCTCTTAATTTTGATAGCTTTTTTAGCGAGTTAATCATAAACTATCTATACCTTTGGGGAAAAAATGAAGTTTATATGATAATAAGTCATTTTCTATTAATTTTGATAGCTTACAGAGGTATATAGAAGAACTTTATTGATAAATGAATGAAACGAAAAGAGAGAATTGATAAATAATAAATACTTTTGAGCATAAATTGATAAAATTCATATAGTTCAGGGAGAGAAATGAAATTTACCCCAAAAGGGGGTCAAAACCGAATATAGCCGATGAACAATAAAAGCTACCCATCGAGGAAGCACCACCGAACGGAACAACCAACCAAAATCCCAATTCCTCTCCACAAATGGAGCAAGAAAATCTCCCAACCCATGAAGCAGAACTCCACTTTTGGGGAAATACCCCAGAAGAAGAGCACTACAAAAAACAAGGCATTAACGCCTCAAAATCATTTTACAAATCACCAAGAGGCCTCTCTCTATTCAGAAGATCATGGCTGCCAAGCTCCACCAATCCTCCACGCGGCGTCATGTGTATGGTTCATGGGTACGGAAACGACATTAGCTGGACTTTTCAGTCCACAGCTATCTTCCTTGCCCAGATGGGTTATGTCTGCTTTGGACTTGACATTGAAGGCCATGGTAAGTCTCAAGGCCTTAGGGGTTATGTACCCAATGTTGATCTTGTCGTTCAAGATTGTCTTTCTTTCTTTGATTCCATCAAGAGTGATCCACAGTTTCATGGGTTGCCTTTTTTTTTATATGGTGAATCAATGGGGGCTGCTATTTGTCTTTTGATTCATTTGGCAAACCCTAAAGGGTTTGATGGTGCAGTTTTGGTTGCCCCCATGTGCAAAATTTCTGATAATGTGAAACCCCGTTGGCCGATTCCTGAGGTTTTGACACTTCTGGCAAAATTTTTGCCTACTTTACCTATTGTTCCAACTGCTGATATTATGCATGAGTCAATAAAAGTTGAGAGAAAATTGCGAATTGCAGAAATGAATCCGACGAGATATAGGGGAAAACCAAGATTGGGAACTGTTGTGGAGCTTTTGAAGGTTACTGATTATTTGAGTCAAAATTTGAGGAAAGTTACTATTCCGTTTATTTTGTTACATGGGAGCATGGATGTTGTCACCGATCCAAATGTGAGCAGAAGTTTGTACGAGGAGGCTAATAGCAAAGACAAGACGATAAAGATTTATGATGGAATGGTGCATTCTTTGCTGTTCGGTGAAACTGATGAGAATATTGAAATTGTTCGTCATGATATTATATCTTGGTTGAATGATAGATGCAAGAAAAACTAGCAGCAAGTTTATGTCGTTTTATTATTGCTGCTTGATTGTCTAGTCGTGGTTGTTTCTTTGTTCTATTTAGGAGTTGCAAATAAAGAAGCGTACTTCAAATAAATGTTTTTCGCTCATGGCGAAGATTTAGCTTTCTGGTGTTTGATTGAAATCCCGCACTGACATTGAGTACCAATTCATCAGTCTTGTCTGCTATCGGAAAATACTGCTTTCTAATGAAACCTTAGATTATATAATTATGCTTCTTGGAATCCATTGTTTACTTATCTTATGTTGTCCAAGTATCAGCGGTGAACTGACTAGCAAATTAGAGGATTGGCGTAGTTTGGCAAAATCAGGGTTCTCTTAGAACCGGCGTTGATGACTTGCCTTATAACTAAGACCAGAGATGCACTTTAATATCAGAGCAGGTGAACTTGTCTGAAAATATGACCAGAAGGCAGTCAAGCATCCATTCCAGTGTGCTTATAGAACTAGTCTGGCCATACTCTTGCCACTGCTTTGCATTGGTATTTTTGGCGAGATCAATATGATACAAATATATATATATAAAATAAAATAAGGAAAAAATAGGTCCCACCGAGATTTGAACTCGGGTTACTGGATTCAGAGTCCAATGTCCTGACCACTAGACCATGGGACCAGTTGTGATCAACGTACCTACTTTTCTTTCATGATACAAATGAAAGAAGATATACTTGGGTCCAAGTGATTCTCTGGTAGTCATCATGGTAGCTTTCTTCTCCCATTCAATACGGTGGCAAGTGTATTTCACACGGAGCCCCGTAGCACTGAGCAAGTTATGACTTTTATTTTTGTTTAACCAATTATTAGTTGTCATATTTCCAAAAAAAAAAAAAAAAAAAAATTAATGCCACTTGATTATTTGTAAATCAAAATTTCCTTTTCAGGGTGTATTTTTCACCTGTAAATTGCTCTCGTATATGGTGCTGTAGATTACGACGACTAAAGAAGCTAAAAACTTAACACCGAGCAATTGAATTTGAAACGGAGTCAATCAAAAGCTGAATATATATGATGTAATCTCTGTAAGACAAGAAGAATAACGCAAAACCTATATGGAAATAAAAACACAAAGATTGGGAAAAAAGAATAACCCCTTTTATCATTTACAATTGGGGAAAAATGAAAAATATCAAAGCAATATCTATAGAACTCTATCTTTACTCGCTATAAGACTAATGTAACCCTATGTTGTATCCCACTATAATGGAAGACAAAATGAGAGGATCCACTGTTAGACCGACAAAAAAAATGGATAAAGAATGGATCGACATCAACGCCAACTATGCACATATCTACTAGTCAGAAAAGCCTAAATCCCTTTTGTTATCTTGTTCAACCTAGTCAGGAAATGGCTCAAATATCCATCTGCAACAGCAAGCAGCTAGGAACTTGAAGATATCTGAGTTGCTGAAAAAGAACCTATAGGTGATCTCTGGGTTACCGAATGCAATATCTGCAAAAAAAAATTTGAACTCCATATTCACACCATAAATAGGTAATTCAAGTCATCCACTGTTAGGCGAGTCTGACGACCAGCATTTTCATCCTCTCCAAAAGCAGATGCCACCATCTCTCTCTTCTTTTGCTGCAAAAAAACAAACCAGTATTTTTGCTTTACCAAAAAAATTCAGAACAAAATAAATATAATAAAATACACACTTGATACAAAATTATCCAATAATAAACTCTTAGTGAAAGCTAGATAATACGAAAAAAGAAAAAAACAAAAAAAACCACTAGAATATGCAACAAAACTGAAGGTAAAACGAGTCATTATGTTGGAAATTTGCCCAAGCCTTCATAATAACTACAAAATTATTCAGAAATGCATTAGAGTTACGATTTTAGAAGATGGCTAACTACAAAGCAAACAAACCAAAAGCCTACTTTCGCAAAAACACCCCCTTAAGTGCTAAGGTTAAAAGCAAGCAAATGTTATTTCTTTTGAGAACTACAAGAACCAAAGCAGCTCAAAAGCACTTCAAAGAAGGTTTGCCTCCTTTAGCCAAAGCATTCAAAAGGCTGCTTTTGACAAGAGCTGCTGCAACTGCAGGCCCAATCACTAGCTCAAAGTCATAACCTTATTGATCATGTTAAGCATAGGTTTGTCCAAAAACAAACATCCTTTCCTCAGCCCACGTGCTTCTATTGCAACCAAAGAAATAAGACATTCACTCAACCACCCTGAGGTTAAGGCCTTCAGCCCATCCAAGCATCACGTGTTTACAGTGACCATTACAGGAGACCTGTTCATAAGTTCACCCAGTTCAATTTGTTCTACCAATATCGCAACACATTCCCTTTTTCCGCTCCCCTTACTCAGCTAGTTAAAACTGTTTTAGCAACATTACTATGGTCACTTTATATACTTGGTTCCAAACTCATTCTCTTTTTGGCTTCGCTCACTGCTTCAAAGAACACACATATATCATACAGCTATATAGTTGCCATTAATCAATGAATTCAGTTAGCATTTGAACAACCATTGACTTAAAAGAAGTCAAAACTCCATGGCATAGATGAAAAATGTATGCCTTTTGCCTCCTCAGAATGAGAAACACTAGTTCTTAATTCATCTACAGTGCTGCAAGCCTGTGTTATCAACTCATTAACGAGACCTAAGCAAATAGCAATGGCAACGGAAGAATCAAATATTTCTTACAGAGCATCAAGAGCACCATGTCTATCATCTCCATGTAATACTTTCCATTGTTAAATAAAACTACTGCATTATCCACCATGAAAGGGCAATTTAAACAATTTATGATGGAGAAAGTGATGAGAGATGTCCCTTTAAACAGTTGGGGGAAAAAAACAAAGGTGGCCATTTGATACAGAACTTAGTAACAAAAATTTAATATAGAACATAGTACCTGGAGGGCTAATATACGATCTTCAACAGTATTTTTTACAGTTAACCGCAAAACTGTAACTTTACGAGTTTGCCCAATACGATGTGCCCTATCAATTGCCTGATCTTCAGTTGTAGGATTCCACCAGAGGTCCAGAAGCAACACATGGCAAGCTGCAACCATATTCAGTCCAAGACTAGCTGCTTTCAGAGACATAATCATAACAGATACCTGGGGTGCAAAAGCAACCAACCATCAGCAAAAAAGAACATATGAAAACACTTAGAGAGGGCATAAAAGCACTATTAAACAGAAATCTTGAAAGTACAAATGGTTAAAATCCCACAAACCTCCGGAAGGGTATTGAAATCCTTCACAGCTTTATCTCTGGCAACAACTGACATTGTTCCATCCAGTCTCCTGTACTGAATGGAAGAATTTTTAAGGCCAGCTTCAAGCAAATCTAGCATTCCTGTCCACTGTGAAAACACTATGGCTTTCTCCCCAAGAACCTTAGTTGGGGGGTGTCTATTATCAGTACCATCATTAAGTGAACCTGTAGAATCAGATGAGGTTTCACAAGAAGCAAGATTTCTATCAACAGAATTCTCTGACAAATTCCATGTAGACAAACAATCTTTTGGTTTAGTCAGCGATTTCAGGACTTCAAGAGCTGCCCTAATTTTTGATGAATCATGAGGGCGATTGTCAGAGGAGGAGCTAACTGCCACAACAAGCTCAGAACCAAAAGAATCTAGACCAGGCTCATCAGATAGAGAACTATTTAATGTGGCTTTAGAAAACACTGAAGACACATTCAGGCGAACTTTGCAGTTTGATGCAGGGCATTGATTGTCGTCACCAGTAAGATGCTCACAGATACACTGTTTGCAGAATACATGACCACAGACTGAAACAACAGCATCTTCAGGTGGATCCTATATGAAAATCAGCAGAGATGTCAGAAATCATAAAGCACTGACAATTGTATCAGATCACAAAAAAACAAAAAAAAAAAAGAGTTGATAAAGCCGTTCAACAAATACAACAACAACCAAGCCTCAATCCCAAACTAGTTGGGGTAAGCTATATGAAAACCAGTTTAACAAATAATAAAAGAAAACTAGAATCTAATATAGGACAGATAAATACACATCATTATAAAGAAACTATTAGTGGCAGCATCCCTGTCCAAGAATTTTACACAGGCAGACGAGAGGCAAGCTGCATCATGTGCTCAAGCATTGATTTGAAGCTCCTATAATGATCTTGCACTAAAAAGTACCTCAAATAACTAGCTTTTTAAGTAGAATCAACGGTTATTTTATACTTTTTGCTATGTAATATTGCAGCTGGGCTACTTTATCTAAAGGCATGTAGTAGCAACAATGATTCTTATTGCTTTTTATCAAATCTTTATGCGTTATTTCAAAACATTACTAACAAATATGGTAGCATTTCTATTAGATAAAAGAAATAATTATACTCCTAGCCAAACAACAGTCCTGTTGGAAGTAAAAGAAAGTATCCTAGAGGCTTCTAAGGATGTGGAAAACTATTCTATGTACAACGGGGAAAGTTCTAGACAGAATATTGAGCTCTTTGAAACAGAGCCATCACCTTGCTTCCAGGAGATAATTACTTAGGTATGATCAGTATGATACGTAGTTTTAGCCTCAATACAAGGAACCTTTCCCCAAAAAATCTGCAAACTGAATTCCCAGAGAATTCAGCCAATACAAGCAGCCTTTCAAATCAAAGATGACAAAAACGTTACTACTTACAAAACCCTACACCTCTCTACTATTAATGCTTGAATTTTAAAAATCCAGTTACTTATACACACAAGGAACAAATATGCATCTTTGTGACCATATCTTTTTTAGGAAATCCAGAACAACGCACTTGCAACTGCATCCAATTATCTTAAAATCATGTTTCCGACCCCTTAACTGAATGAACAAGCTGACAAATTAAAAGAACAAAGCATGAAAAAAAATAATAATAAACACATTACAATATATGTATGTGCGTAGAGTTATTTGCAAAACCAGCATCCACGATATAAATGTACCAAAGAAGTTAACATACGGAAACAAATCCAGTAAAGTTACAGAGGAGAGAAAAGGAGGACATAGAAATAAGTAAAGGAGTTATAGGGCAAGAAAAGAAACAACATACACTGCATATGCCACAGATTGCCAAAGATGCTTCTAAACAATTGAGAAGGCATAATTGTTTCTCCCGAGGAAGCTTCTTTGCCATCTCAATTGAGGATCTTCCTAGAGAACTTGAATCTAAACCCTTGACAAGAAGAGGATGATCACAAGCTTGTCGAAGCCGCAACAGCATCAACAAGATGTTAACATAATTTTGTTTAACAGTTCCAGCAGCTGCATATTCCTGACAAACAAGTGAAGAGGTTGGTTAATCTGCATACATAAAAAGAGTATAGAAAATTGAAATCATTTTTAAATTACTGTTACAGTAAAATCATACTTTAAACTGAGCTCGTGAATCAATTTCTAGTCTGGTGTAGAAATCACGTTCTTCCTCAGTAAAGTCCACTTTTTTCAGTTGTACTACTTTGGGTGGTAGGTTAATAATTGGTTCCCCGTCAAGAAGAGTGCCTAGAACAAATATTAGCCATCAGATGAGTCAAAAAAGAAACTGCAAAAAGTTGCACAACAACAGCAGCCTAGCAACAATTTACAATTTATATGAAGCGAACCAGACAAGAAAAAAAAAAACATATAGATGAGCATGCACAGATAGAATTTTTTCAAACAGATCAAAGGATACTAATATGCTTATGTATTACCAGACTTGAACAAGTTCTGTGTAGTAAAATCATATTTGACAGCACCTGTTCATGCACCGAAACACCAAGAGGATAGAACATTTTACTTGTAAATAAAATTCATTATCTAACCACAGGATTAAATCATTCATATACCCTGAAGATGCAACCTTTCGAGCAGCCCACAGCAAGACCCTCAAGGCAAAAATGGAAAGAACTATATACCACATTACTAATTTAGACCAATTCTTTTAGTTAATACACAATTAATAAATTTGTCAACAAGAGGAAAAGAATGGAAAGAGTAGCTGAAACCTGTGAAAAAACTTCCTCAACTATAAACCACATTACTAATTTAGACCAATTCTTATAGTTAGTCGCTACTAATCTATTTGTCAACAGAGGTAAAGAATGGTGAGAGAAGCTGAAACCTGTGAAAAAAATTCCTCAATTATCAAAGCAATCCTAATGAATTGGAAGACAAACAAAACATTCAGACCAAGACAAGATAATCAGCATCCAGCCAAGTACCAAGCCCAAAATAGAGAACAACTATAAAAGGATCTCAATTTTATGATAAAGGTGACAGGTAGAAGGTCCTGGAGGTTTTTAAGGTCGTAATGAAATAAATTAAGGTTCTTTAGAAAAATCCAGCACGGAATGAATTTCACCACATGGACTAACAAATATGCAAAATTAGCGCACAGAAAACTCGTACAATCTTACCTTTGGTGCGACGAAGCATTACTGTCTTCAAAACAGCTTGCAACTTTCTGTACCCTTTCATTGGATTCTTTTGAATCGGGACCTTTATTGCTGAGCAGAATAGCTTGTAGATGGCATAAGGTTCATATCTGAGGAATCTGAAATAGCTATAGAGATCATCAATTGCATTTTGGATAGGTGTACCAGACAAGCACCACCTGCGTTTTGCCCGAAGACCCCAACAGGCCCTAGCCACTTGAGTTCTGTGATTCTTGATGCTCTGGGCTTCGTCAAGGACAACCCTAAACCATCCCACCTTTGCAAGAGGCCGGGCAATGGACTCAAGCATTGCACTGTCCATCCCCTTCTTATTCTTTGAACCTTTTTTGCCAGAAGTGGGAGGATATTTCCTTTTCTTACCATATGAAAGTCCTAGGTGCGGAACATCATCACCTTCAATTCTTCGTTTCTCTTCATCATCTTCATCGGCCAGAGGCTGCTTTGGGACCTCCATGCTGACAATTGAATATGTTGTAATGACAACATCATACTTTGCCAGCTCGGAAGGATCCTTTGTTCGATTGCTTCCATGGTATACTAGAACGGAGAGATTGGCTTCAGTAGTTACCTTATTATGCAACTCATCAGCCCACTGCCGTAAGACACTTGTGGGACAAACAATGAGAGTTCCAGCAGCTGGCCTTCCCTTGGATTGCCCAGAAGAATTCAGGCTCAATGTCGAACGTCGATTTAATGTAACTTGAGAACCATCATCACCTTTCTTCAATCTATCAATCTCAGTAACCCCATCATCATCATCATCATCCAAATTTAAGGTTTCACACTCTTCTTTCCTAACAGCCACAGCAGCCACTCGATGAGAAGGAGCTCGTTCCTTGAGTATAAGAGCAATGGTTGATACTGTCTTTCCCAACCCCTGCGAGAAAATGATCGCATAAATCCCGAAGCCAAAAAAAAAAAAACAGTTCACAGTTCCTCAACTTTAGAACCATCAAGCAGCAAGTTAATAAAATCTACCTGATCATCTGCAAGAATTCCTCCACAACAGTGCAAGCTAGATGTTTCCTTCTGAACCATCCATGACAAAGCAATTCGCTGCACAGGAAATCATTGGACTTTAGCATAACAATAATAAATAAACATGTATATCACTCAGTCATTAGAATAGCGAGAGGAATGCACACGTAGTCTCAAAAAAAACCCATCTTAGGAGGAGTAAAGAAATTCAGAGCCTCACAAATAGAAAGCATATAACAAGAAACAAACACTATAAAACGAGATTTGACTTCAAATGCTGTTAGCCAATGCTAGTTGATTTTTAGATTGCTAAAAGCCACCATAAAAATCCCCTTCAAATCAGTTTTGCCAATCCCAGTTGATTTTGGATAACTATACAAGCTACTGTAAAAAACAGAATCCACTTCAAAAGTCAAATTTTGCCAATGCCAGTTGATTTGGATCACTAAACAAGTCATACTGAACTTAAATTTCTCTCATTGCATTAAAAACCAAACACCCCATACAAAGAATCTCAGTATCAAGAGAGGAAACCCAACTCATCATTAACTCTAGGTCTAGAAATGTATTCTTTCAACTGGCACCAACTTGAATTTGATTTTGTTTATATGGATTAGCATAGACAAAAGCAGAAAACAACTCAAAACAAATTGTGGAAAACAAGAAATATCCATTTCCCGGTGACTCTATAGCCATTCGCCTTGCTACTGGAGTAGAATATTGCAGTTAATTGCTTGTGAACGTATAGGAGATTAAAAAAAAACATTCTAACTTGTTGACCCACATCTGGTAACTGCAAAGAGATTGTCTGGATATGGAAAACTAGTTCCTTGTGTTCAGAACTATTGGAAGGACTATCAAAATTACAGTCCGCTAATAGAAATCAGTTCCATGATACATATTGACTTTGCGATGCATCCAATGCATCAAGAGTACTTCTATATAGCCTTATTTCTTTTTCCTTTTTTTTTTTTTTTTTTTTTAGTACCTACAAGTTACAAACCAGCAATGCTGGTTTCATAAGTCATGATGAGGTCGATGTGTTCTGAGATTGCCATTCAAGATTGATTGCTATGCCACTTATCATGTGCTGTGCATCATGCACACAGTCATCAATTCATAGCCACAGTTCAGCCAGCTAAAGGATGAAAAAGAAAGATTCCAAACCTGATGTCTCAAAAGAGGTACTGCCAAAACACCATCGGGTGGAAGAGCTTCAGACTTTGTTTGAGAAAGATCCTGTCGTGCGTGCCGTAATATTAATCAGGACTAATATAAAAATTTTGGAAACAGTGAGGTACGTCACAATATAAAAATTCCGGAAACATGAACCAGTTATATGTATTTATGCAAAATGGCAGGACTATGTCTCTTCTCATACGTGAGAAATCAGTTGAATTTCAATGGGCGCCACAGCATTTTTTTAAAATCTTTGCATTTGAATATTTGCTAGTGAGGACATGTTCTCAATAAACAAAATAAAAATCATGTTCCTACTAATATGTGAGCAAATGCCTGCACATAGTAATCATACTTATTGTCGATACATTTGGTGAGAATGAGTTTATGAATCTGACACAGCCTGTAAACAACCAGACAAAATATTTCAGGCAGAGGGAAGGAAATCTCAGATCAATGTGAGGACATCTGATCAGAAAGTAAATTGTACTCCAGATCCAATGCATTCCAATTCTGTATTTATAATTTCCAATTTCTAAATTATAGATCAAAATTTGGGTTTTAGTGTAACAATGCAGGTAGATTCCCTAGCTCACGATACTGACCTGCAATGCAACTCGAAGTACAAGTCGCTCATCATTGGCCCTGACCCTTGTGCCTTCTACTGCAGAATGATGAAGTGAATCGTTATATGTAGGGCGTTGCAAAGGAACCAAGGGCTTTCTAGTAGCAAAAGATTGGTTTGGGCATGCAGGTTGACTGATATCATCAAGAATACATATATCAGGATCATCATCAACATGGGATTTGCTACCAGACGAATTACTCTGAATTGATTCAGGGCTGACTATTGAAAGATGAGAACCCAAGGCCTTAGACTGAATCGGTATGCCCTGTTTTTCATCCTTAGCACAAATAAGCTGCATGTTGCTTATATTGGATGCCTGAGCAAAAGGCAAATGCTGCTCTGGAGCATTTAAATTCAAATATGCACTATCCAAGGGAAACCTACAAGCAATCCCCTCAACTTCAGCTCTTGAAGATCCAAGAGTCATGCCCCCTCTGTCATCCTTAGTGTAAATCACATGCTTCTGAGTATGCACAGATGATAAAACACCTGAAGATGACTGCTGCTTGTCTTCATCAACAAAAGTACTGTTTCCATCACTCCAAGAACACTTTCTGTCAACAGCTTCAGTAACTCCCTCACCACACTGCCAATTCATGTTCTTACATGCAACCAATCCTTCATTTTTTTCATCCTCTAAACAAACTGTTTGGTCCTCACAGAAGCCTAACTGAATATAACTGGATGGCATAACCAATGCCTTGTCATTAATAAGTCCATCATCAGCACTTGATGAAAAATATCCACTGATTGGTAACTTATAGCCATTATCTTCGGATTTAACATTCACCCCATTTACATCCGAGCAAGGCATAATCGAAATCTCCGATCCAGAGCATGCATTCTCAGGTTGAAATCCATTAATTTCTTGATTAATGGGCAATAATCCAAAATTAACACCAACAGAAAAATCAAAACGTGGAGAATCAGTATAATGTGCATCATATCCATTCACACCACATTGCATTGCTGAAAAATGATCATTAAATTCGCTGTTAAAATCAGGACGGTGCCAGTAAGCAGAATTAGTAGAAACCATATCATGTGAAAAAACATTTGTATCCATCAAGGGCATGTCCAAGGATCTATGAATATCATTTTCAGATTCTAGATTTCCTAAGCTATTAATAACTAAAGCATCACAGGATCCAAACTTCTCATTTGAACCGTCCATCCAAGGACCATGTGAAGCATCTGCAATTATCAGAGAACATAAATCAGAACTCCAATCATAAATCACAATGATCTAAATCAACCTACCAGATTACACATCCTTTAACACACAAAGAAAAAAAGAAAAAAGAGATTACATGCCTTTGGATTCAAAGTTCCCTTCCACATGCCTCAATTGGTTTCCATTTTCATCCAAAAGAAGATTTAGATTCAAACCATCTGCATGATCTGCAACACAGCTAGACACTCCATCAGCAAAAGTAGTAGATGCAGTACTGCAACTCACTGTCTCTGATTGCGACACTCGTACCCTCATTGTTCCCTGATCCTCTTGAAACGGTAAACAAAACTCTCCAATACTTCTGGAGCAAGCATGCATAGAAGAGCTCATTTCTTTCCCAGTGTAATCAATTGATTCTCCACCAAACCCATCTGTCCCCTCTATCATCTGAGACCCTAAACAGCATACCAACAGACAAAGCAATTACAATCTACACAACGACATCCAACCCTACATAATGTTCCACCAATTAGATTCTGTCTAAATCTGTTACCACTTTGATGCGGCCAGTTTCGGCTATTTCCAGCTTCCAGCAGTGGCTCAACTTGCAAATTCTCGTCTGAAAAATCTCCTCTACTACTCTGCAATTCCAGAATAAATATATATACGCTTAAGAAACAGAAAAACAACAAAACAGCAAAAGCATCACTCTTTTTTTTTTTTTTTTGCTTAAGTGAAAAATTAACAGTATTTCGCCTTTAATCAATCAATCATACAGCATCAAATTAAACAATTTAAGCACAAAACAGGTCGAAGTTCTCCAAAACCTAAAATCTCGTTGAACTTGACCTACAAAACAAAAATTCTGATGCCAAACCCGAATCGTTCAAAACCAACAACCAGTATTGAAAATTACCGGAGAAGCACGCGGAGGCTCTTCTTCAAGAATTGTATAAATCATATCGATATCTATGGACAAATCCTCCTCCTCTCCATCGCCGCTATTACCCTCACCAACGGCCATGATTTCGCCACCTGGAATAACACTCCCCGAGCTCCCGTCCGCCATTATCATGATCGTCAACTCAAATTAAAAATCAAAAAGAAAAATCAACCAACCAAACAAAAAATAACCCTAGCAGTGAATTCAATTCGATTCGTTTTAAAAGAGAAATAGGAATCCAAATCGCATTCTCATTGTGTATCTGTTTCAGAGAAAGAGAGAGGGAGAATCAGCGAAGTTTCGGGTTTGGGGTTTTTGTGTTTTTTTTTTTTTTTGGCGTGTGTTGAGGCTTGTAGACTTTTTCAGGATCAGAAACGGGAAAAAAAAATTAAAAAAAGATAAAATGTGATTAATACCAAGAAGAGAAAAAAAAAAAGGTTAGCGTAATCTCGAGAAGAATGTGAGTGGCGCAGGTTTAAATATAGGGAGAAGAGGGGATGAGGGGGGTGGCGGTGCGTAGGTTAACGACTTTTTCTTTGGTTTTCAATGCTACTTTTTTTTAATTATATATTATTATTTTATTTTGGTGATGGAAATAATGGTGAAATATACTATTTAACGCGTGTTAACTGGCGATGGCAAAGTGAAGGAGGTGGTGGTGGTAGCTTTTGCGTTGGGGAATTGGTTATTCTACCTTTGGTTTGTCGTTTTCACACTTTAAATTTGATACGACAAGGGTTGTGCTTGGTCCCTCTAGTTTTCATTTTAGTTTAATTTAGTATTTCTATTATTGTTGTCCTCTTGTCATCTTTTTATGCCACCGAAAACTATTGAGGTATTATGTAGTTTGTATTTGAACTATTGTTTTATCAATTTTACCACTAAATTATTTTTATTTTTCCATTAAGAACTTTTGTTAATTATTTAGGAAAATATCATTTTTTTTATACAATTACATTGTTTCTTACAAAAAAAAAATACTTTTTAGATGAAAATATAGACAAAAAATCTTAAAAATAAATAGAAGGAAAATTTTTTAAGGTTTGAGAATAAAATTAATACCAAAAATTTTTAGGTTGTAACATTAGACTACATAATTTGATGGTATTTTTGAGCTTTTTCTTAATATGTTTTACAAATGACAAATAATTTTATTGTTTAAGATGACACATTCAAGACTAATAATATTATATATGTTAAAATCTACTTTATTTTGTAGAAAAATATCTTGCATTTGGTAGTCCATATGAATTAAAACTTCATATATTTTCTAAGAATAGGATCTTTTTATATCATGAATCCTAACATGATGAGGCTTTTAGTATATTGATCTATGTATAGTATGTCTATTTGATAATCAAAATGAACCCTAAGAAAATTATCATATAGAAGAAATCTTTCTAATCCTATTATTTATATAATGAATTTTTTTTTTGCAAACCTCGGAACATGTTTTTTCTTCCATGTTGAGGGGGTTTTTTATACAACAAAATCATCATGTCTTGCATTTTTTGTTCAATTTATCTATCCATTTTACCATTATTCTATATTTATTAGACAAGAGAGATTATTTATTTATAACAATTGGGTTATTGCATGTATTTCAATCCTAACATTATCAAGCATCATTAGAGACAACGATAAAATTTCATATTAGGGAAAACAAAAGACAAAGAGAAGATTTGAGAAGAAAAAAAAACGTTGAGATTTTTATATTTTTGTAGAAAATAATGGTGCTATAGAACTTGTGGACAATGGTTTTACGACAGTTGACAAAATGACCATAATGTCACTATATATAAAATAAGAGGATGACATTAAGCCAAACCAGAGTTAAGGAGAACACAGCAAGTGGGAGGGTAAAGACTAAAGTGAAAGTCGCGAGCGGGCGATGATGGCGTGGGGATTGGGTTCGTATTTTATACGCTTTGAATTGAGCGATGATTGTGCATCTGATGACGAACGTAATGACTAGGTTAGCAAATAGCGAAGCATGCATTTCAAATGCCCTCAGTACCTTTGGTAATTACTAAAGAGATTTGATTTGATGATATCTAACTAAAATCCTTTTTTTTATGGAATCACTTTTAATGTTACTTTTTTAGTATTAGAATAACAAAAAAATTAATCATTTATATAATATATCAAATATTTATTTACCTTTTTGTATATTTTACTTTTTTATATATAACAAGATTATCGTTTTTTTACACACATTAATAAAATTATTGATTGTTTTGTTGCATCATCCTATTTTGTTTACACTTTTCTAAGTTATTTTCTTCTTTTTTAGAATTGTTAATCATCAAATTAATTATATATAATATGAAACCAATACATCAGTTAAAATTTTGATTGTCAAAATATTTCTAATAGATTTAAATAAAAAAATAGATGGGTTCTGTCAAATAATATCCAAAATTCTTTTTAAAAGATTTTATTTAATTTCACTACTTTTTTTTAAAAAAAAAGACTAACATAGGTTTTTTACCATGATTTTCTATCAATCAATACAGGTAATTCCAACATTAGATTTACCTATCCCATCATCAATTCCTCATTTCTTCTCATTTTATTCAAAAAAGCTATGATTATTGAATTTATATTAAAAACAAATGCTAGTTTTTCTGTTACCAAAGGTCTAAAATTACTTTTGAGTTACACTAAAATGCCATTCTCGAAATTTTACCAAATACAAAACCTTGACTTTATGGAATTCTTGTAAAACAAAAAATAGTTGGGACATTTGCTTGAAGACCATCTTAAATTACGTGCCCTTGTTAATAAAAAAAAAAAAAACGAGAACATAACATGGAGGAAATTATAATTTTTCATCCTTTTTTTTAAGTACGAGTGAGAAGAAATCAGTGAATGTTGTGTTGCATGTGTTAGATATTTATATATTAAGTTTCAATAGTTTATGTGTGTGTATATTTTAGTAGATGATTTTCTAGTTATTTGTTGCCAATTAAAGCTCTATAAATTTTTTTTATTAAAGTGTACCTTTAATTTTAGTTTTAGTAAATTGGTTGTTTACATTTTATTGAGATACAAAATGGTGTTTAATAGGTTTATTTTTTATAACAAAAAAATAATAATATCAAGCAAGTCAGTTTTCTTTACAATTTTTTTAATTATGACACGTAAAAGATACGTAAGATTAAGTTTTTTTTTTCCTTATCCGATAATTTTGGAGAGAGGGGCATGGATCTTCAATTCTAATAGAATTTTTAAAAGTGAAGCCATCATCTTTGCTTTTGATCAAAAAATATGTTGGCATTGACTAATAACTTTGATTTTTCATTCAATAAAGTTTGATAATGTGGTTTGTTTAAGGTGACATGTTATTTTTAGACTCGCGAGACACGAGAAGGAGGTAAGGGGAAAAAAAGGGGTTTGGAGAAGCCGATTGAAAATTCACGAAATAGAGAAAACACGATGATATCCAAAGAATCAACATGGATTGTTTAACACGTCAACTGTTTAGCACATAATTAGTCTCAATTTTCATATTAGTGTCTTTCACATGTCTTTTGTAGATTTTATATTGTATTTATATTCTGTTTGAATATTAATAAAAATATAATAAATTGAACATGGCTCTTCTCATATTTTAATTCGTACATGTAACGTCTAAGCCACTAATGATGTATTAAACCTTTAGAATTTAATTCCTGAGTTAGCAAGTGGTTAGGGAAAAAAAGTAAGTGAGTGCGTTACAGTTTGTAAAGAAATCTTACCAATTGATTTCAAATCAATGTGACAAATAGAATATTTCTTAGAACAGAAGCATCCCGATCGGGCGTTTTGCTCATCGTGTCTATGAATGATGAAGGAGCAGCGAGCACGCGACTGGTCACGAGAAGACAGCCCGATTGGTTAGGCCTTCACTTCGCGAGCAGGACGAGGAGGGACAGGACGTTCTGCAAGTACATGAAAAGGGTTCATCATTGCTTTGCATGAACATGCATGGAAAGTGACTTCATTAAAATCCAATTGTCTAGTCTCTTGTAAAGAGTGATCATGAATTTTGTATCACTATTTTTTTCTCAAACAAGGTCAAAACTCTATTCACTTCTAAAAAAATAATAAATAAATAATAAATAAAATAAAATTCTAAAAAATAGAATTGATGTTCATATAAAAAATAGTAAATTATAAATTTGTGTCTCTAGTTTTAAAAACAAATCAAATAATTAGAAATTAATTGATTATAATTAATTTAATATTATTTTTTTAAAAAAAATGTATTCTTTTCTCGTTAATTCTTTCATATTCTTTTACTTATTTTTTTATTTATTAAAAAATTAAAATAAATGAAAAAAGATTTAAAAAAAGTTACAAATAGATTAAAACATATAAGGACTAATTAGTTAGTTTTTTTTTTAAATTAAACGGACTATTTAATTTATTTTAAAGCAAGGCCAAAACTCTATTCACTTTTATAAGAAAATAAATCTAAAAAAATAGAATTGATGTTCACAAAAAAAAAAGAGTAAATTATAAATTTGTGCCTCTAATCTAACAATCCTTCTTATTTTAAAAACTAATTAATTAATCTCTTAATCAATGTTGATTATAATTAATTTAATATTATTTTTTCTAAAAAAAATGTCTTCTTTTTCATTAATTCTTTCATTTTTTTCTACTCGTTTTTTTATTTATTAAAACAAAAACTTAAATAAATTAAAAAAATAAAAAATAAAAAGAATTAAAGGTATTAAATAGATTTAAATGTATAGGGACTAATTAATTAGTTTTTCAAACTAACAAAACTATTAATTTATTTGAAAAAATAGAAGGACTAATTTATAATTTAATCAGCAAAACAATTGTTTTAAAAATTTGTGACATTACTCCAAATCAAATTCTAATTTCTAGTGATCCTTTTGGTCGTCCGATCCATTTAGAAGGAAAAAAAGACTGTAATTTGGGTAAAACATTTTCTAATCATTAGGTATAACAGTATATTACTTGCTTTATCTACCATGAATGTTGGATAATTAATCAAAGAAACTAAGTTAAAATAGAGTTATTTTTATTCATTTAAAGTTCTTATAAACATTGAATCGTGTGAATTTGGTAGTTTTCTTTTATTTCCATTTCTTCATTCCACTCAAAAAGCAGAATGCCGCATTAATGTTTCTGAGAAGAAGATGTCAATTTTATTTATTTTTTAATACCTAAAATTATTAAAATGACTTCAAATAGTTTTGTCAATTAAATTAGTTAGCCAAATTCCGCAAATAAATGCGTGTGAAAGCTTGACTTTCATAAACGAATCATTTTGCTTTTTATAATTTTAACAAGAGCGCACTCTCAAGTCCCATCACATGTAATTACCAAGCAAAGTGTTTGAAACATTTGTCGTGACAAACTCTCACTGAGAAATCAATTAAAGAGAAAATAAATATTTACTCTATTTCTCTTAACTTTACCCAATCTCATAATAAAGTTAAAAAAAACAAAAAAAAGGTTATGCGATTATTTCAAATTTAAGATGTCTTTATCTTTGAGTTGGTAAGGATTTGTTTTAGTGCTTTAAGATTCCTACCCATTTTTTTATAAAAAAAGGTAGGCAATGTGGATTTAATTAGTTAAAAAAATTTAAAGTCTACGATCTATGCATAAAGTAGGGGGATGGAATCAAGGATGCCGGTGTTTGCCTTTATATGGGAGGTAAGATACACGCACTGCTATGTAGTGTAAGACTGAGCTTTCCATTTGTAGACAGAGAAAAATCTCAAGTTGGCCAAAATTTTCAAACAATATATATATACATCAGATGTGAACGCAATTTAAAATAAGTCTCGGTAACCCACGGTCCTAAGAAGCCACCAAGTTTGACGTGGGGCGTCGAGGACAGATTCTTCTTCTTTAGCATGTCCAGTACTGCTGAAAGAACAAGAGTTTTCAGCTTGGTTTCACCTTGGTAGAACCGTGTCATTAATATCTTCGAATCGAATCAGCCAAACTTGTGTTTGGTGGTTGTCTGTCGAAGAAAAAGCATCCAAATCGTGATTCATATCCAACCGGCTAGCAATTACTTGACGGCTGCTGTCGGTCTAATCCAATATACAGTAGTTAAAATTTACAAAAGAGTTAGCGGTGACTCAGTGTCGGGAAAAGACACCACCTATACATACCAACTAAAGTCACAAATCAAACGTACTAATTTTTTTTTTTTGTGCAATTAAAATTATAATCAATCAATAACACCGAAACAATAAATCACAATACTGATCAACAAATTTATTTAGATAAAAAAATTAGGTAAAACAAAACCAAGAAAAATAAACTCAAACACCCTACCACCCGTTGCTGCCACCACGCAAATCTTAATTTCTTTAAGGTAAGTTTTAGTTTTGCCCTCTTTGGTGTTTATGAGATGTCTCAATTTTAATCCTAAGGATTAGTTTGTATCCATAAGTCTCCTTAATTTTTATTGTAGTTTCAATTTCTTTCCACCCATTATTATTTTTCTAAATCCGTCTATAATGATGATAAGTTTAATTTGTATCAATAAATCTCCTTAATTTTTATTGTGGTTTCAATTTCTTTCCACCCATTATTTTTTTTCTAGGTCTGTCTATAATGATGATAAGTTTTAATTTGTATTGATAGATCTTCTTAATTTTTATTGTATGAAGTTTTAATTTCTTCCCACCCATCATTTACATCCAACTATATATGTTTATAACAGTGATGAAAAACATATATAAATTTTATTTCGTCTATAAAATTTATGCGATATCTAAATATCATCTAAGATATATTAAAAAATAACAGAAATAAAAATATAATAACATCAATTAATTAAGAAAAAAAATTTTAGTATAACAAGTATAATAAGAAAAAAGAGTTTTTTCATAAACATTATCTAGTAGTTCTTTGATAATTTAAGAAAAAAATAATGCTAAAAAGAAATATGATACAAGAAAAAAATTATCAACACCAGCAACCACTATTCTCACGGCCTATCTTATGCACCTTCACCAATGTTATCAGATCCATATGTTATATCCAATTTTGCATTAAAATCTACTATCAAATCTTGAACAAGAACTGTGATTTTTTTTTTTAAAAAAATAAAATTTATATAGTTAGAATGATATTTCGAGAACATGACAAGCTCAATGTCATTTGAAACGTTAAATTTCTATAAAAATTTAAACTCCATTAATCATACCAAAGATGCTTTGTGAAGATGCCTCTGGGGAAGGAAGGGAACATGATGCCAAGATAATCGAGAAGGAAGGACGAGGGTGAAGGTTTTAGTAAGAAAAAGACTTAAAATCATTAAAATCTTTATTTTTATTTAATTGTAATATTTGTAAGGAAAAAGAAGATGTTATTATTGGGGAGTGAGAATTAGAATTCTTAGGGTTTAGAGGTTTATTGGAAAAACAACACACTCAAAATTTATTATATTTGTTTTACTAAAAATTGTATTTGTTTTACTAATTTTCTTATTTTGTTTTTTTTTTTTAACTATGATTCTTTTTTTTTTCTTTTTGTGAAGTTTTTAATATTTTTGGATGATTTGAAGAAATATTCTATAAAATTTACCTATATATACACATATATTTTATTATTACTACCACTAACGTAATGTATAATAATGGACAACAGTAGGATATTGAAATGACCACGAAAGTCACGTGAACTAGTTGGTACAAACCAAATCTTACAGATGAGATCGAAAGATCCCGATAATTCTAAAAGTTACTTGTACCTGCGCATACCCTTCCTTAATGGCTAAGTATCTCGGCTTGTTGTCATAGTACGATCCGAGGTGTCTTTCTTCTCACTCTACCTATGGTTGATGTTTGGCAAATAAAAGAATCAATTAACACATTTTACATATTCAAAACTTGAAAATTTCAATTCACTTACATTCTTAAAACGTTTCTTATTGCCCATAAAATTGAAAACTACTACGGTGAAATTGGTGGTAATGCTATAATAAAATTGTCATTTTCTGTATTTGATGGTGTAAAATATTTTCGAATAAATCAATCAAAATCAATTTTTTTTTTTTCAAACAATCTTAAGAGCACTGCAGCACATTGTCATAGTAAAACTAAAATTTTAAAATCAATTATCTTGAATTTCATCTTCAATATTCAAACCCAAGAAGTCAAGGCAAAAAAGAAAAAAAAAGAAAAGCAAACATCTTTCACAATCAGACTAAACCTTTAAGGTTGTTGTATAATTGTCTTCAGACATGAGTTGTTGTATAGCTGTTCACACGAGAATTCATATGATGCATTGACTTATCATGCTCCCAGAATTGTTTATTATTATCGCTATCGTATTTATATAATATTCAAATAATATCAAACCACTTAATCGATTGGTTTCTTCTATGATCCACCGATTAAAACCAGCCCATTAATAATGCAGGCCCAAATATATAATCGGACTACATGGGTAATTCTATTAGGCCAGGATCAGAGCAATAGTATATTTTCAGAAAAGGCCCACCAACAATCCAGACCCATATTCAAAACCAGTAGACAAAATAAACCAGTCTCTTACGAAAGCAATCTCCTTCTCCAAATTTTCTCTCTCGCGCAATATCTTTCACGGAAAGTGAATATTTTTCCGGAAAATCAAAACCCATTCCATTCTTCCAAATCTTAGTTTCTAGACTGTCATAGTTTTTGATTTTCTGGTGAGTTTAAATACGAGTGTTGAATTCTTTTTGAGTTTACAGTGTAGATTTAAGGAATTTTAAAGCTTTTTTGATTTGGGTGTTTTTTGGGTTACAGAGAGTAGTGGAATTCAGTATTGGATTGCCGATGATGATGTTGGTGGTGCTAGTGCTCTGATGTCACCGTTCTGGATTGTAATTCGTCAGCTTGCAGAAATTGAAGCAATGGTAAAACTATTATGGTTCTTTTTTAAGCAATGATAAAAAAAAAAATTAGGGTTTCTTGTTTTCATTTCTTGTTAATCTTTATTTTTGTTTCTCAATTATAGCGATTTGATATGATTGATGATGTGCTGTTCTTTGAAGGAAATGAAAGATTTTTGTTTAGGGTTTTAGATTAGATTTTAATGGTGCATTGTGATATTGATTGGGTTTTACTGAAAAATGTGGTATTTTCTTGATTGTTATAAGAAAATCGTAATAGATAAAACTAGGCAAAGTTTTCATTTTAAAGAAAGGTAGTCAGACTTTGATTTAGACTAGCCAAATGACTGTGATAAGTTCCATGAATTAGTGTTTGGTTACTGTTGATTGTTTTGAGGTTATTTGAAGTGTTTCATCTCACGCATTGTTGAAGAGAATGAAAATTGATTATTTATGGTTTTGACATAAGGTAATGCTGACTGGATTAATTTTGCATTTGGATCTTGATTGAATTTAATTATGTGGTACTGTCTCTAGTTGCTTAGTTTGGTATATATCCATGCTAAACGAGGGCATTTTGACTTCAAATAAAGAGAGAATTTGATTGAGACTCGCCAAATAACTATGAAAAGTAGTTTGAGTTCGGGTTTGGTTACATTAGATCCAAATGTGAAAATATGTGCCAGTTGGTTCTTTGCAAAAATAGGAAATGAGATGTGCGAAAATTTCCATTATGGCACTTAATTTGTGTGATAGTTAGTGTATGAAACATAGAATGCAGAAAATTTACTAGAACTGGCATATTTAGATAGGTTTGCTATGGTAATGTGCTAATGTTATGCTTTTGGTCACAGGGTACGTCAAAAAAGGTGATTACAAGAGAAGAGTGGGAAAAGAAGCTTAATGATGTCAAAATTAGGAAAGAAGACATGAATAAATTGGTGATGAACTTTCTTGTCACTGAAGGTTATGTTGACGCTGCTGAGAAATTTCAGAAGGAATCTGGAACTAAACGTATCCATTCTCTTCAGTATATACATTAGCTTATTCTTAGCTCTGGTATTTTTTTCTTTGGTGCTTTGGTGTTATGATACATTGTAAGGATCTTGCATTTTTTCTTATTGAGAAATAGCAGATATAGATCTTGCAACCATTACAGATCGAATGGCTGTTAAGAAGGCTGTGCAATGTGGAAATGTTGAGGATGCGATTGAGAAAGTGAATGATTTAAATCCCGAGGTGAGATACTTTATTGTGTTGCTACAATCTTTGTGTGACTTGTGGGTCAATTATTCTCATAGTATTATCTCTACCATAGTCTGTTAGAACGATGTGATTATAATGTTTGTTTGATTTATCTGTTTTCTTGAACTTTTAGATGTTTTGTGCATTAAAGGACTTCTGCAGTTTCTTATCATATTCATGGATGTGTTTCCTGATACTCCCTCTTTTTCAGTAGGATCAAGAATCATGTTAGGCAGTCATCTATGATTATGTTGGTTGTAGCGTCTTTATCTTTGCTCTACAGCCATACAATTGTATTGACCTGTAGGAGACCTTCAATTTCTATGACCACAGTAACAGTTCATAGTATAACTCCCACATCCTACTCCCTTTCCTGATTTTATAGGTTTGAATAAAATATGGCTTGAACTATACAGTTTTGTGTGTCAATGATATTCTTATGGGCTGAGTGCTTGTAAGCAATGAATGTTTCAAGGAAGCAAATAAATAAACTGCAGGATTGTATGTTATCATTTTGCATGCTGTATCATTCCAAACCCCATCTTAGTGTAGCCATGAGAAAGTCATGTGATGTTCTTATTCATGGCGTTTGGCATATTGCCTGTTTAGTGTGTACTACTGAAAATGACAAGAAAGTGATTAAGAAAGCTAGAATATGGAAGCCTCATATTTAATGGCATTTGTGGAATTTCACAAACATAAATACTTTCAAAAGATGGTTTTTCTTTCAGTCATCATCATTTGTTCTTTGCAGTATGATTTTTTTTTTTTTTTTGGCACAACCGTATAGAGTATGGCTTTTTTTCTATCAAGATTTTCCTCACGTGAAAATTCTGCATGCAGATACTGGACACAAATCCGCAACTGTTTTTCCATCTCCAGCAACAGAGATTGATAGAACTGATTCGGAATGGCAAAGTAAATGAGGCTTTGGAGTTTGCCCAGGAGGAACTTGCGCCAAGAGGAGAAGAAAATGTAATTCTGAGTTCATAGTTTTGTCATATCTACTTATATTGCATATGATATTGTCTGCAGTTCCTTCTGGCTTTGTTTTTTTTTTTTTTTTCCTCAATTTGGTCGAACTTCAATTATTAAACTGCTTGCATAATTATTGAAACTAATAATGATAGTCACCTTGAAGATAGATTCTTCTTAGTGGACATGTTCTCATGACCACTTTCATGATAGTAAATAACCCGAGAGAGTTGAAATTTTCTGCAGCAAAGCTTTTTAGAAGAATTGGAGAGGACTGTTGCACTGCTGGCTTTTGAAGATGTTTCTAGCTGCCCTGTTGGAGAACTATTGGACATTTCACAGCGCCTGAAGACAGCAAGTGAGGTGAATGCAGCTATCCTTACAAGCCAGAGCCATGAAAAAGGTTGGTGGATTTCTTTTTTTGTATGTTCGTGTGTTTTTGTAAATAGAAATGAATGTTCCTGTGTACTTGGATGATGTCTGCTGCTCTTTGTCATTATTTGGTCCGTATGTACCAAAAGCAAAAAAAAGGAGAGGAAGAAATCAAGCACCGTTGTATGGTAACCCAATCAATTTTTATTCTTGACACGTCTTCTGGACATACTCTACTATTCATCACAAACATCTCACATAAACTTCCACTCTTAAAGTTGTACAAAGGGTTACTCACCTCCCAGACATGTCAATCTGGACACACTACTATTCATCACAAGCATCATACACTAACTTCCGCTATTAAAGTTGTACAAAGGGTTACTCACCTCCCAGACATGTTAATTAGATAATGGTCTAAAATGGGCGTCAGTTACTGTAACAATATCCTTTGTCAGACGAACTTTTTTATTTTTGAGTACTACCATTTGGGCATTGCTGATTTAATGACCCACCTAAATGGTGCTTGATCTTCTCTCAATAGCACTATAAGCCTTTTACAATATTGGTTCTCATTTAAAATGTGGCCATTTTGTTATTTCCTTTGGGAAGGAATTCTAGGAATATTGGGAAAGGCAAGAGCTTGCTTCTTAAGGGCATTTTGCGAATTTTATTCCAATGGGTCACATCATTAACTATGAATTTCTTTGACAACATTTGCTGAATTCTTAAGGAGATGATGACATAGGCGATGAGATGCAAGCAATAGTGCTGGCACAGTTTGAATCTTCACTGTTTCTTTTGTTCTCTCATGTCTCTGCTTGCTTCATAGGGCTTGCGTACTTGATTAGATTATCTTGATATTGTTATTTTGCGGTATCCTTTTTATACGAAGACTTAATTCGGTTTTCCTTTTTATGAATTGGCATTATCACAGATCCAAAGCTTCCAAGCTTGTTAAAAATGTTGATATGGGCTCAGAACCAACTTGATGAGAAAGCTGCTTATCCTCGGATAAACGATTTATCTACTGCCATGCTTGAAGACCCTGCAGTTTGAGTTTCATGCAAGTTCTTGTGGAAGATTTGGCTTGGTTTAGTTTGCACATAAGAAACTGGTTGGAATGATAAAATTGATGTACTTTTAGTACAGTGACTCTAGGCAGCTATTTGTTGGATGCTACCTTTTACAACTTGTTTGCTGTTCAATCTCTTCTAGTCTAAACCCTTGCACAGTTGATACGTTACCCGATTTGCTCTCTTTAAAGTTGTGGATTATGACATTTTATCCAAAAACATAATGGGATTAGTACAAGTGATTTCAAGGCTATGATAAAACTTATAAAATGTAGTCCCGTTGCTGCCCTCTATTATCCCACAATAAATTCAACAAGGCCATGACGCATCTCCCTTCCCTGAACCGCTGAAGTAGGGTTGAGGTAATGACAAGACAGCAAAGACAAAATGTTACAGCAAAAAAACAAAACGAGAGGTAAGGATCAGAGAGAACACTAGGCTGCAATAAAAAAAAATTAAGAAATCATGCCTTGGAAAAGCTAAAGAAATTGCTTTCCTTCTCTTCCTCGTGAAAGTCGCTGATAAAATGAAGTCTACAAAACAAACTGAAATAAAAAAACCAACAACACCCACCCTGTCCCTGGATACCACCCTCAAGGTTCTACCCACAGAACGTAAACCCATAAAATATCGTTGCTATCCTGAATGGTGGTATTACCATGTTTGACTGCGTATCCACTTGCACCCAAATTGCAACAACCATCATCAAAATTGAGAGCATAACTTGAAGGATCATACTGGAACTTGAATTGCTTCTTCCCACCATTCTTTTTCACAGCCTTCTTCACTGCTGCCTTGACCCTCCAAAAAAGAGTCCTGCATTGCTTCTTGCTGTAACTATTCACGCATCCAAAGCTTCCAATCAAGCCCATATTAACCAATAAGCAGAAATTCTCAATTCCCAACTTCAATTGTCAGAAAGAAAACCAATAACCCAAGAACTGAAATCTTGAAGGAGAAAAGAAACGAAGGAAATAGGAAGTTGGCTAGCAGGTATATCTTGGCTTTATAAAGAGAGAAGAAAAAAGAAAACTTGGCAAACTGTTCTGAAGAATGAAAAAAGAGAATAAAAACAAACTCAAAAAAGGAACTTTTGAAGTGAGAAGTAAAAGAATGAATTGACTGCAGAAAGACTAAAAATGCAAATCTTTTGGGTCTTTCAAAGAAGCTGCTACAGCTTCAGCAGCAGTATCTGCAGCCATGTGCTCTCTTTTGACATCATATTGGGATGCTCAAATTCCATCGTCTACAATAAGAAAAAGAGAGAAAAAGAGAAAGGTTGCAGTGGGCAGAGAGCCTCTCTCTCTCTCTCTCTCTCCCTCTCTATGGTCCTATCACTATCAAATTGTTGCTGCTGTTGTGGTAGCTGTGTTGTTATAACAAATGTGTGTGCCTGAGCACTTCAAGATGCATCATCCCTTGTCCACATTATGTTTTACTTTTTTTCGGTAGCAGAGTATTATTTTTACCCTAAGAAGTAAAGGAGAGGCAGCTAGCCATGTAATGTTAAGGGCTAAAACTCATGTACTGAGTTAATACTATACAGGCTAGGCTGTAACAAATAAAGTATCTTTGTATGCCAATCGGTTTCAACTAGCTAGCTGGTTTGAATCGTAGATGAGATTTTTTTTTGTTTGAATAAAGATTCTGATTTACTTTTGAAATTTTTAAAAATAAAAAATCAATTATTGTAGGGCTTTTTTTTTATTCATCCAATATCTAGTATTTGTTTGCTTTCAAATTCAACTTTAGTTTCTTAATTATACGCTATAATTAATCCTAAAAATATTTGATTTTTGAATCCCTTCATTGTATTTCTCAAATTAATGATTTGGTTCAATGATTTTACTACTAAAACATTGTACTACTACATAATTATGATGTTTTTGTTTTTATTAAAAAAAATATAGTAGTTTAAGAGAATTGGATTGAGTATAATGAAATCTAGTTGTTTAGTTGAATAATCTCATATTCGAGTTTTTGTATTTATAAAAAAAATTTTAAATAATTATTCTTGTTTTATATATTGCACAGGATATAAATAGTTTAGTTTGAATTTTTAAATATGGTATATCTTGGATGAAAAAAAGAGAGAGAGATGAATATAATACCTCTTATTATGGAAGGAAAAAAAGAGTACTTTTTTGTGTATTTATTGCTGAAACAAAAGGGACTGCTGCTTGCATTGATAATTTTTGGAGGATACGTTTATTGAAGAGACGAAGGACCATCCATGATTGAGACCGTCACAGCAATAGCAAGTCCAAAAAGTGGGCAGCGGAGATCTCCAATGATCCATCAAATCAATCTCGTCTTTTTTTTTTCTCGTAACTGCTTTGTCTCTAATACAAGGCAACTTGGGACGAAGGTTGTTCTTCTGATCATCTACTTGATTTCCACCTTCGGTCCATTCGTCTTCTTCTCCAAAGTCGTTTTGCTCTTTCATATTCTCATTAAATTCCCTTTTGTCTCACTCCATACCTCCCTTCTGTAATTAGAGCCAGTGGCCTCGTGCCTCCTATCTCTTACCTTCTGTGCCCTAGCCCAAACTCCAACCCTAACCTGCCACTGCCACGTGTGGACCCATTTCCAGATGAGTTGTCATTCTGTGCCAACAAAGCAAAGCTTGTCTTAAACATTGGAATTGGAAACTCCCTATCAAACTATTATCTCATCCCATTTCTATTTTGATGCGGGTTACAACATTACATGGGCTTTATTAACCTTTGGGGTTTGAAATTTTGATGGGTCAGATTTTGCCACTTGTCTCTTTTCTTGGTGTGGGCCCACCTTATCATGAGCTTACCAAATGCAATAGAGAACGTTCAGGCCCAAGTGAAGGTATCAGGTAAAGATTCCACACAGACACCTGTCAGTCCAATTGTTGACCCTCTCTCAAGGCTAGCTGGATCTCACAATATTTTCCACTCCAAAGTTTGGTCTCATTCCCATTTTGATAGTGCTTGTTCGTATGCCTTTACAGATTCTTCTTACACTGCTACAAGATTATATTCTTTCATTTCTGGCCTTGTCTTGTACATTTGACCCTTATTTGAATTGAATGTTTGGAGCTCAGAGCATAACTCATTTGACCAATTATGCACAATTATTGACCTAAATATCAGTCTTCAATTATTGGTGTTCCTTCAGACATGCCTATCACCATCCTTAAACGCATGCCACGTTATCAAATTTCATCATTCCTATATCGAACCTCTTCATAAACATAAAGATTCTAGATTGTCAAAGTTTTTTGGAGCCTTAACCCTTGGATCGATGAATTTAGGCTTTTTATAGACTGGCCTTTATGCAAAACATTCTAAAAGCCCAACAAACAATGATCCCCTGTTGATATTAAAACTGGGTTCTAAAAATGGACACAAATAGAATTTCTTGTGATGGCTTCCCACCCTAGGGAATTGGGTTTGTGGGGGTGGATTTGCGTAGAGTTTTGGGTATCACAGAATTATTATGTTTTTATTAAATAACATGTGTCCTGTCTTTTAAACTATTATCTGAGTTGATAAAACCTATAACAATCAAACAAGTTGATTAGACAAGATTTTTACATGGGAAAGTTAAATTATACCCATGTGATTCAATTATATGGGAGTTTGTTTCTCACAAAATTACTAGATGCCCTCTATTTGAAGGAAAAAAAGAATAAAAAAGAAGAAGAATTTCTTAGGATCAAATAGATAAAAAATTAAAAGCATGTTTAATCTAGCGATTACCTAAAAATTGTGTATCCAGCTAGACTCTCTAGTGAATAAAGGTTCAAGTTTTGATAATTTAATTTTTTTTTTTTTATGATTATGTAATAGGGAGAACTATCTCATTATATAGTCCAATAAATTTATTGTATCTCTGATGAATTACAAAAAGAGATAACAAGTTAAAAGAGTGCAAACATTCTATTTTGGTAGAAGATGTTCAAAAACAACTTGATTAATTTTATGATCACATGCACTATTGCGGCCCTTGAATCTACAAAGATAAAGAGAAGATAAAGATGTGATCCCATAAGATAACATCTTATTATAAAATTAGCTACTTTATAAACATGAGTAAAAAAGGGACATTTCTTGATAATCAGACCTAATGCCTAGAGCCGAATTTGTGTTGGCCTAATGACTAGTGAGAGCAAGAGTGTGAGATTCGAGATTTTAGTATCATGTGGTAGTATCTCATATGGATTTGCTACCTATTCCCCTTTTTTTTTTTTTTTTTTCCTGCTTTTTCAGTGTGGATACATTGATATTTTCTCCATGTGTGCATGTCTTTCATGCTAAGGACCACTTCCAGATTAACTAGCATTCGAGTGTTTAAAAGTTAGGGTCTTTCATTACAAGGATGATCATTTCGAATCAAAATTTCGAGATGCTTTCTTGATTATTGATGGGACTCCATCATATTTTAAAATTAATTTATCACTCATGGATGCATGTTAGCTAATTTCATTGGTTAAATCATTAAATATTTTTTTAGGGCACACTTCAAAACAACATGAATTAAAAAAAAAAAAAAAAGAATGGTTATTATCCTCATTGGTGTAACTTAATTATTGGTTAGATTGAAGAAAAGATTCTCCCTCAAAAACAAAATCAAGGGATCCATCTATAACATGAGCAATATCATGTCTTTTAAAGAAAAACATCCATAAAAAATGAAATGATACAGAAAGATTGTAAGATCCCTGCTCAATAATTCACGCACAAAACAATTGATCGTAGCATTGCAGGCATTATCAATCGGTACCTGTATTAAGCTATAACAGGATATATCTATTGACAATAGCTTTGAATATTTGTCACTTGTACAAACAATAAACAAAGTTAATTAGATATTGGTTGATAATTGGAGACAAACAATTAAGGGACTTAAGAACTTGGCATGCAAAAGTTCTACAATTTCTAGTCAATGTCTCAGTGACATTTCCAAAGTAAGACCTTTTTGTTTCTTTTCCGGATTATCCCTCTATTTTGGCTTTGATTTCTCAGAAAAATCTTTATCCTATTCCAACAATGACAATGCAAAAGACAATGACACACCAAATTGTTCCCTCACACCAAATTGTGCCTTGATTATGGATCATCAACTAGGTATAGACCTAGAATTATGCTCCATTTTTAACATTAGCTACCCTCCATGCATAATCCTTAGTCGATGCTCACAAGCAACCTTTTTATTGTGTTCTCCGCTTGGCTCTTTATATGCTCATTTTTCTCTACATTAAAATTCCCATTTCACCTAGGATTAATTAAAATCATATAGTAAGTATACCATTACTACCACCTCATCTTTGCTGGTACTTCAATGGGTTCCCTTCCTTCACCCCAACCAACAACACCACCACCGTCGCCGGAATTTTTTCCATCTAGCTATAGGGTATATGCCTCATTTTGCGACAAGAGGGTTTCCAATTGGATAGAATGTTACAATCCATCAAATAACACATGGAGCTACGTTAGCTCAATTCCTAACCTAATAGAAAACCATGTCTTGAAAGGTTTTGCAATGGTTACAGTAGGTGATTCAATTTACATAATTGGTGGATTGCTATGTCGAAGGGTGCGACAACCTAACAACTTCGACGAGTCCGACGAATTTATGGACGATGGTGTTGAGGTGCTACCATCGGCTCTTCGCTACAATGTTCCTTCCAACCAATGGTCTCAATGTGCACCCTTAGGCGTGCCACGCTACGACTTTGCTTGTGCTGTATGTGAAAATAAAATTTATGTGGCAGGAGGCAAGTCTAGCTTGGCCAGTAGAAGAGGGATTTGTTGCGCCGAGGTATATGATCCAACTCTTAATGTGTGGAGTCCTCTGCCTAGTATGAGCACATTCAGGTACAAATGTGTAGGCGTAACATGGCGAGGTAAAATCCATGTGGTAGGGGGTTTTGCCATGAGAGGGGACTCCGATAAAACGGTGCCGTTTATAACTGAAAGGAGCTCCGCCGAAGTGTACGATCCGATAACCGGAAAATGGGACCTAATGGCAGGAATGTGGCAATTAGACGTGCCTCCTAATCAGATTGTAGAAGTTGATGGAAGACTGTTTAGCTCTGGTGATTGCTTAATGGCATGGAAAGGTCACATTGAAGCTTATGATGGGAAGCTCAATATATGGAATGTTGTTGATGGATCACATTTGCAGACTCTTAACTCCCCAATTTCCACTGCTTCAGAAGGCAGCAATGAAAATTGGCCACCAATCCAACGGATATATCTCACTATGGCACCAATTGGGACTCAATTATTTTTCTTGGCAGGTTATAGGATGACTGGGGAATTGTCACGGATAAAGTCAATGGTCCTTAATTTTGACACTACAGCTACTACACATGCATGGAGGAGCTATGAGCCCATGGAAGAAGAGGGAGTGAAAGAACTTTGCAGCCATTGTTGCGCAGTTAGAGTTTCTGAAGCAATCTAGCATGAAGAACAGAGTGGATGACAGTCGCAAGTGATGTATTAGATTAAACCTATGTAATGCACACACGTCTCAAATTAATCGAATAATTATTGCACTTGCGAAGGTCCATAATATTCCTCTTTTCATAAGTGGTAAACATTTTCGTGCTTTGCTTGGTTTGATGCTATATATGGATAATAGGATCTCATGTATAAGGGTTTTCGATGATTCACTTTTGTAGTGTGATTAACCAGTCCTGCTAGGATGCTCCACTTGTGACCCAAGTGCATGATTTTGGTTAGATTTTGATGAACCAATAAGATATGTATCTTTCCTCTCAAAGTAACAACAAATCCCCTAATTTTCTAGCCCATGTCTCTGTCATTTGACTATATCCAATTAGCGTAAAGTATCACTAGATTAAGCGTTCATTACTGCCAATAATTAGATACAAGTAGGATACATAATTTATTATATCGAACAAATAGGAGAGGATTACTACCCATATTTGCCAAGATGAAATTTTATGAGCTTTTCCACCATTTATGTACAGTGACAGTTGCTACAGAACTTAAGCTTTAGCATCCATACAATACCAACAGCTATAAAAGTCATTAAATTCAATGATACATTCAACAGCAGCGTAGATTTTGCTTATACGAGATAGTTATCAATGATGTGTGTCTGAAAATAGAAAGAGAAATCGGCGACCCAAAAATTCATAATTGCCTGAATGGCAATTGAACTCCATCCAAGATCTGTTCAACAAAAACTTACGCTCATCCCTAGTTCAATCCCCCTTTTCTGTCTTGTTTTCTAAACAAAGCAGGAGTTTAGTGAACGAAAGACCATAATTTTGTTTAGTTAGTAGAAGACAATCCAGTTGTACCTTTTTGCATTAACCAAAGGATGTTGCTTGTCTCCCAAACTGGTCCCCTAGCTATCATTTACCTAGTACTGTTCCAAAAACAAAAAAAAAAAAAAGAGAAAATTCTGCTTTCATGCTTTTGAGTTTTGCCCATGCCAAGACATGTTAACTCAATCTTGGACAAGTTTGGAAGAGAAGCCCAAACGGTATCTTCTTCATGAAGCAAGAGACACACAAAACCCCATCTGACCCACCCCGTCACCTTTTGCAGTCTAAAAAGGAAATTTGGGTCACCTTCTTGACTACTAGGCTTTCACCCTATAGGCCTGGCCTGCAAGCCCAGCCCCAATCCATGACCCTTTATTACTATCATTTGGTCAATGGTTGTTTCAAAAAGGTTTTTCACCATGGTACATGCCATCAAAAGAAGAGAAAAGTGGCACACCTATACCCAAAATAAAACACCAAAGGCCAAGGAATTGCAAAAGCAAGTAAAAGATCCTTTCACGTGAGCCTATAAGGTTAGCCTCTATCACGAGCCACCCCGCACCCACCTGACTCACCTGACCCAGACCATGACCCCACCAACCCCACACCCTGACACAGTCCGCCCATGCACTCCTCTTCTTCTCCACCTGAGAAAACTCCAATTTGAATGTTTAATTTTTTATTCTATTTATTTAAGTATCAAAAATTTTATATTATTTTCTATTTAAATTTCTTCAGTCACCTAAAACTAAAAATTAATAACGTGACTAGAATCTACTAACACGCGATAATTTTTAATTAATGCACGAAAAAGAATATTTCATTTGGATTTATTTAAAAATAAAAGAAATGATGATAAAACTTTTATATAAGAAAATAAACGGCAAGAATAATTCAAAATTAAAATCAATATTGTTAGCCAAATAAATTCGTATTATTTAAATGATACTTGATTAAAACTATTTGATTAGGCAAAAAAAATTAGATAATAATAGCTTGAAACTTTTTAAGAAATTAATCAGTAAATTTGTCAAGTTGATTAAGCAACAATAAACAATTTTGATTTTTTTTTAATTCTTGCAAGTTATATTCTTTTATAAAAGTTCTATATATTTTTTTCTTTATAAATCCTAATAGGATCTATTTTTTTATTATGTATTAGTCAATCTCGATCATATTAGTATTTTTTAATCTCAACTGACAGAAAAAACTCAAATAGATAAAAAAATCAAGCCTTGAATACTCAAATAAATAAAAACAAAAAACTAAACACTCAAACAGAAAAGCAATAAAAGTTTAGGCACTCAAATTTCAAGTTTTTCTCTCTTGTACAGCTACTACTTCTACCAGTCAGCTCTGTCACGCTCTCTTCAAGCAACCGCACGTGCGATTGGTACCATGCACGCATGGGTAAACTACCGTTCCTGATGTTTGACCCACTTGCTTTGACTGCAAGGGGCATTCCCTGGATCAACGGTTAAAATTCAATGGGACTGGAGGAGTTATCTGGGCCGTTTATGTGGGGGACAATCTCAAGAATTCTGATGTCCACATGTTGGTTAGAGCTTGGAAAGGCCGACACTACAAGTTGATGTGTCGGATTTTTTCTGGGAAAGGAGAGATTACAGATTTCAATTATTAATTATTGTTTTTATTTGTTTGGTGCCACGAGGAGAAAGTGACATGGATTGACACGTGGAAAAGGGCTACAAGGGTGGACCATGGGGCTCATGGCCGTGGTGGACACATAGGCCGACATGGTGCATGTGATGGAGTCTATTTTAGTTCACTGTTGCTTTAGGTATTGTTTTTGCTTATAAATCTTCGTCAATTCAAGCAGTTCCTGATGCTTATGTCTTGTTGATCCTCTTTATTAGATGGGGCACTTCATGCTTGCTGTTTTTGGTTGGTGGTTGTTTCTTTTAATTGGCACCCTCTCCACATGAATTTGCATGCATGGGATCCAAGAGAAGCACATGGATTTTTATGCATGCATTATGTCACTAAAATTAGGAACCAAATTTTGCCGACAACTCAATCTAGCTATTTCCATTCATTTTCACCACTCAGTCACATAAACGAACAATATATTTAGGTAAATATTCTCACGTATCTTTATAGAATATATTAAATTTTTACTCTGTTTCTAAATTTAAAAGCGTCTATAATATTTTTTGTTATTTAAACTAGTTTTTAATATATATTTTTTATCAAAATTTTTAGTTAATTTATCAGAAATTAATCTTTATAGTAGTAGATATAAATTAATAATTATTTCAAAAAATAACAATAATTCTATCAAATCATATGCTTAATTTAGTATGAAATTTTGACTAAAGTAATATATTTGAAACCAGTTTTAATAACATGAATATATCAAAATCATTTTTGAATTAGAAACAAATGAAAATTATATAAGAATATATAAAGATACTAACCCAATACCTTTCGTTATGTGCGACTATTGCTATTGCTATTGTGCATTTTCAATTGTCTACGTGTAAATTAACTGATTTGGGGCACTAAAAATCAAACCTGCTCAGAACTTACAAAAAAAAAAACATAGAAGTTGTTTGCTTTGGATTCAAAATGTGTTTAAAAACATGTGTTAAGAAGCATAGCGGAGAAGGCAACAACAAAGCAATCAATTTATATATTGTCTCTTCAAAGCCAAAAAATTATTGCAAGCAAAGTGAAACAAAAATCTATCGTGAGTTTGAAGTTGGATTAATATATATGCCACCATCCTCTTATTTTATCAGACTCGACCGAGTTCTTTCTTATAAATAAATAAAAACAAATAAAACAGCAATATGTCGTAATGAAGTGTGTGCTAGGCAAATGCCACATAGGACCGCGAACTTGCCTTGTTGGAGGACACGTGACCATGAGGACTGTAGGGTGTGGTAGCTAGCTAGGGGCCATAAACATGTGTTTGCTCTTCTCGAAAGAAAGAAATGGAACTTAATTTAGTACTTTTGTTGTTCTTCTATATCCATCAGTTCCTATGAAAGGTTAACCTAAGAGACCTGTCTTCACCTTCACTGCAAGTCTGCAAGTCCGCAATTCCAAACTTGGACACTCTTGCATTTCTCCGTTTCCCCATATCCTTAAGATTCTAATTTCATGAATACCCCATGCTGGCTCAAAGTCCACTGCCAAGTCGCATCTCAAGGCCTCACCTCGTGACAATTTCACCGGCATAAAAACATCCAAAATTTTTAACAAAACTATTATGTTAATATTTGAATCCATGATCTTTTCGTTATAAAAGATTATTATCACTAAAATATAAACTTTTTTACCAACATGAAATGAGGGTGGCATTGGATAACTTTATCAAAATTTGAGATCAAGACTATTTTACAGATTTTAATAAATTTTAAGGTTGGATTTATTTTATGTGCATTTTTCTCTGTATTTTTATGTGGAGAAATGATGAATTACTATAAACAAGATAAATAAAAACTTTTAAAAAGAGTATGAATCATTGGATCTTGATCTTAATATCGGATCCTATTATTCTAATGCTCTTCAAATTGTTTCTTAATATTTCTTTTATATGTTGCATGAGAACTCTTAGAATAAAAAAAAGAAAAGAAAAAGGAATATGATAAGATCGAAGTCTAAATCATTTTCCTCCGATGAGAAGTCTTGGCTGATCAAGAAAAGAAGATGGTTTTGTGCCCACAAGACATTAGCAAACTCAATGCTCTCAGATTTTTAAACATTCCAATTAAAAAAATAAAAATAAAAGCTCAAACAGGAATTTCTTGTGTTGGGATCCAAAGGTGCAAGAACCAATAAAGAAGAAATTTTTTTGGAGCATGCCCGTGACAAAACTGAGTTCTTTTTCTTTTCAAAATCAATATGTTAATCTATCTGAAGAAAAGAAGCTTTGTGGCTCACAAATTATCTGTTGTGTGCTGCTGAAGGGAAGAACAAAATATGCTCAATGGGCCTGGGAGAGTTTGGTTTGGATGCCATTAGAGTGGTGGATAAGAGGAGCTCACATCTTTTTAAACTTGCATGTTATGTGTCTTTTTTATCCAATTAAAGGCATGCATAAAGATAATGAATGATAAACGTTAGCCATGATTGTGAAATTTTCGGCCATATAAAGTTGTGTGAAGTTGTCGAAAATTTCTATAAAAAGGCCATGAATAATTGATGGGGAAGTATATCAATGCTGCTCGGCCTTTGATGCAATGTGCTGGAAAAACAATTAAAAAGAAAGACTTGGGCCTTTCCATTGTTTCTTTAAATCATTTTTTCTCTCTTTTTTTGCAAGTTGATCGTCTTAATTTTTTTTTCTTCCTCCTCATGCAAGGCATAAGATTGTCGTGAGGTTTGAATTTTAATATTTATAAAAAATTATTAATTTTCGAATGATCATCTTAAAGGTTCAAATATTAAATAATAATGTGTACAACAAATTCATTTATTAACCTGCCTAGATTATTTGAAAGAGTATAAGAATAAAATATTCTGTATTATTAATAAGTTGTTGACCCAACAGTAAATTGACTAGTTCGAAACTAATTTTTTATTAATATATAAAATTCAAAATTTAAAATTATATTTGTTGAAAAATTCAAATTTTATCTTTTCTATTTCAATCATAATTAATCTTATTTTCAACGTGAGATGTAAATGCATGAGAAAAACATATATACATATATACCAAGTGAAGTTTAAAGTTAATAACAAAAATAACCATATTGACAGTTAAACAAATATAGTTAACTGTTATTTTTTTCCTTCATTTTTACAAATAAATTCAGATTCTCTCATCCATAAAAATTATGGTAAGTTAGAATTGGTGCATAAAAACTCGTCAAGGATAACTACCGCCATCCAAAATTCCGGCCCAACAAATCTCTGAAATTTTGGTCGCGGTGCGCGTTACTATTTTTTGAGCTAACTACAATTCAGTCCTCCATTTATGAGAGTGATTTTAAGTCAATCTTGGAACTATGACTTCTTGGAATTATATCTACTTACGATCGCTCTCCTATCAACTTAATATACCAGTTACATTTTATTAAGAAAAACTTAACAAAATTTGGTAATTTGCTCAAAATGTGATTTATCACACCATTACACCATTAGCCTTTGCTCTTTCACAGTCGATTTAATTTTTGAATGCCTAGGCTTCTTTTATTTCTCTTACACTTTATTAATATAAATAAATCTCTCTGGTATTATCAAGTTTCAAAGATCTATTTTGAGTTCTCTCTCTTTTTTTGTTTTTTTTTTTTCATGTATGAAAAAAAAAACCTTTTGACATCAAACATGGCGATGTTGATCTTACTTAGATGGATGGATCAAAATTACAAGTCAGACAAGAAAAGAAAATCAAGAGATGCAATTCCCATATCTTCACAAAATGTAATCATAGGATAAAATTGTTTCGAGAAAGATAGTCGGATATAGATATATCGGCTAAATTCATTATTTGAATTTTGTATTTTTTTTAATAAATTCATCAAAAAAAAAAAAACATTAAATCTAGTGATTTTTCATATGATATTTTATGGTTTTGATATCAGCTTATCAAAATCATCCAAAAATATCTTTTAATATTTTTCAATATAAATTTATTTTGAAAATCATTTCAAAATATATTTTAAATACATTACCAAACACAACATTTTAATTAGTTGCAATTCATATCAAATTCAGAATTCAAGAGAAATTCCTTCATCCCAACCAACTCTAACCCAAAAATGACAATATCGGAACTTGAGAACCTCATACCGCTTATCTAATTTATTTACTGATGTAACTTTGAAAAAAAAAATGGTAAAAAAAAAAAAAACACCCCCCAACATGAAAGGCCATAGTACGCTTCTTGGTTAAATAAACTGAAAAGTCAATTTCAACTGCCAAAACAACCATTTCTCCCATTTATATAACACCAAAAGAGTTAAAAAGCAGACAAAGCTATCCAAATTCCAAAGCTTTCAGTCTTCTCTCTCTACGCCAGGCACCTCCCTGTAAGGAAAAGATAGCCCACATGCCCTTCTCTCTTTATAATCTCTCTTTCTTCAAGCCTTGAAATACCAAGTCTTTAAGCAGTCCTGTGTGTCCATCAAGGTTCATCAGGCTTTGATTTTTTTTCTTTTTCTTTTTTTTCTTTTTTAGTTAAAAAGCCTTAAGTAGCGCCTTACCTTTTGTTAATACACCATCAGCTACCAGCCATCAGCCATCGATCTCTCTCTGTCTTTCTCTTTCTCATGAGCACAGCAATGATAATGAAAGTGAAGAACTTCAGGAGCTAAAAGATTGGACTTGAAAGGAAAACAAAGAAAATGGTTGCACATGATGGTGGCTATAATGTTTGGCCACCAACAGAAGCTCCATTGTTGAATGTGCAAAGAGAGGATCAACACTGGAGGCATTTTGACAATTCAGTTAATGCTGTGTCTTTCGGGTTTGTGGCTACTGCCATTCTCATTTCAATGTTCTTGGTTATGGCCATCTTTGAAAGGTTTCTTAGACCCACTTCAGGTAGAGGTGGCCATGGCGATCTTGAGTCTCAAATGGGGTTCAATTCCAAGCTTGGCCACCCTTCACCGAAAGTAAGTGAATCCCTTTTGTCCTTTATGCTTGCATTTAACGTTTTTGTTCAAGAATTACATGTTTGATTGGGTAGCGTGTGGTTTTCTTTAGCTTTCTCGAGGGTAAAAAGTTTCATTTTTTTGGCAGTTTTTTTAAGGGTAACTTGTTGCATGTTTTTTTTCTTTTCTTCTTTTGTTTTGGACAGTTTGGGTGGTTATTTTGATTCTTGGAAATGGTGATGATTGTAGGTCTGACATAAAGTTTTGCTGCCTAAATGGTTTAATTTCATAATTATAGGTTTTTCTTGTTTTCGGTTGATTCATAATTATGCTTGTCAGAGAAGGATTTATTGCATCCAGGAGGGTTTAACTTGGTTATTTTGCTTCAAAACATACCAAAGAATGTGGGAATTAATTAAGCTTCTAGCTTTATTTACTAACTTACCTTGTTTTTCTCTTCTAATTTCCCTCTCAAATTCACTACTTGGCTATATTTCTCCTCAAGCATTTTCACCCGCTTTATTTGTTTTACTGGGTCTCCTGCTCTTTCTTATCACCTCCATGTAAGTTATAACAGAGATCTCTCATTACATTACAAGCTGTGGCCTTTCTTTCCCTCTCCCAGGGCTGGCCATAGCCTGAATGTGTATCATATCATGTTTGCATCATATGCAAGTTTTAGCTGTCCTTAAATGAATTACTGCCTTTATGGTGAACAGATTTAACCTGGGGTTTTAGTTTTACTATCAAAGTGATCAGAGTTTTGATCCAAATGCAAGATTTATTAGCTGTGTATTAATGCACTTTGCAGAAGTCATAAAACTGAAGCTGATGAATACATTTTTTTCCTCATCTGCATTTTCATTCTTTAGTCAAAATTCATCATTCAGGAATTGTCCTGTCCCCTAATTATGATTGTTGGGGCAATGGCCCATCCAAGAAGTTGTCTATTTAATGAAAGGTTGGTCCCAAACCAATGAGTTACAGGAGCAGAGATGTACTTCTTTTTGTTTAGACCCACCTTTGTACATTAGTACATGTTGGTTATCAGGCTCAATAGTGTACTAATCTTTATGCTGCCCCGCATGTCCAGTGCTTATGGTCGGAGACAGGTTTTCTGTGGACACAGCCATAGTTTAATTATCATCTTCTTATTAATTTCCAAATTCCATTTGTGTGTCCTACTAGCTTTTTAAGTTTACAGAGTGTCCTACAAGCTCTAAATACCGTAGTCATGTGCAAATATGAAGAGATATAAAAACTGCCTGAGTTTAGGTTTAAGATTTTTCCTGCAGTATCCTGTGAGGGGTCCTGCTTGATGCATCACGTCTGTGGTCTACCATGTGCCATGCCTTTAGAGAAACACACAAGCCCCACTTGCAGATCCAACCTTATTGTTCAATCCTAGGCCTTATGTGGGCACGACCTAAAAAAGATCGAAGTGGTTTCAACTTTATGAACTATACAAATGCTAACAATCCATCGATTGTAAAACTATGCAATTTTTTAAACCTTTACCTAAAATTATCAGACAATGAGAATCCTAATCAGTTGATCACTTTGATTATTGTCAGTTTGTAAGCGTGCTCGTGGGAGCTTTTCTGTGATAGGTCTAAATCAGTTTACTTATTGTGATATAATGCTTGAGGACCCATATTTGCACTTCCTATCAACGTAGACAGAGTGGTCTCTCAAGTGTTTTTAGATTATCAGTTGGGGGACAGTGCATTACTTTTTTCAGGGTCCAGGATTAGAAGCTAACAGTTAGTCTTGTTTTGAGGGCTGACGATCCTTATCAAACTCATTTGGCTCCACATAAACATACAGGATCTTTGAGTTGATGCGAAATGCAGTAGCTTAAGCAAAAAGAGTTGAGAAAAGGGCCACTGGAACATGAGGCATGTTTTCAAGGGTGTTTTAAAATATCACAGCAAACATGTAATTTAAAGCTCAAATAGGTATCTTCCTAGATTAGGAATGTACAGGTTGCATTAGTTAGAGTCCTTAATCAAACTAGTAGTTGGAGACATGAATTGTATCTGTTCGCTAAGAAATAAGTCCCCGTGCGTAGGTTTGTCACATAGTAACGAAATCCATCTGTTATGTGGATACAAGTCATTAATATCTTGCATCTGCTAGCATTACTGTAATGTAGACCATCCTCATATAAAATTGTTTGTCCCCCAGCATGCACAAATTAAATGGACCATCTTATAAAAAATGGGCAAAAGTCAAATGCACATGTTAGTTGTTGGGATAATGTTGTTAGTTGTTACCTTATCCAATAAACTAGGAACATGATAAATAAAATGAAAAGAGTAAGCAGTAATCAAACACTAGCATGTGCTTGGATTTTCTGAGCATTTAATTTGTTTGTGTCATGTTTTACCTGTCTTGTTATTTTTAGTTTTTGCTTCAGCCCTCAAAAACTGTATGATCCCAAGTGATTCTGTTCTGTTTAATGCTGGGTTGCAAAATTACAAAATTTGTATAGTAATGAGGCTGCTGAGCCACCAAATTAGGGACGGAATTGGTCTATATTGTATGTGTGGAAACTATGCTTGATGTTAACAGACAAACACTGCTAGCAGTGGAATTCCGTCAACTTGTTCCTTCCTCTGGATAATGGGTGGTTTGAGCATGTCAAATCTCTAAGGCCTTAGTCAGTGAACACTGTTCTTAGTGATCAGTTAATTTCTGTTTTGACTCTGCCATTTGCCTAGAAATAGGACATCATGTATTTTTTCTTTCATTTACTGGCTTATGTCTTGCAATGCACTTACAACAATGAAAGTGGATTCATCTAATTTACTGAACTGCAGACTCCTTTTCAAATGCTAGTTTGATTGTTTTGTGCAAGTTTTGATGAGATTGATTAAAATTGACATCCCTTCTTTGAAAAATTTATGCAGATGACTGTATATACAAATGGAGTTTCTGTGTTGATGCCTGGAGATAATATTCCTACCTTCATAGCACATCCAGCACCAGTGCCTTGTACCGCCGAATGCATTTCCTACCCTCATGATCAACAACATATTAATTCATTTCCAAACCCCGACACGAGCTCAAGCTCGATTTCGATCTCGACCCAACAAAACTAGCCATGAGAATGCCTACTTAAAACCCAAGACAAATAATCACAAACTTTGCGCAAAAGTTTGAAGGCAACAAATGAATGAGCATTCCACTCTGGAGTAGAGGTTGTTCTTTATGTTGTGTGTATATACCATTAGTTTTTGATGAGTTTGCTGGCATGTGCATATACTCATTTTCAAATCAGCCGAGAAGCTTCCATCCCCGGATTCATCTTGCTTTATCTTTGCACCATTTCTATGTGAGTTTTCTAGGTAGGATTGGATCCTTGAAGGTGGGTGGTTTTTCCTGTCAAATGGATCGTTCCGCTTGTAAAAAAAGAAATATTGAGGAATATAATTACTCATAGAGTATGGAAAAAACTGTAAGGGCATTTTTTTTTTTTACGTATGTTAAGGGTCCAGTTTCTAAGAATTAGTAATTGCTTTAAGATATTCACTAGGTTCATAGCAAGAACGTTAATACCATTTCCTTTTTTATTAATGGTTACAACATGGAACTTCCTTAATAATGTCAAGGAAACAATGGAACATTGGTGTCAACCTTTCATATGTTGTCGGGCATTGAGAAAAATCATGTATTGATTAAGAACAATACTTATTAAAATTTGTTATCAGGTCTTGTTTCAAATTGCAAAATATCTTATTCTTTTTTAACAATACTTCCTTAATAAAGTTTGGATTGGACTAAGGGTCACGGAACGTGTTCAAAAAAGCAAACCAAGGTTTGCTATTGGAAAAAAACACCATGGATTTCAAAAGGGTTGATTTGAACATAAGGATTTTAGTCAATTAAACAAATGATTTTGAATTCGAATATTTGTACAGAAAGAAAACTAGTTTAGGTTTTTTGCCTTAGAATACTTTAGACATCCTAAAAAACACCATTGGATATCAAGAAAGGGATATGCTTTTTAAACCGAACAAGGAAATGAATGGAAAAAGCTAAGTGCTAAAAAATCAACTTTATGCTGTTTCTAATAATCGAGTTTTTATCACTAGTTGAAATTTGTAGCTTTTGTAGTCATTGATCAAACAAAAATTTTTAAAAAATGTAACTATGAACAAGAATTAAAATTCGAACCGGAATAATTAATATTAACATAATAGAAGCGGGGTCAATCAGGTGTTCAAACTCTAAGGATAGTCTATGGCTAGATATAGATAAAGATGCATGAAATGCATATGATGAGCTAAGACAATGATTAAGAGTCTAATATAGCTAGGTTAAGAGACAATTGAGCATGTTATGATGTTGTTAAAATCTCATAGGGATGTGACATACTTGAATAACAAAAAGATTGCTCGGTTTTCATTTCAGCTGTAGGTAGGTGTAACTAATTCCTTAGTAGGGATACGACAGAACAAAACACAAGAAAAAGAGCTCCAATATAAAGATATTAGCTTCCCTACTTCACTGCCTCTCCCTTTGGTCAAGAAGTAAACTAATCTGACCTAATCTAACGTGTTTTAAAACAAAGATTAAGTAGATAGATAAAAGAAGCAAGCAACTTGAGCCTATTTGAAACCTAATTATGAATGTTCGAACCTCTATGTTTTTCAGCATGAGATTTTGAGTCTCGAAGTTTTTTTCTACACCAGGTTACTTTTAATTTTATTTTTTATTATCAAAATAGGGTATTTATAAGCTTAATTCCTGAAAACAAGGCATTTTTTGACATGTGGGTTTTATTCAAGAAATTTTATAATACTCAAAAAATAATTAGTGACATACATAATGGTTACTTCATTGATCTACTCTATAGAGAGAGATAAACACCAAAAAACAGAATGAACATAAAAAAAATTGAGCAAATGTTAAAATCTTCTTATCACTTTTGATGAGTTCGGATATAATTCTATTTTTTATGTGTCTATCTCTCTCTTTAAAAGTGGATCCGTTAAGTAAGTACTCGTCTCTTTTAGTATTATAAAATTTCTCGGTTTCATCCTAGCACTCCATGTCATCTATTTCCTTTTAAATTATTAATACTTTAATTAAGAATTAATTAAAAAAAAAAGCTGTAAAACCTCTCTCTTCCACCAAAAACTTGGGTTTTTTTTTTTCTCATTAAAATTTGGCTAAAACAGATTTCTAGATTACAGACTTCAATCATCTCTACATTAGAATATATATATATTAAAAAAAAAAAAGACCACTGCCTCTGTAATTAATTCACCTAAAAAAATCAAATCAAAAAAGGAAAAAATTAGGTTTTGTTATTTCAACTTTTTTTGTTCCACTAGGCTAAGAAATTTATGATTATCTCAGCACTTGAACCAAAATTGAGAAAACCCAATTTCTTGCGTTGTTCTAGACATATTTACAATTGTGTTATGTATGAAATTGAGAAAATCCAATTTCTTGCGTTGTCCTAGACATATTTACAATGATGCTATGTATGAATAAGTTCATCACTAAATGCATGATTGTCACTTGTAAGTGGTTCTTGACCATGTGAATGGTTGAAAAGAAAAAACAAATTCAATTAAGCGAAATGCTTTTATAAAACCCTAAGTTTGTAGATAGAAAAAATGAAATAAGATGACCAGATAATACAAATAAAGCAACCACTAATGTTATCCATCTCTTTACCAAAATAAAAGAAATAATGCAATGCATCTGTTAGACTAGAGAGATAATTTCATGAATTTGAATTGATGACAAAGGATGAAGAAGATGATATAGCTATTAATTTTTATTTTTGATTTTTCTTATTGTTTTTTGGTACAATTGTTTTTATTGATAATTGATTACAAACTTTTTAAAAAATAGTCATAAATAAAAATGACATGGATATTAAGATCTTACTTGGCAAGAAGTGCCTTAGTTTAATAAATAGGATTAAAAAGAAATTTTATAATATACAAAAAGTAATTTTATGGACCTACTTTGAAAAGAAAGATAAACACGTAAAAAACAAAGAGAATTACATCCGGATCCACAAAAGTGATAAGAAGATTTTCATCTTTGTTCAATTTTTTTTAAATTTTCTCTCTCCTATTTGGTGGATGCAAACGTAATTCTTTTTTTATATATTTGTTTATCTTTCTTTTCAAAGTAGGTTTATGGAGTAATTATTATACATATATAATAATTACTTCTTATGTATTATAAGATTTTTCGATTAAAAATACTTTAATTTAATAAATAAAAATTCAAAGTATTTGGATATGAAAAATAACTCTTAAGTTTCGTGTATTTATCATTTCATCGTCAAAGTATCTTAAAAGTGCGTGATGCAATTTCTTTTGATCCGTCATGTCATATAAGCTGCAATCAAACATCTAATTATTTTAATTTGAATTATCTCAAAATGTCTTATCTATATTATATCTGACTTGCATGTGTTAAGCCTGTCGCCAGCAATCATCTCAAACTAATATCGAACTCTCTATGAAATTTTTAATTGCATTGCTTATAGTTCCTTGTTCGCAGGCCCTATTTCATGCGAAGCCCAATCCAGCAGAAATTGGCTGCCAAAATAGTGATGTTTTTTAGCTAAGGTCTCATGTTATCTCAACTAACCAGTAGCCCATTTCAACAACCCTCTCGCTGTGTTATTGGAGACTCGAAGTAACAGAAACCGAATAACGAGCCCATCAGAATTATTCCTCATTTGATGGGCTCTTAGCTTATAGGCTTGTCTCCGAAACTCGAACGTCGAGGAACATTGAAAAAGAAGAGTAAATTTCGATATTAATGCAATATTGCATTGGTGAGCATTCATAACGTATGGATGGATTGATAGAAGTGAAATGAAAGGAAAGGAAATTAAAGAGAAGAAGTTCAATTTTGTTTGTTTGGAATTGGGTGTTGGAGGAAAAGAAGGGAGGTGAGGGGAAAATGAAGTATGATTTCAAAATTTCATCCGATATCACAGCCCGCAATGATTCATCACAGAAAGATTATTGAAGAAGGAAAAAGAAGACTCTTAATTTTTGAAACAAACTGAACCATTGGCTTATAACTTTTGAACTTTGAGACTAGAGACATTCTTTTTTACGTGAAAAAGATACCACATAACTTCAATAATATTTTCGTAGGAACAGTCCAAAATAACCGATACAACAGTTGTCCATTATATGCTTTCGACAGAAAAGCCACCAAATAGCTCCATTAACAGCTTAACATTAAAAATTTGGAGCACTACTATAATGCTGTCCTCACAGTCAAATCCTCAAACGGCTAGAAAAAAATGTAGGGTTTTCCCTCCTTCCCACCTCAAAATTTCAATTTCTCATGCAAGACAAGTTCATGATTGCGTATTTGCCTTGTCTTTTCCATATCAGTTGGTTGTTTCCACTTCCCCTAAAAAGCTTACAAAAAGAAAAAGTACTGCATATTTAATGAAAATGCAGTGTGCAAAACTGGATAAATAATTTCAAATGATTAGCTTTTTCTGAGTAATTGATCGTATTCCATTTGGTTGAGTTTTATTAAGTGTACCAAACCTGGTTAATAAATGGACTGACATCTGATTTTTAAAATTTGAATAAAAAATGGAATTCATAATTGAATCCAACTTCATAATCCCAACTTCTGTTTGCATTATTGTTGGTGAAATTCTTTATTTATTTATTTTATTTTTTCTGTCAAATGAAAGATAAGGAGTAGCACATCACAAGAAATGCATTATCAATGAAGGTGGCTCGACTTATGAAGGGCTGCAATAAATAATTTCATGCCATTTTAATTCATGATACCGCTCCACCTCTCTTGCAAACCAATGCAGGTTTTAACTTATATGGTACTCAATTAGCTTTTCTTGTAGTTCGATGGTGCTCATCTAACCCTTTCAAACAAAAGTTTTGAGTTCGAAACTTTATTTTTTACGGAAAAAAAATGAGACTATATTTTCGCAATAAATGAAATTATGTAGTTCTAGTAGGGATAAATTACTTCAATTGTTGGCAATTTTAAAAGCTTCACTGTGAGTGAAATTAATTCCACCAAAAAATAAGAATGTGGGTTCTATTTGAAATTGAAGTTGACATCCTTTTCCCATTGCCAAGAAAAGAATCAAAAAGTGTGCAAAGAATGGCTCAGAATATTCAAGATTACAAAAATGTCAATCGTTTTTCTCAAAAAAATTAATTTACCCAAGTAAAGTAAGAGGGCCCAAATGTGAGCACAAGAAGCAGAAAGCAATTTTGTTTGACAATCGACAAACAGTATTTAATCAGTGAACCTTTACTTGATTCTTTTCGCGGTCTTTTCCACATTAAAACAAGATGAAAAAATCAGAGGCTTTGGTAGGCAGATCTTTGCATCAGTAGTACAGCAAGAGACCAGCAATCTTATGGACAGAAAACTTGGCAAATAAGGCAAGAAAAAGAAAGGGAATCAATGGTCAATTTGATGGCATTGCATATCCAAGTAGCCATAACATAATAATATCTAGTCATTTGTCTGCATCTCACACATTGACCATAACTAGAGATATTCGCATGACAAAAAGAAAAATAAAAGTAACCCAAAAACATAAAAAAGGTCACTAAAGTGAACGGAGTAATTAATTAATTAATGAACCTACTGGCTAATTTCACCGGAAAACACAACTCCGGCGACAATATTCCATTCATTTAAAGAAAGATAAAGCATTCAAGTGACACAAGTGGGTTTTCCAGTGACTCATTTGTAGTCTCATTCGTAGTCTCGCTAGCACTGTTATTAGTACTGGGCCACTTAGCCTCTATGCTACAATCCATGTTACCACTACCACCACCCTCATTCCGATCCTTCCCGATCCGACCCGGGGACCGATTTGTCCTTCTAGCAGATGGGCTCCGAGCCATTACAGATCTATTAGTAGCAGGTGACCTGGACCTTCTCGCTGACCCTTCACCCGGGTCTCTCTTTTTGGGTCGGCTCTCAAACCCCTCCTAATTCCTACTTGACCCGAACTCATTTCCCTGCTTTGAACCAACCTCACCGACCCTCCATTAACTGCACCATTTCTCCTGCTTGGTGACTGTTCGGTTGTTCTCCGGGTGGGTGACTTGCCCACGACCCTGTCTTTTCTCGGACCCAATTCACCTGAAACCCTGTTTCTAGGTGGCAAGGGAGATCTCGACACTCTCTGCTTCACCTCACTATCATCATCATCATAACAATCCCTTTTGTCATTGTTGTTTGTTGTTGTTGTTGAAATGCTCTCACTATAGCTCAAGCTGCAAACTTCCGATTCATCTTGTTCAAAGATCTGATCTTGACGACAAACTTCTTCTTTAGAGATTTTCTTGAACTTGTTTTCTTGAATCTTGATGTTATCAAGAAATGCTGGGTCAATGTGGATTCTTTCCTTCCTGTTGACTTCTTGATGCTGTAGATCATTTTCCTGATGTGGATTCTTGATGGGATTTTGTGGTGGTTTTGGTTTGGGGGTTTCAGAGAGGACTTCTTTTACTGTTTCTTCTTGATAGAGTGAAGGAGGTGGTGACTTGGTTGGCTTCAAAGCATCAGATCCTACTTGAACCTGTTGCTGTTTTTGAAGCTTTGAAGGTTCATTATTGGTGCTAAGACAACAACCCATTATAGATAAATTCAAGAAATGATAGAAAGATTCACATACTGTTGTTGGGATTGGTTCAAGAATTAGTAATTTCCAGTGCAAAAAACACAAGCTGGAACTTGGCGTCAAGTGAAGTGGTTTTGGACAAGAAGAAACAAAGACAAACAAGCAGAGACCTAGGAGGCAGGTGAAGAAGTGCGAATGTGTGTATAAATCCCCTACACCATGGACCATGAGGGTGTAGTATGGTCAATGCAATCTAGCAGTATTTATTTGGAAGATCCTCTGAACAGTGGAGACCAGTTTAGACACTTTTGTTTGGTCTATTCATGATCCCTGTTTTTCATAAATTTTTCTCTTCTTGTTTGGCCTTTTGGATAAATATGAAACAGTCCCCAACTTATACAGTGACTAACAAATTAGTCCCCAAGTTTAAGTCTTGCAGATTTATCCGAACTTTTCTTGGCTTAGCAATTAGCATGTTAGTCCTTCGTATTAATAAACGTTATCATGATGTCAAAATTCCTACCGCGTAATGGTTTAAACACTTCCAAATAGGGTATGGATATTACAAACTCATCAACTCGTTTATCAAAATTAAATTTAATGAACTAATTTTTTAATAATAAACTCCTAAAATATAAATAATAATGACACTAAAAAGTAATTTATGTTCGTATTTAAAGGATTATAATTTAGTTAACTGCTCACTTTATACAAAGATTTTCACACAAGTTTACATACTTCTCTTTCCTTTGCAGATGTAATGATTTTTCTAGTTGATCGCACTCCTATACAAGCTCACAATGTTACGATGTTAAAAATTAAGGAATGATTTGTTAGTCACTACATAGATTGAGGACTGATTTATAACTATTTATTTTTCCTTCTCTCTCTCTCTTTTTTTTCTTGGAACATTTTTCCTTCTATTTCTTTTTGGAGATAATTGTCCTCGTGATCTGTGCCTCATCATTTCTGCTGTGAAATTTTTAACGAGCGGCGCATATCATGTTTCTCTTTATTGGGGTTTGGAGGTTTTGTTTTCTTACAACCGTCATCACGTGAAGGTAGGACAAAAAAAATATGGGCAGTCTATCAGGCCATGTGAATGTGGGGTACTCAATGATCAACGGTGGAGGATGGTTTTGATTCTTTGGATGACTAGGAAGGAAGCTACAGCCTCCTGCACTATTCATTCGTGGGACCCAGCTTAGTGTCGGATTGGCTTAAAAGTTTGGATTTGCCAAAATAACTGTTTGATTAAAAAGCTGTTGACATAGAAATTACAAATAAAGTGAGAAAAAGAAAAAAAAAGATTTAAAATGGTCATTTTTTTATCAAACGGGTATTGGTTTTTTTTTCTGCTAAAAAGTGAATATTATTTTTTAAAAAATAAGAAATGTATGATTAAAAAGCTATTGATATAAAAATTGCAAATAAAATAGAAGACGAAAATAAATAAAATCAGAAAAGCTTAAAAAATGGTTATCTTTTTTTGCCAAACACGATTGGTTAGTTTTTTTTTTTTTTGGGGGTTAAAAATCAATTTTATTTTTTAAAACAGGAAATGTTTGATTGAAAATTCTATTGACATAAATATTGCAAATAATATGAGAATAAAATATAAAAAAATTCAAAATAAAGCTTCACGGAAAAGCTGGCTATTAGGTGCTTTGGACACGAGCTCATTGCGGACACCATAATCAAATTTTTTTTTTCCAAATAGAATTGGTTGTTTCTGATAAAAACAAAAAAAAAAAAGCCAATCTCATCCTTAAAGTCGAACAAATGCTTCGATTTGGAATTTTAATACAACTATTATCTGTATTGGTATAAACTTTAAATGAGTTTGGTTTAGTGGTTAAACTCTGGTAAAACAGTCTATTAAAAAAAATATACGAAAAAAGAATTTATTTGAATGTACTCATCATATGAGCATAGATGACTTGTTTAAGATCTTGAAAAAGAAAATTTTAATACCGTTGTGTAAAAACCGATTAAGAAATACACTCATTACTATTAAAACAAAACAACAACGATAATACACTTGCATAGTTTGGAGTGAATTATAAATCCTTTAGTTTTAAAAAATAAATAAATAAATTTTTTTATTTTAAAAATTATTATTTAATTTTTTAATCAGTATTGATCATATTTAATTTAATATTATTTTTATTCCATAAAATCTTTTTTTCTTAATCTTTCTGTGTTTTTTATTTTTTTATTTCTTAAAAAATCAAAAAAATAAAAAGAATAAAAAAATTAAATTACAAGTAAATATCAAATCATGACGATTAAGTAATTAGTTTATTTAATTTATAATTTACTCGCATGGTTTGCATGCATGGCTACTTAATAACCATTCCCCACACTACGGAGCTTGGAATGGGACGGAATTGAGTTGCTTTTAATTTTTAAACAAGGGGTATACAATAAATTCTTCATTTAGTGACGACAATTAGTGATGTCAATAAAATAAGTTGACTGGATTTTGGTCCCACACGAAAAAAAGTTTAGAAAGGAAAAGTTTTTCTTGTTGAGCAACTCAACTCAAAAATTCGATGGCCAACAATGCCATGATCTCGTGAACCACACCTTTTCATTGCGTAAGAATTTAGACCTATGATGCTCAATCTTAGGCATACATATAGAACGTGCGTGGGTTCCACTTCCACTGTGTGTGAAATCTGCAAAAAATTGAGAGATACCAGAGACGACGTAACAGATACCTAACACCATAAAGGGTCGTAACTATGAATCTGATATTCTTAAAAGCCAAGACGCTAAGGCATACTAAACAGTACATGCAGAAGACCTTACGCAATTGCAGGAGGTTGAGTGATCATCTTCCTCAAAAGTCATATAGCTAAAGATACGTTTCTAAGCTGAAGCCTGACATACATACATAAGAGATTCCATTAACATTAATAAATTCATCTCATAATCGCTTGTGATCAGCTTGTAGGGATGGTAGTTTGCCTTGTATCGATGGAATCCCACCCCACCTCGTCTCGATTAAGAGAGCGAGACGGGGCCGGGTGCCTTGTGAGCAGAGACAGGACGAGGATGATGTTTACCTGATCCATCACATTTGTTTCAAATTTTTTTTATTAAAATTAAAATTATATCTTAAATAAAAAATATGAATAATGACTTTTAGAATTTATTTTTTTAACTATAATTTAAAATTTTAAAATAAAATGAGATAAAAAAAATAATTTTTCTCTCGTTTGTCCCATCAATGCTCCGTAAAGATCCCTACGTTCGTCCAGGACAGAAATGATATGAAAAATTTTATTTCATTATCGACATGAGCCAAGGACAGCAAAAATTTTTAGAGGCGGGTCCCTATCAGCTTGTGCATTGAATCATTTTTTTTATAAAAAAGGAACATTAACAGTATTATTATATATAACAGTAAATGTCAAACTTTCTGGAGACATAAAATATGTTTATATATATTGCTGAGTAATTTATGGAAAAAATGATTCACGTTATACGTCCCAAGCCAAAAAATGTTCTGCCTATGATGTTAATATTTGGGCATAAGTTTAGCCTCTGTTACATGCATCTCTGTTTGTTGCAATTTGTAAACAATCACCAAAAATAAATCGATGCACAAGTTGAGGGTTGGGGTTCTTATATAATTAAGATTTTTGTCAAGCTACCTTTAGTCCTTGAGAGGCTGTCGAATTTTCGGTTTTGGCCTTCGTACGGAACTAAAAGAAAATTTAACGTTTGGACATTTCAATGTTGGTAATCAATGATCTAGCAGTACATGTTACAAGAAAAATAATTGTGATAGGAACTCATCATCTGCCATCAACAACTGTGACAGTCATATTATTGATGGAATATTTTTGATGGCTTTGATGAAGTAGTAACTCTTCATTGAGCTGGTGTTCCTTTCAGCAAATGGTGGTTGCTTCGGAGGTGCAAGGTAAGAAATTTATGAAAAAACTATAAGAAATAATAACTTCTATCTTAAGGTAACTTCTAACATATCTCATTAATAAGTTCAAGCTCTACTCTAATTATACAATTGAAGATTATCACATAATTAAAACAGCTATTATAAAAATACAAAAACTGTTATTCACATACATCTACTCAATTGGATATATTCTCTTCAATCAAATTATGTCTTTGAAAAAAGTTTGAGTTTTTCACAAATTTTGTTACAATTAGTAATTAAAGAATCTAGTGTTCATATCTTTGATTAGACATTTTACGTTTAATTTTTCAGATTTTTCATGTAGGTGTTGCTTTTTGTTCAAGGGTTAGGTTTTTTTGTTATCTCGGTCTGTTGGAATTATCCCTCCTTTGTATTTTTTCTCACTATGATATTAATATTGACGGAGTAACACTCCTGTTTCCAAAGGAATTAAAAAAAAAAAAAAAAAAGAAGGCTTGAGTTTGACCCTTAGAAATTCAAAATGTCCTCAGTGGCTTTGTTAAAGCATCTTCCAATTGATCTTTATAAAAAATAAGCTTAACTACAAGTTTTGTTTCTTCCCCAAGTCCTTTACTTACAAAATGAAATCAAAAATAAACTTCAGTATGTTTCGTGCCAGCAAGAAACATGGGATTGGTAGAAAGATATGCAATATTTTATCCATATTAAGTTTTTTTTTTAAAAAAAAAAAATTGGTTTTACACAAATAATCCATATTCAAATTGATGCGTTCAAAACTTTTCAATTTCCCTATGTTCTCGTTAAATTCGAATCTAAAGAGATCGCACCAAGAGAACATCCCAAGGGTGCAATAGGTTATCCCAAAAAAAAAAATTAATAATAAATCACAAGTTCATAGCTTCCGGCTAAGGCCTGCTCTAATAATAGAGAGTGAACATCATTACTAACCAAGGGCAATATATTACTAATGTCAACTGCCGCAAAAGGAATGCAATGTTGTCTGGAGTTAAAATATTATTGATAACCTTATGCCAGTGATCTACGACCATGAAAGTAAGCAGCAAATTATATATATATACACAAATGTGTGAACATTGTAGTTTTTATATTCGTTGTGCCTATAGCTAGTATTACTGCCAAAGAGCAGTCAAACAATAAATGGAGACAATGATAGGGTTCAGAGCATTTAAGAACGTTTCTTGACTCAAGCTACTGAGCAAGAACACGTGAGGAACATGGAGGAGGAGCAATCTAGATTCCGATTCTCAAACCCTCATGAAGAGTGATGTTATTTTCACGAAAAACTACGAAAGTGATCCATTTGAAGTGCTAGATTTAGTAATTGATGATGATATTGATGCACAAATGTACATATGATCTATATATTATTGCTATGGATCGTGGATTGGCTTCATTTATGTTCCCAAAATGACAGCACTTGGTCATACAATTTTTTGGCACATAATAATGGTGTGCATATATAGTAACTATTTATTTGATAGAATATTGTGTTTTTTTTTTTAACAATAATATAGTTGAAAGATTTATTGTATTTATGTATGGTTCAAATTTAGAATATTTTCTTAAATGATGCTAATCAAACAATAAACAGATTTTTTTTTTCAAAAAATAAATGAAAAGACTTTGAATTTAAGTGTACCATCTGAACCAATTCATTATGAGGTTATATAAATTAGGAAAACACTAAGAAATGCCTTCTAATTGTTGGGCCGTTATCAATTTTTGTATCGATCAAACAATTTTGATTTCTCAAATTGAAACTTTTGTTAGAATTATTTAACAAAACATATTAAATTTTCTAGAAAACGATATAGTTTTTTTAAAAATTGGATGGAAAGAAATAATTGAGAATTTCTGAAACTTCGGTGACAAAGAGTGATATAAAATATATTCAATGCCAAAATTAAAACTACTCATATAATTGGGGTTACTTTTGACGTTTTTCCTGTAAATTCCACCAATGGGATATAAGCTATGTAATGCATATGCTATGGTCGTCATGGCCCTAAATAGATATACTACTTGCATCTTGATTCTTAGCCCATTTCATATAATATCCACTGCATCTTATTTTATATCCTAAGCTCACCCTTTGCATAGTTAAATTTATTCAGCCGTTTAAGTGGTGAGTATTAAGTTGTAGAGATCGACGTGGATATGAATCCGTAATATAAGATGCTATATACATCCAACACGAAGGTCTCGTTAGCCGGTTAGCGAACGAAAGTAAAAAAGAACAATCTTTGCATAGTTAAATTTATTCAGCTATTTAAGTGGCGAGTATTAAGTTATGGAGACTAACGTGGATAGAAGCTCATAATATAAGATGTTATACGGATCCAACATAAAGGTCTCATTAGTCGGTTAGCAAACGAAAGTAAAAAAGGACAACGCTCCTTGTAAGGGTTCGGGGTAAAGTCTCCTAAACATCTACATAATATTGAACCAGGTGTATAGGCTTGTTAGACTTTTTTTCTTGTAATTCTAGTTGTCCATACTATAAATAAAGATAACATCGTCACCTAGTGAGCGAACAAAAATAAAAAGAACGAGTCTTTGCATAGTTAAATTTATTCGGTTGTTTAAGTGGCGAGTATTAAGTTATGGAGATCGACGTAGATAGGAGCCCGTAATATAAGATGCTATGTAGATCCAACACGGAGGTCTCGTTAGTCGGTTAGTAAATAGAAGTTAAAAAGGACAAGTGGTCCTTGTAAGGGTTCGAGGGTGGAGCCTCTTAAACATCTACATAATATTGAACAAGGTGTATAAACTTATGCACTTGTTTTCTTGTAATCCTAATTGTCAATATTATAAATAGAGACAACATAATATATATCTGTAACCATTTCTTGATAAAATTTATTAAGAAATCCTAGTGCAATATGTGAGGTAGACACCATTATCGAACCACGTAAAATCTTTGTATTGTATAATATTTTTTTTTATACTCTATTGTTTGACTTCATTCCTTTCCTAACAACAAATAATACTTCTACTCTGTCTAATCGTTAATCCAGTTTTCCAGCAACGAATAATGCAAATTTCATCCGGGTTTTGGTCCTATCGTCCATGATTGAATTAGTGGAGGATACGTTCAGCGGTTGCATATGAGAGCCAATTTTTATAGGTGTCGGGCGGGGCCTAGTTTATGGGCATAGGAAGTGTAGTGGCCCTAAGGCCCACTCCAACAATCCCATAGTTTTTGACAAACCATTGTCTAGTTCTGAGCCACTGATGCTTTGGGTCCGACTACTTTATTTGTCCGTCCCAAAAGGCATTGGCCGTTGAGGACGTGAAGTTAGGATTTGTATGGCTTTTACTAGTTCTCTCTCAATCTAATGATGAGTTGGGCCGAGCCCGCTGCTTCTTCTTCTTCTTCTTCTTCTTCTTTCATTGATTCCTACCTTCTTAGCGGTGAGTGACATTCGACGTCTAATCTTTTGGGAATGATATTAAGCAACTGAATTATCGACTTACCTTAGTTTTGGATTCAACTGCAATCATCCAATATACATAGCATGGGGTTAATTATATGTGATCCCAATAGTTAATCAATTTGGTTATGTCAATACTCTAATTTGTAATTTGGATAATCATTTAGGCCTTCCTACTCTTAAATTGTCATTGGTTCAATTTAGTTAGCATAAAACAATCTAATTTTGTTCATGATTTTGCTATCTGGTCCATATCCGTCCATTTAATTAACTCTCAACATAAATATTTTGATTAATTAGTTGTTTGGTCCGGGTATTAATTTGTTGAAAATAATTTATAAGAAGATTTGAGATAGTCATTATTATTTTGTGAAGCAAACTTCACTGTCAAAAACTTGACTCTTTGGGCATGTTTTTTTTTCCATACTTTTAGCCCTCATCGGACAAAGTAGCTCCACCTTTTTTTATAAGTTCTACTAACTTTTTTAATTGTATTATGTTATCAATAGGATAGAATATATAAAATTATTTTTAAAAAATTATTTCAATTTGATGTCTCGTGTTATATCGTGCGTTTATCAAAACAAATCAAATCAAAACTGAATAAAAAATTATTTAATTTTATAATTTTTAACCAAAATTTTGTATTTCACTAATTATTCTTTATATTTTCATAAATTTTTATTAAAAAAAATATTATTTACTTATCTCTATCTATATTTTTAGCTAAAAACTTATTCTATAAATTGTTTTTGTTAAACATTTTTTTGCCTTAAAATTTTTAATTAAAAAAACTAGAAAAAAAAAGAACCAAAGTGACAAAAATGAAACAAAAAAAAGATCAAAATAATAAAAAAAAATTTATGAACCGAAAAAACAATGTTTAGAAAAAACGACTAAAGTATAATGTAATAAAAACTTTCATAATAAATATCTTTAAAAAAATAAAAATTACAAAACTATTGTATTGTGAAAAAAAAATACATATGAATCTAAACAATGCAATGCACATAAGTCTGAATTATCGTAAACTAATGTTTTGGTTTATTTTTATTTTATTTTGTTAATGAAGCGGCGAGAAGGATTGATTCTTTGAGAAAGCGAAATGAATGGGCGGGCACTACAACAACTTTCTCTTTCTCTCCATTTTATTCGGCTATAAAAATAGACCAATCCTCATCGTTATATGGACTACAGCAACTCTACTTCTATACCTAAGAAGAGATAGATCGGCCAAAAACACAATGTTTTCGATAAAAAATGAAAAACATTATGTTTATGTGTGCTTTTAGAAGATAGACCATCCCTTTCCATATCCACCCAAAGGACCTCGCAATCCTATTAACTTCTAAAGCGCAAAAATTGACCAACAAATCATTAGGAACGGCACGACCATGGTGGCATGACAACACGATCGCTTTGATCAGAAATTATATTTCCTCAAGAAGCGTGACATTCACACAATTTACATCTTTGTGCCTTTTTTTTTTTTACGATGGAGTAGCTTGGTGGAAAAACTATGGCTACACTTTCTTGGGTTAATTATTTAGCCACCAACCATAAGTACAACTCATATCAAACCACCCTGTAATTTCCATGCATTCTTTAGTTATGGGAGCACGGCAAAAAGAGAGGAGAGAATGTGCTAGTCCCAAATTCTTAATTTCCTTCGAATGGAAGATATCATTCTTCTTCCTTAACGTAGCTGAAAATTGTACTTCCCTTTACCAAAGATTGCTCTAGCGTCAAATTCTTGGCAAGAGCAAGAAGAAAAACGCTCACATATTGCTTGTAACCTACTGCCCTTGTTTTCTATCCCTTCTTGAAGCTACCTTATTTTTCTTGTTTCTATTATTACTTGTTACAGTGTGTATGAAGGCTGGACTTCTATACCACATTTGCAATCCTTAATTCTGAAAGCTTTTCTAGTTTTCTTGCTTTGATTACTTGTTTACAGTACCACATGGTCCATATTCGTGGAAGGCTGCACTTTATGCCACATTTCAACATTTGCACTCCAGTTGGCATTTCTATCTGGTCCTTTTGGGATATGAATGGAGAAAAGCTGTGTCGTGATAATGACTTGATATATATATATATATACACACATATATACTTGGTAAGGTGGTCTGTCCACAATCCAACAAAACGTATTTTTCTTCTTTTGTTTTTATTTTTAAAAATTTATACACATGACCCAGCAAAATGTCTGTGTGGGATTTTGGCTCTTTATATATATATATATATATATATATATATTAAGGCTTAAAATTTATACAGTTTCACGTTAGTACCACATGATCAATTAAGTTTTAATACCATATTAAAGGATCATCTTAATTAAAAACTTAAGCTGATAAATGAGATCTCTAAAATATAATTTATATTAATATTTAACATATATATGACAATTGTCATCTATTAAGGTATTTTCAAACTAATCTCATGTCAATTAAAATTAAATAAATAATTTTTTAGATTAGTTCAAAGTTGGATTATATATAATTTTTAATGGATTTTAAAAATTAATTTTTTTGAATTCACTAATATCTCATGTTTAGTATTAAAAAAAAGCAAGAAGAATTTTTCAAACATGAAAATCAAATTCTAATCTAAAAAAATAAAGACACATCCTTTCATCGTTTATAGAAAACCGTAAGTGATAATATCAAAACTTAAAATTCCAAACATGAGATTAGGAAAGTCACTAGGCCCTAGTCAATTGATTATTGACTTGATTTACATCAATTTTTTTTCTAATAAAAAATAAAAGTATCTTAGCGATATATATATATATATATCATGACAGAGTTTATTTTAATGAATCTATGATCCTTCCTTTCTATTGTAGGAAAGAGAAGTTTTTTTAATTTCCTTTTTACGATTGCTCAACTTTTTAGCACGAGCTAGGTCTCTGTTGGGGATGATGGCTAGGAATTAAGATGCAAAATAATCATCAGATAGTTGACAGAAATGAAAAAAATTACGTATGAATTTCGGTGGTGAAGGCAATGGTTACATGCATGGATGTAAGGAAGCAGCAGTTGCTGAGCAATCTCTGGGATTTGGTGCACGGAGTTGGATAGAATAGACAGCTTAACGGTCCTAATTCTGCTTGCATCACTGTCTCCATATATTCTATTATACATACATGTAAATTATTTTTTTTATTAAGAATAAAAAAATACAGCTTTAATTATACAATAGCCAAAAAAATTATTTTTTTAATACACCAAATTAAATGTAGATGGTTTATTTAAAATTTGTCTAAAAAAAAATAATAATCTGATTTGAAAATATTCTTATTTTAAAATAAAAAACAAAATAATAAAAAATATATAACAAGATGAGAGAAAGATAAAAATCAATAATTACAAACTGTAACAATTCGATGCCAAAGGTTTTCTTGGATTGAAAATTTTTTTTTTAATGTTTTCAAAACATACTTAATGTTTTTCAAGAAGTTTAAACCATTGAATTTAAATCAATAGTTAAATTTTATTATAATATGAAATATCCATGGACTAAATCGCATTTATGCGTGAAAAAAGTATGCAATTCACCACTATCTTTTTCTTTTTACTTTTTTTCTTTTTGGTGGAATTAACTTGAAGGTAATAATAGATTTAGTGTATGTATCTATATAATTTTTTTTAATCGAGTATTTTTTTTTTTAATCTATTTGAGTGTTTGCACTTATGTGTTTTTTTTCAAATAACTATTTTATTTTTATTTTCTTATTAGAGTGTTATTACCTCCATTATCTTTTAAGTTAAATGTCTATATTACAATTTATTAAATTGGTGATGATTTGTCTATTAAATAAACCCATCATTCATAAAAAAAAAAAAAAAAGAAGAAGAGACCTCTTTTTATTGTTATTTTTGGATTTAGAGATCTAGGATTTTTAATAACTCACATGGTAACAAAGGAGCTGGGAATTTCCCTCTTAAAACAATATTTACGATCTTCATTGTTTATTTATTTATTGTTATAGTTTCAAGGTTATTTGTTTTTGTTTTTTTATTGGTAATCTCATTTGAGGATGACACGTGTCTATTTAATGAACATGACATCAACAATTCATTAGATTCCCAGAGACACGTTTACGTAGAGTTTGGTTGTCCGATATGAAAAATCCAAAACAAAAATATAGGGATGAGACTGAAATTGATGGAGTTGAAATAACATTTTCGTTTCAATATTGTATTTGAAATAACAATAAAAAATTATAATAAATTTAAATCTTTAATATTTAATTTTCAAAACAAATAAAAATTAAAATTAAAAAATTTAATTAATTATATTTATGATAAAAATAATAAAGATGATTACAGTCGTGAAGTTTATAATATTAGCGATGGTGACAATAAAAAATAATAACAACATAATAATAACAATAATATATTAAAAAAAACGTATACATGACTTGTTCGTTATTTCGATAGCTTTTTATAATTTTATTTTATTCTTAAATATCAATTTTTGCATATAAAAATGAATTATGAATTTCAGCGTGTACAAATCGACTGTGAAATTCTTTTTCAATGAACAAAGTAGCATAACACTAAACAGCTATATGCATTTAATCAGTCAATAATAAGTTTTTCTTAAACCACAAGGTGGTATTTCGTTATTAAATAAGTATTGATTTATAAGTTAATTTTAAATTTTAATTTTTGTTATCAATAATTTTTAAAATTTTATTTTTAGAATATTCGTGATATTTTCGTGGGAGAGTGTTCTTTAATTATATGCAAGGAATAATTAATGTTGAAATACGAGAAAGTTGGCCCGAATAGACGAATTATAAATTCTTTGTGTGACAAGATATTTATAATTTTTTCGTTTTCAAAAATTTTAAAATAAAAATATTTAAAAATATCTTCATACCATCTTGTTCTACAATAAATAATTCTTTGGGCGCTTCTCTTCCTTCTCGGGTGCTGCAAATCCACTTGCTTGGTAATCGACAAATTTTTTTATTTTATTTAAAGGATACTTTATAAATTTTGAGGCAAAATAAGAGCATAGGTTGTCTACATTTTTTGGGGGCCCCACCAATATTCTATGCCTCTTTAAATAAAGTAGTAATGGGGTATTTCATTTTCAAAGATGGAATAGAATACCACAGAGGAAACAGCAACAGTCACTTTCCATAATCATGCCGTTGCTTTCTTTCTTTTTTCCCTTTTTTTTTGTTTTTTGTTTTTTTTTTTAATTTTCTTTTCATTAAAACACAACGCATCTGCACTGCTCTTTCCCTAACACCCCAACTCTGAACTCACTCTACTACTTTACTTCTGATCTCAAAAAGATTTTTAAAATTTTTATCAATCACTACTGCTACTCAATTCTGTCTGCATTCACTAATTTTCTGATTTTCTTTCCCTTTTAGTCTCTCTTTCTCTCTCAAATCTTAAAGATTTTAGTTTTTGTTCAAGAGCCTTTCCTTTTGTTTCTCTCTGTATAATTATGCCCCAAAGGGCTGTGTGTGTTTGTTTTGTGAGAATATATTGAAGACAAGAAAGAAAAGTTTGAGTCTGTTCAAGTTATCACTAATGGGGTTTGTCAAGTGTGGAGTGTTTTTTGTCTTGGCGGTGGCTCTCATGGCTTCCGTTTCTGTTTCTTTCACTGACCCTTCCGACGGTAAACCATTTTCTTCTCCGGGTTCTTTTTTTTTTTTTTTTTTTTAAAGGATGTTTTGCTTCGTCGTGTTCTGTTTGTTTCTAAATTTTTAATAATTTGTTTGATTTGTCTTGTTCATCACTTCATTTTCATGTGCTTAAGACATCCTTAAATCTATGCTGCTGCTGCTTCTTCTTCTTCTTCTTCTTTTATCATGCTTTGCTTATTAACAATCTGCCTTTTTTTTTTAATCATTTGGGTTTATGGAAACATGTTAATTATGTGGCACTTGGTGAGTTTTACCACATTGTTGATAATCAGACAGAGTTAGTTTATGCCATATAAATTACTTGCCTAATATTCCTTACTATGATAATTCTTGACCCAACTCTGTTTGATTTTTCCTTAATTAATGATAGTATCAAATATAGTTTTTCTAACATTTTTGTGGATTCTCAAATGCTTCAACTTGTATAAAAATGTATTTTTTTTTCCAGTCACAGCAATGAATAGCTTGTATGTTAGTATGGAGTATCCGAATTTGATTGGATGGCTTGCTTTGGGAGGAGACCCATGTTTAGAGGGATGGCAAGGAGTTAGTTGTGTGTTCTCAAACATAACGTCATTGTATGTTCTATCTAAATCTCTTTTTCTTCCTTTAATTTCAATTGTTAAACTACTAGACTCAGTAATCAAATCTTTTTTCTTACAGAAAACTAGATGGCTTGAATTTAGGGGGAACCCTGAACAGTGATTTCAATAAATTTACATCGATCATAGAAATGTAAGTGCACTGTTCATGTCTATGTGATTGTCAAATTGGTGGGATAAAGTAGTTTGGAGACGCTTCTTTTAGCCTAGGTCAACCATTGGTTGAGGGGCTTTTGCTTCCGCGGAGGCCTTCTTTCGAATTTTTTCTCAAATTTTTTTTATTTGTTTAACGATCATGATGATTTTATGATGGTTTTTTCGCATTCAAGTCGTAATTGTAGTATTGATGAATTTTACCTTGAAAAAAAGTTTGAAGATGATGGTTAATGACCAGAATAATCTGGGGTTGATTTTAAGAATTGATGTGTTGGCAACAGTTAATTGCATGTTATATGCAGTTTTCATAAATGGGAGTTTTGAAGTCCCTATTGTAAAAGCCTTATGGCACTTTAAGTTACTTTTTGTTGCAGAGATATGAGTGACAATCATATTGGAGGGGATATTCCATTGTCATTACCCTCTACCTTGAGGAACTTGTGCGTAAGCCTCAACCTTGCTTTTATCTCTGGTTTAACAAACCTGTTCTAGCAAGTTATTGTTATTTGTTGATGCTGCTATTCCTTTACTTACATGCATACTTCCTTGAGTAATTAATGTGTGACTTCTTTTCTCTTTTCCCTGGTCCAGTTCTCTTGCTCGGAATCAGTTCAGCGGAAGGATTCCCGATACTTTATACTCATTAACTCAGTTGTTAGACTTGTATGTTTATACCAAAAACTCGTTAATTGTTTCATATTGTAGAATTTTTATTACTTTACAGCGCGTTTCTTCATTTGAAGTCGACTTTTATTTATTCTCCTCAGATCTTTTCACAATAACCAGCTAAGTGGAGAAATACCAGATGTCTTTCAAGAGATGACAAGTTTGATAAATTTGTAGGCATTTGAAGTTAATTGTGTTGTTCTTGTTGAAAATAAAAATTTCCAGATTTTTTTTTAATCGTCTATTTGGTTCAGGGATCTGTCTGGCAATAATTTGACTGGTCAGCTGCCTCCTTCAATGAGAATTTTATCATCTCTTACCACACTGTGAGGCTCTCATAGAGTTCTTGGCTTCTTTGCTACTAATCTGCAACAAATAATAGTTACTCGATGCATATGTAATTTTTGTATTGCAGGCATTTGCAGGACAATAGAATTACTGGAACCCTAAATGTCCTACAGGATCTCCCCTCGAGTATCTGTAACTTTCTTGCCACCTTTCTGTCGTGTAGTTCTCTTTTGGTTTATGTCTTTTACCTGGAAATTCTTTCAAGAATTCAGTTTTTATGGTGCTTTCTTCATGTACTTATTTTTCCTTTTGGGAAGGGGGGATGAGTTATATATAACCAAGTGGTGAAAGAAACAAACACAGAGAACTCAATCTATACTCTGTTTGCTTCATTACTTGGTTCTATGTCAGTGAGGCAGGAATCTCCTTCTTGGTTAATATGATATGCTGTAATAACATGCCATCCCTTGGTTTCTGCACAGGAATGTGGAAAACAATCTATTTTCTGGGCCTATACCTGAGAAGGTGCTAGGTATTCCAAATTTCAGGTGAAGCCACTCTTTGCAAACTATTTGTTAGTAATGCCATATTGTATAATTTACACCTAAATTTATCAGATATACATGTGCATTTATAGAGAAAGTAATGCACAAGACTAATAGTTAGGGCAAAAAGAAAAGGAGAAAAGTCAAAGGGATCCCGAGAGAACATGTCCTCACCCATAGACACAAAAATCTCATCATCCAAATTCTGCATGTGATAGGAATTGTTGATGCTATAGATTCTTAAGTTATTTAATCTTTTATTTGGCATTTTCAATTTAGCTGGTATAATCATCTCCACTTGTGCAACTGCTTGTAATGGTAGCATCTACTTTGCAGAAAAGATGGAAATCCATTCAATACATCTATTATTCCTTCTCCAGCACCTGCCCTCCCTCCTTTTCCAGGCTTGCCACCTGTTGCCGAAGCACCTTTGAAGCAGGCAAATGGGCCTTCTGCCTCAGAAACAACAAAGTCTGAAAAATCAAAAGGATTTTTTACATCTAGGAGGGTCATTTGGATTGCTGTTACAGGGGTAGTAGTTATTATCATACTGGGAGCATGTGTTTTAATGTCAACATGCTACAAAGGAAGGAAAACAAATGAAGACATCGAGAGGCATAATGTTGGGGCACATAAGAGCCGTATAGATGAAGCCAGCGGTAAATCTTCATTTGAACGAAATAATCAAGAGAAAGGTAACTTTATCATTGTTGATCCTTGTTAAAAATCAGTAAATTTATCTACTCTCTTTTGTGTCCTTTTGCCTGAGAAAAGTGTCCTTTGAGCAGTTACCAAAGAATCAATTGCAAAGCTGCAAGATCAATACGGACCAGATAACAGAAGACACGAAGCATGTCCAAAGGCACAGGGTGAATATGATATGGATTTGAAGAGAATGGCTGCATATTCAAAGCAAAAGATGGATCAAGGGATAAACATAACAGGTGTGGATCCAAATTTTATGCCACTGCAGCCGCTGCCACCACCTCCCACAAGCCTTCCTATTGACAATGTCATTGCAAATCCGATTGGGCGCACGGCACATAAAAAGAGTCATTCGACTGAAACTTTGAACTCATATTCTGTAAGGATTTTCACCATTGGCACTCTTCAGCAGTACACAAACAGCTTTTCAGACGAAAATTTTGTTGGTGAAGGCTCAATTGGAAGTGTTTACAGGGCTGAGCTTCCTGGTGGAAAAGTAAGATTCTATCTAACATCGAACTGATTTTGGGATGCCATGTGTCATTCATGTGATTTCATGAGGTTTCTCATGCCAGTGTTATATTGCATGTCCTTAAATTGATTTGGTTCTGAAATTAGTTGTGCTTCCTGACTTGAAAATTGCTGTTATTTGTTTTCATTTATAACTCTGTTGGTGGAATTCTCTTCTTTTCCTTAGTCTTAAGCAAATTTTGTATTATATTTTGGGAGGATACTTATGCTAATCAATTGCATGCAGTTGAAAGTCTGAAGGATTTTAATTTAAACTGTTTAGAGAATTCTTCAAATTCTTTCAGCACTTTGACAGTTTATGCAAGTTTAATTCATTTTCATGCTCTGGTGAAATTCTTATATCTGTGTCTCATGGACAGCCATTTATTGCCTGATTTGCATATGATGGCTAGAGCCTGATATCTGATTTCCATTTATTGATCCTTTCTTTTTTTGTTTTGTTATCCTTGGTAGGTACTGGCAGTCAAGAAGCTAAACAGTCCAGCTTCTAGGCAACTGACTGATGAGGAATTTCTTCAACTAGTTTCTAATATATCTAAAACTCAACACGATAACGTCGTGGAGTTTGTGGGATATTGTAATGAGCATGGGCAACGACTACTTGTTTTTGAGTATTGCAAAAATGGGACACTTTATGATGCCTTGCATGCAGATGAGGAAATCCATAGGAAACTCTCATGGAATGCACGCATCCGGCTGGCACTAGGAGCTGCTAGAGCCCTCCAGTAAGTAGAGCTACCAACTAACTAAACCTGAGGACCCTCGTATGACTCTTGTAATTGGATATTCAGTCAAAACTACAGGATCATATTAGCCCAGATGGTTGAAACGATTGTCTTTATTGCATTTCTAATTCGGGTTGTCTAAGGGGTTCCTGGAAGTCTCCCAAGTCGATTACCTCCTCCATTTTGATTTGCATGCTTATGAAAAAGAGATCTGTATCCAATCTTTAGTCATTAGTCAAACTGATTGTCTTTCTCCCTTTCTTTTGGGTAAGGTATCTGCATGAGGTTTGTGAACCACCTAGTGTGCATGGGAATTTCAAATCTTCCAACATTCTCCTAGATGATAAGCTTGTTGCACGTGTCTCAGACTGTGGTTTGGCTCCTCTGAAATCATCTGGCTCTGCAACTGAGGTAATAATTTTAGTCTATGGTCTAAAAATCTAGGCTCTGAAATTTTGCTGCTGTTCAGTTGTCAATGCTTGCAAATGCTTAACGAAATGGAAATCCACAAGTGATGTATGTAAGCTCAAAGATGTGCCACTTCAAGCTACAAGTTTTGAATTTGGTTGTGATTATTTGTAATTTATCGCTGATGTTGAAGAAATGTGGCCTGTCAGTTATCAGGACGCATCCTCAGTTCTCATGGTTATGGGGCTCCAGAGCTTGAGTTGGGAATTTATACTTGCAGTAGTGATGTATATAGCTTTGGAGTTGTGATGCTAGAGCTACTTACTGGGAGAAAATCCTATGACAGGTTACTTATCCCTTGAAAGAACTTCCATATCTATCATAGATCAAATTGAGCTCGTTGGTCATTTTCTTCAGCTAATATTGTGCTCTCACTGAAAACCTGTAGGTCACTGAGTCGAGGGGAGCAATCTCTGGTTAGATGGGCAATTCATCAGCTTCATGATATAGATGCTCTTTCTAGGATGGTTGACCCCTCTCTAAATGGAGCATATCCCGTGAAGTCTTTGTCACGTTTTGCTGATATAATATCTAGAACCATACAGGCAAGTTTTCTTTTCCTTATGATTTTTTCTGTTCTTGGCATATTTTATATAATTGAATTACATGTTTCTGGAATGGTAGTTTGTGGATCTTGGAGTATGATACCTGATTTGAGTGTTGGACCAAGGCCAGGCCTTTGAATATCCGGATTATATTCTTCTATTGGATTAATTTCTGAAGTGTTCAATGTGGAAAATTTGTTATTCATGTTAGCACTTAGATATCAATATTCTTTTTCTACAACAAAAGAAGCCAAACATGTAAATATCAGCCCCTCAGGCATTCTAGAAGGAACCTTGGAAGCTGCCTCTCCTAGAGGAATTCTGATAGGTCCGAGGTTGGACAAGAGAGCATGCCATATTTGCAAACTGAAGTTATAAAGAAGTCACATTATTAGATCAAGAGTGATGATAGAATATATACTTTTCAACTCTTTTATCTGTCCCTTTTTTTTTTTGGCATTTTTATTTGAAATTAATGAAATTTTTCATTTTAACATACCTTCGCTTATCGAGCGGCACAAGTAACCTTATGTCCATTGATATTCTTATTCTATGCGCAGCGGGAGCCCGAATTCAGGCCACCAGTATCTGAAATTGTCCAGGATCTCTTACACATGTTATAGTGGAGGACCTCGAGAGTGAAGTTTATTAGAAAATGGGCAGAACTGGAGTGGGCTTGATGGCTAGGTTAAGATTTTTGTGAGATGGTATCGCTTAGGAGGACTGTATTTATAATGTAAAGCTGCATAATACGGTCTTTCATATGCTAGAGAGGAAGAATTTTGGAAGGTAACTAAGCTGCACAATTTTTCATAGGGTTTCATTGTTGATTTTAGTTGTTGGATAGGTTGTTAGTATATTGTCATTATCGGTATTTTGTGTGAATATTACTTTCTAATGTAATCACTATCTGGTTTCTTTGATTATTTAACTACATCTAGCAGTTTGTTGAATCATTTTTTGCAAGTCATTTTCACACGTCAGGTTATTTGTTAGACTTGATGGCAGCCCTTCCCTTGCCTTTTCTATTAGGCTTGAGAGCCACTCATTGATGTTAAATGCATGTGCCCACCTCCATAATTAGATCCAATGGATGCTGAAGTGTCTCTCTAAGTTCCTTTCTTTTCTTTTTCAGAAGTGCCACCTTTCTATAATTTTGAGGATGCTTTAGCATTTTCCCAACAGAGCAATAACGATCAAGTCCAAGAGTTATATATATATATATATGTGGGTGCTAAGTTGCTGGTTAGTCTGAGATGTCGGCCGGCTCCCTGACAGTCAAATACTATTCTTTTGCTTTATAATATTTAATTTGCAGATCAGTGTCCAGACAAAATATCCTAACATGACAACAATAAGCAGTTCAATGCCGCGCACATGAATAAATTATTCTGTTCAGTAGTTAATTCTGTAACCATTAATAAATTGTCCTTTAAGGAGACGTCCAGTGGTCGGAGACTTAAGGATTGTTCGATGATAAAAAATAGAGCGATAGAAATAGCAATAAAAATTAAGAAATTAAAATGATATTTTTATTTTCACATTGTGTTAGGAATATTAAAGATGAATCGAAATGTAATTTATAATTTTAAATTAATAAATTGTCCTAAGCGCTGCAAGAACTTGAAAGCTACAAAAATTTGGTATATGCCATTCTCTTTTTTTTTTTTGGGCACATAAATATAGCTTAATTCTCTCCACTTTCTTTCTTTTTTCATATATATATATGATTAGATGATAAAGAGTATTCTCAAGTTAATTTGTGTATCTATTAAGATTAAATTTTCTTTTCAAACGACCTTATGGATGCAAAACTTATATTATCTTATTGGCTTTAGAAGAATTTTAATAAATTTTTTGAGTATTAATCTTAAAGTTTAAACTCAAAAAATTAAAAAATAAAATATATTTTCTTAATTATCACGTCATTCTTGTAAGGGTTTTTTTTTCTTAGTATACTTAAGTGGGATTTTTCTAAGTTGATAATATCTTTTGCAAATTGCATAACGTTTCTTTTCCTTCCAAAAGTATAGATTTGGATTTTTTCTTTTCTTTTCTTTTCTTTTCTTCATCTCACGTTTGCATCCACAGCTTATATCATCTTATTTCATTCTGAAGAATTTTAATAAATTCTCATGAGTATTAATCTCAAAGTTTAAACTAAAAAAATTTAAAAATAAAAAATATATATTTTTTAACTGTCATGTAATTCTTGTAATGGTTTTTTTTCCCCCTTAATATAATCAAGTGGGATTTTTCTAAGTTGATAATATCTTTTGCAAATTGCATAACGTTTCTTTTCTTTCCAAGAGTGTATAGATTTAGATTTTTCTATCTTGGCATGTGACGAATCTATTGGCAAGCATCAGTTATGAATGTGAAGTTGTGAACTTGTAAGTCGAGATTAAAGGTAGTCATGGGCTTAGATTGCTCACAGTTCAATCATGGTTGGCAAATGACAAATGAATTATAAAAAAAGATAGACTTGGACATGGTACCAAAAAAATCCAAGTGCTTGACATGTCTTTATAGTCTTTCATTTTTCCAATTTTGGGAAAGTCTCCTTGATTGGAGGCACAACTTTGCATACATTAATGTACGATGATCTTTTTCCCACAATACGCAAATTCAGGAAGCTTTCTGGTCAGCACATCAGATAAATCCTTTTTTCCTTTTCAATTTAGCCCTGAGGTTCTAGTTTCCAATTCCAGCAAGAAAGCAGTTAATTTCAGGGGAAAAAAGTTGTAGATAATTCTCTCCTAATCCTTATTTTCAAAACCCTTAATTACCTTGGTGTGAGCATAATTAGATAATAACCTATCATTTTCTTGAAAGGTGCTGTGTAGATAGCTAAAAATAAGTAACCCGTGAAACTTTGATCTGATTGTGGCATAAACGACTTTCCTTGATTCAAAAGAAATGGAGAAAATAAAAGCTAGAGCTGGTCAAAAGGGATCAACTAGAGAATAAAAGCAAAGCAAAGTGGATGTGAAGACCTTTCGTAGATGTGGGGTTGCTTGAACAATTGGATTCTGGGGCACAGGAGAATGTCTAAGCAGAACAAATTTTCGTATTGCAAGATCATTGTCCCCACAAGCACGATAATTACACTGTAAGTATAGTAATTTTTAATATTTTTTAATTGAATATGTAAATTTTTTTTTTTAATATACTAGTTTTTTTAAAACAAATTATCTATCAAGCACTTCCGTTAATTTTTTTTATTAATTGATGATATGTCTGGTATTCTTAAAAAATCAAATTATAATTTTATCATTTTCCTCAATCAATTACAACTTTAATTCTTTTATAAGTATATTAATTTTTTTAAAATTGTAAATTAATTATTTTTATCAATTTTTTCTTTAACTGATAATATATTACAAAATTATAATTCTATTTCTTTTTTCTTTCTTTTTTTTTTTTTTGGTTGAAGGTAACTTTCTCTTCCAATATTAGGTTGTTGTTTTCAAAAATAAAAAATCTCACTTAGGTTTCAAAGTGAAATTTGAAAGAAACCACAAATAATTATTTTTAATGAAAAATCTCATGTTTATATTTCCTTCAATTTCCACTCAAAATCTAACTGATTTTTTTTTAACAAAAAATCTAACTAAATTTAGTTAATGCACTATAAATTGATATACTTAAACGAAAAAAAATTAAAATTTATGTATTCAATTGAAAAAATATTAAAAATTAATGGACTCCGTGATCCAATTATACCAAACACAGGTGACCTTCCACGGTATTTCCCAGAAGACATGGACTTGTGAAGGAGATCCAAATGAGCACCCCATAAGCTATCTTGGCTATGGACATTTCCAGCACTGACAACATCAGATAAGAACTACAGTCAAGATAAGACCTTTACTTTCATACCAAGTTGATGAGTTTCTGGCCTCTGCCCCCTCCACTGGGTATCGAATAGCATCCCATCCTTCAATTTCAACCAACTTGGTAAGAAAAATTCAATTTGAACATGGAAGTCTAAATAAAATTGAATGCAACAATTGATTAGTTGTTGTAAATATTTCTTTGGTATTTTGATTAATTTCTTTAATGGAAAAACCTACTTTGTTTCGCAGAATACGATGAGTTTTTCTAGGTTCAACAAAAATTTCAATTAGTGTTTTATATAACCTACAGAATTGGAGCTTGGTAGCAAACCTGCCATGGTCCCCAAATGCTCATGCCACCTCTCCTTGAACTTAAAACCTTAGATAGAACTGGAATAACTAAGATATTGTTTGATAATTAGGAATAAAGTGATGAGAATGTAAATGAAAGTTTTATTCCACACGTTATAGCTTATTTGGTTAAAATGAATGAAGTGGGAATGGAAAATGAAAATTTACATACAACTTTATTCCCATATAAAATGTGAGAATAAAAATAAAAAATGAAAATGAATTTTTCATTTTTATTGCTATAAAAATTGTAAATTACATTTCGATTCATCTTTAATATTCCTAACACAATGTGAAAATAAAAATATCATTTTAATTTCTTAATTTTTATTGCTATTTCTATCGCTCTATTTTTTATCATCGAACAATCCTTAAGTCTCGGACCACTCGGACGTCTTCTTAAAGGACAATTTATTAATGGTTACGGAATTAACTACCGAACAGAATAATTTATTCCTAACACAATGTGAAAATAAAAATGTGAGACAGAGAAAAGAAAAAAATCTAAATCTATACACTCTTGGAAAGAAAAGAAACGTTATGCAATTTGCAAAATATATTATCAACTTAGAAAAATCCCACTTAAGTATACTAAGAAAAAAAAAACCCGGACAAGAATGACGTGATAATTAAGTAAATATATTTTATTTTTTAATTTTTTGAGTTTAAACTTTAAGATTAGTACTAAAAACTTTATTAAAATTCTTCTAAATGTAATAAGATAGTACAAGTTTTGCATCCATAAGGTCGTTTGAAAAGAAAATTTAATCTTAATAGATACACAAATTAATTTGAGAATACTCTTTATCATCGAATCATATATATATATATGAAAGAAAGAAAGAAAGAAAGTGGAGAGAATTAAGCTATATTTATGTGCCCAAAAAGAAAAAAAAGAGAATGGCATATACCAAATTTTTGTAGCTTTCAAGTTCTTGCAGCTAGGGTTTTATGAAGAAATAAATAGGCAGTTGGTTATTAAAAATTGCAGGTGAGGTAACTGATTTCAATTAGTTAGAAAATAACCTAAAGTGTGATTATTAATTTTTAACTAAATTTCTAAGCAAATGTCTATGTCCCAACAAGAACCTTAATTGCCCAAGAAAATGATGAGCGTATATTTTAAGGAATCTCTCTTGGTGTCGTTGGTCTGATGTTCTTTTTTTTTTTTTTTTCCTTCTAATTTAATAAAAAAGTCCTTTTCATACCCTAAATCACCATCAAATTTTATCATATTGCTTTTACCATCCAACCGGTAGGTAGACTCCAAAAAACTGAAGAAAAAAAAAGGAATGAAACTATTATGCTAAAAACAAAAGTAAAAGAAAAATTAGTATTGCTAGCATGGTAGCACTTGTAATTATTTGCACCACAAAATGATTATATAAAACAAAATTGAAATGAGAGAAAAACCTATGCCACCAACTCAGGGGACTTGCATGTCAAGAAGTTGTTGACCATGCATGTTTCTGTAATTTCACCATCGGGAAACAATGGGAACTGTGGAAATATGAAAGTATAAATTAGTCCTCTAATTACATCGGTAGTTTCAATTCGGTCATAAAAGTTAGAATGTAAGCAATGTCACTCAAGAATTAATTGTTACTCGATATTAATATAAATCTGTCTACTTTCCTTGTCTACGTTGATACATGACTAAAATAAAATCCTAGTTATATACATCAACAAATAAAATTACAAACATTAATAATTGTTATATTTTGTTTAAAATAAGATCATAACATAATCATAAAAAATGCATTTTAATGTTATATATTTATAGATAATTGATGTTTTAGACTTCCATTACTAGTTGATTGCTTAAGATTGATTGTATTAGATCTCATACGTCTTTTAACCAATGAGAGTTATTTTTTTAAGAGATTTTATTTTTTGGCACCCATAAGATTTAATAACTCGACGGTTTAGAAACTAGCTAAGAATAAAATTGAAGCATATGATTAATAAACAAACATTTCATACTAAAATTTTATACAAACCGACGTGTCAATCTGTAAATAATAAAATACGAATTCAATGAATTTTAAAAAATTGATTTTCGATAGAAAAAAAGTAACTACTATATATATTTGCATAACATTATTTATATATAACTTTAATTACTTTTGAAGTATCTTTCAATTATTATTAAGCTCGATACTTAAAAGTTATGCTAATTTTGACACGTGTAAAAAAGAAAAAGAAAAAAGAGAATATATCGAACTGATAAGTATTTTAAACTACTTTTTTTTAGTAAATAATTGGATGATAGTGAACAATTTTGGATAGTTTTAAGATAAAATCACTTATTTTGGAATTTTTTAAGATTAACTTTGACATGTTCACTTAAAATAAATTAATTCATTTCTAATTTTATTTTTTAAAATTTTAGTTCAGTTAAAAATTACAAAAACAAAAAGTTTTCATGGATGCATTAGTCTAAACGTAGATGGTATCACTAAAACCGATTAAGAACGGATGTAGTTTCAGTATCAAAACCCTTACATGAATAGAAAAAACTTTTAAAAAATTGAATAGGACCAACAGAAACCATAGACATATAATTGAAGGATTACATTGTAGTTTTGGAAAAGGAAAGAAGCAGCTCAATCATGGTCTGAAATCTGAAGAATTCAACTGTTCTTTTTCTCTCTCCTCCCTCTCCCTCTCTCCCCTCTTTTTTGGTCTTTTTCTTAGACGACAGCACACGTTTCTCAAAAAAAAAAAAAAAAAAGAAAAGAAAGCCAGAAACTTTTTCTTCTTCCGCTCTTCTTCTCCCCCTCTTCTACTGTAGGAATCTGAGGCCGAAAATCCAATTCCTATCTTTCTCTTGTGGATTTCAAGAATCATCAATAGTAGCAGCAGCGTCAGCGTCAGCATCAGCATCAGCATCGTCACAACCTCGCGTGGAGTTCCATTTCTCACCTTCTTCCTTAATACGCTATCGTTTCTCGCATCCTCTGGTCTTGTTTCGCAGTTTCATATTCCATTTCTCTCGTGAGAAATGGCGAAGCGTGGATATAAGCTGCGTATCCTTCTCTTCTGTCTTGATTTTTGTCTCTTATCTGTAATGTTAATGTTAAGCTCGAATCAGCTTCAAAGTGTAAGTATTAGGGTTTTTTCTTAATGCTGGTTGATAGTTCAACTCGTTTTCAAGTTGAATTTGAGCTGTTTTTAGTTTTCTAAACTTTGATTTTTGATTTTTTTTAATATAAAAAAATTGATCTTTTTTGCTTAACTGATAGAAAGTTCAAATTTTTATGATTTTCTTTTTAATTTTTCTTGTGATTTCCTTGAAATGCTCTCTCTTTCTCTGCTTGAAAGTAATTCAGTTTATTTTTCTTCTCTCCTTTTTTTTTTAATTTCTTGTTTTGGTCATAATTTCTGGGTTTTTTTTCAAATCGTAATTGGGCAAGAAGTTGTTTTCATCTAAGCTAAGACAGAGAGATATTTTGGAATCTTAGCACAAAATAGTGAAATGAAAAAGGGAAATTTTGCTTGCTATTGTTACATTTGTAGTGTTTTTTTTCTTCCTTGACGGTGATGAAAATAGAGGAATTTGTGGCTCATTCTACCAATGTGAACTGCTTAAGTATCGGTAAAAAGGCGTGTAGATTGTGTATTACCGGTGGCGATGATCATAAAGTGAATCTTTGGGCAATTGGCAAACCCACTTCTTTAATGGTTAGTTCTTATTCTTTCTGTTTCTATCTTTTGCCCACCTATTTAAAGTGTTGCCAATATCGGTACCCTATTTTGTTTTTCTAAAGTATGATTTATTTGTTTGTTATCATTTGGGCTCGATCGATGCATTAGTTTTGCCGCATTTTCAAACTGATATGTTATATATTTTATGATATTGCAGCTTAGAGGAAGTTTAGATTTTAGCCCGCAATATAATTCAATGAAAATAGTGGACCGTCAGTTTGGAATTGAGACTTAGTTGAGTTTGAATTCTCTAATTTAGAAAATGCTAGTGTAAATGGAATGAGGGCATCCATTAGGTGGCATTATTACCATACATAATATGGTTGTTTATTTATTGGTGTTAATGTGCAGAGCTTGTGTGGCCATACAAGTCCAGTTGAAACTGTTGCTTTTGATACATCAGAAGTTTTAGTGCTTGCCGGAGCTTCCATGGGTGCGATAAAGCTGTGGGATTTAGAAGAAGCAAAGAGTAAGTTGATTAATTGATTGATTTCCTTTCTTAAATAAAGTGGTTATAATAAGGTAATATAGTTGGCTATTTAACTATTGTAAGAGAATATAGCAATGTGATTACCTTTTTTAAGTCTTCACCATGTGTATGTTGAACTTGGAAATGATTTATCCTTTGTTGCATTAAGAATTGTTATTGCAGTTTATAGTGGAAAACTAATCTAGTTGTTATTGTTCTTGAAGTGTAGTGGTTCGCACTCTTACTGGACACAAATCCAACTGCACTGCTGTTGAATTTCATCCATTTGGTGAGTTCTTTGCTTCTGGTTCCACGGACACGAATCTGAGGATCTGGGATATCAGAAAAAAGGGATGCATACACACGTACAAGGGTCATACTCGAGGCGTTAGCACTATCAGATTTACTCCCGATGGTCGTTGGGTGGTTTCTGGTGGATGTGATAATGTTGTAAAGGTAATAATCAATCTCACTATGCAAGCATGACTTTCATTTATCTTTCATTTCTACTACTTATGGTGTTCACTTATTATTGTTGAACAGGTGTGGGATCTTACTGCTGGAAAGCTTTTACATGATTTCAAGTTCCATGAAGGACATATCAGATCCATTGATTTCCATCCCCTTGAATTTCTCCTGGCTACTGGTGAGTACATGAATTCTTTGTGTATTAGCCCCATGAGTTCTGCTCACTTTATTTTTTGTGTGAATGATACAATTACTAAGATCACAAGTGCATCTCATTTTTTTATTCTCTATAAAAATATTGTCATTTCATCTGTAATTCCATTTTCTCCAATGTTCTAATGCATATTCACTTTATGTGCTTCCTTTAGAAGCTTATTTTGGTAAAATTTACGTTTTGAGTTGTTACTTTTTCATTGCCTTCACCAATCAGCATGTTTTCATCAATATCTTCTGGTTTCAACTAGTAAGTTGTCATAACCTGCAAATATTTTTTCAGGTTCAGCAGACAGAACTGTGAAATTCTGGGATTTGGAGACCTTTGAACTGATTGGATCTGCCCGACCAGAGGTATCTAAGTTTGTGTTTATAAATTGAAACATTTTTAATCATTGCAATATGGTTCAATAAGAAAATTGGAGCAACAAATGCCACTTTAAAGTCTCTTATGAAGAATGTCTTGGAAGTAATGAAGTTTCAAGACCCATTTCTTAAATCTGAAATGGGCATAAATTGTCAGATAATGGTGTGAGGTTATTATTTTTAAGCTAATATGGAACCATACAGTGTCAATATTCCATAATTTTTTACCCTAATCAGTTGAGAACTCATATTTACAATAGATGCTTTTACTGTCTCAGCTTATGTGGTTCTCTATAGGTGAAGTCTTCTGTTCTGCCCTCTCTTCCAACTTTCTTTTTGGTCTCTGAGTTCCTTTACAGGCTTCTCTAGGTTCTTCTGTTCTCATTTGATTAATTTCTATGTTAGTATGCTGTTTCCAGAAGGATCAATCAGTAAATTCTTTCATTATGTTCCCTAAAATAATTAAGCATCCACTTTCCAGGATACGGGAGTGCGCTCTATTACCTTTCATCCTGATGGAAGGACTCTTCTTTGTGGATTGGAAGATAGTCTGAAGGTTTGGATTTTTGGCATAATGAAATTACATTATTTTATTTGTCAATTGATGTGGAGCTCAAGAATTATGCTTAAACTGTAGGTTTATTCTTGGGAGCCTGTAATTTGCCATGATGCTGTTGATATGGGATGGTCAACACTTGGTGACCTCTGCATTCATGACGGAAAACTCTTGGGTTGTTCGTACTATAGAAATTCTGTTGCAGTTTGGGTTGGAGATATATCGGTAGCCTTTTTCTTTTCATGAACCTTTTTTCTGTTTTCTTATCTGAATTTAATCTTTATTTGATTGCCAAAACTTTCAAGTGAGAATTAACCATAGTGTTAATTTTTTCCTTCCTGTTTTAGCGTATTGAGCCATATGGTGATGGTTTAGTATCCGAAGAAAGTGAATGCACAGACCAGAAATTTAATATCCCTGGACGTAATTCTTCAGATAAAGTAGAAAGGGATGTAAGACCAACTCTGGGTTTCCGCTCTCCATCTCCTGATTATGAGACAAAGGAAATAAAGAACATATATGTAGACTGTAAGTTGATTGTTTTCTTTTTCTACCAATAAGACAACTCTTGGTATTTGTTTTTGAGCGTCTTATTTATTTATATGAGTGTATGATTTATCCATGTCATCTGTATTCAAGAACTGAACTTGCTTCTATTACTTCTAAGTAGGCTTTATCTTATCCAAATCCAATATTGGCTTGAGAAGTTGGTGGTCATTAAGTTTTCAATTGGTCCTTAAGTTGCCCCATCACCCCCACAAATAAATAAATATAAATTTTAGAGGAGAATTTCCAATATAGTTACTGGAAAATGAGAGAGAAGTGTTTAAAGGGGCAAAAAAAAAAAAAAAAAAAAGACACAGAGAGAGAGAGTAAGAGAACCATAATTAAGTCATCTGAAAAAAAAAATGAATATAAATTTTAGGGAAGAGAATTTACGATACAGGGCCTGGAAAATGAGAGAGAAGTGTTTAGAGAGAGAGAGAACCATAATTAAGTCATCACAGAATGATTTACTCATGGCATAGTAAGGTTTTCTCTCACAGTTTTCTAGTGTGCTCTATCAATATCTAGGTGTGCATATTTATGAAAAGTACTTTTCACTTTTCCCTCTATTCTGCCAATTGATTTTTCCTTGAAAGATGTAGGAAATGTTTTTATCTACAATTTGGTTTCTCTAAATAGAAAATGAGGACCTCTTTTTGTCCCTTTAAAATAACAAAAGATTTTTTCAAAAAAAAGCACAATCGATCCTATTAAGACAACTGTTTTCCAAATTGGATTCCTTTTGTTTTTTCTCTTTCCAAGGACAAAGTGGAGAACTTGAAAACTGTATTTTGTAGATTTTTCAGATTTTTTTTTAAAGAAATAGGAAACTTGGCTTTCTAAGAAAATTATATTCAGCACACATTATCTAATAGTTTTCTGATTTCTTAAAAAGTTTTTGGATAAGTAAATTTTTTTCTATAAGTAAATGCACTCCTGTTATAGCCATTAAGACAGTTGTTTAGGGAGTGACTCTGTTAAGTAGGATTCGGCTTGAATGAAAACATATCCTTCTTCAGGACTCCTTTAACATGAATTGATTTGAGTCTGAAGTTTAGCTGTTTTTTGTTATTTTGAATTTGAACCAAGTCAGGGCTTCCAAAATTCATGTCTGTCCTAGTTCCTGGCTCATTTACATGGATAATAATTGGCCTATCCAGGCTACAATATTCTGCAGATGTGGAATGTGATAGGAATTTCCATTGCCAATCAGCACATGCTGTAGTCTGGACATGCATCGTGCATATTTATTTTCACTGCTGTCTACAATCTACTGTCTCTTTAATATGCTGTTTTATGTTCATGTAAAGCTACTGGCGGAAATCCTGTTACTTTACAAAGAGCTGGCTCCCTGAATTCTTCAAAAGTAGCCCCATCGATGGATTCCAAGGAAATTAGTACTCTTCTAACGGAGAAGCAGAGCCCTATAATGGGAGTGAATGCAAAGTTGAGTGAGCAAGCTTTTAACAAATCTTTCATTGTCCCCACCGTTGTACCTCAGGACATTCCTGTTGAAAAAGATTCTTCTAATTCTGTAAAGGAAACTATCACGTTTTCAAAGACCAAACCTGGTATGTTGCTCAGACCAGCTCATGTGCGGAGGCTATCAAATAGCAAGAATGATGTTGAAAAGATGTCAGTGGCTCTTGAATATGGAAACTTTAGCAGTGTTACAAGTGAGAAAGGAACGGCAAGAGATCCCAGCTTGCAATCCCTGATGGAAACAGAAGATGGAGCTAAAAAATCCTGTGATAAGAAAAGCTCTAGCATCCAGGGTGTTGCAGAGAAGTTTAAAAAAAAATTATCACTAGAGACACCTTCTAATCAGGAAAACTGTAAGTTCTTGTTTTTGTTAAGAGTATCATTTTCTTCTTACTATTCAGCTCTTGTTATTTACTAACAATTCCTTCTTCTGATCTCTGTATCTTCCACATTGTTTTCCCTTGGATGTTTAGTGAGTAAGCTTTTGTTAATGCATGCTTGAATGTATTTTCCTCATCCATGTCTTACTATCTACTCTACCCTCTCGCTGCATTCACCATAAAGCCTGGGCCAACCTTCTTGCAACCTCACCAATCCTAATCTCACTACTCTCTGAGATGTCGCTCTTGTAATTTTTGCCAAATTGCATACTTTGTCACAGTTGCATTTATTTCTGATCATGCATGATCTCATATGGCCATCTCTCTTGATACCTTCATCTCATTCTCAGCCATGCTGACTCTATGAAGACATTCTTTGACTGCCATTCATTTAGATGATGAAGTATTACTATCTGTGGTGGGGAGCTTATGAAGTTTTCCATTGTTTTCAATCATGCTTGGCAATGTTTTGCAGTGCTCTTAATTGTACCCTTTGAGCTCAAAGATCTTATTCAGAATCTCAGTATCACCATTACTGGCCTCTGGGTTGATATAAATCCTTAATTCTTCCTGGTCCACTAGAAAACCTCTTGGGCCAATGGGCTATCTAGTGGAGCATAACTTGCTTCTGATTCCTAGGTCCCTCTTCTCCCATTCCATTCTTTGTTTTGCTGGTTCTTCAAAACCTCACACTAGCTTTTATCTGATGCTTTGATAAGTTATACTTCAATATTCATTTAGTTGACTTCTTGAAGCCAAATAAACGAATATTGTTTTTCTTTTCAATTGTTTGTCAATGTAGATTTGTGAAGCGTATCTACACATTGTTTATCTTTTTGATTGATTATTGTAATATATTTATTAGCAGGTAATGACAGTTCTTGTATGTTTCAGGTGAAGAATCTGTTAAAAGCAGTAAAGACATCACCCCTGTTAAGATTGTCAATGGAGGTTTGTCAGTGCCTACCATGGGTGTGATTTTCAAGCACATGTCAATTAACTGGAAATTGATTTTGTTTCAAATATTTTCATTCTGGCAGTTGCAGTGGTATCGGGCAGGACACGTACTCTTGTTGAGAGGTTTGAAAGAAGGGAGAAATTAAGCAACGAAGATCAAGCATTAAACACAAGTCCTCAAACTGTACCTGAATCAAACAGGACATCCGCCACAGAAACCGATATGACCCCTCATGCCTTATCTGAAACAGATAGAACACCAGTTACGTCTACTGTGACTCCTGGCATTGTGCCTGAAACAGATAGAACATCAGTCACATCTAATATGACTCCCTGCATTGTGCCTGAAACAGATAGAACACCAGTTACATCTAATATGACTCCTCCTGTTGTGCCTGAAACAGATAGAACACCAGTTACATCTAATATGACTCCTCCTGTTGTGCCTGAAACAGATAGAACACCAGTTACATCTCATATGACTCCTCCCGTTGTGCCTGAAACAGATAGAACAGCCACAATAGCACCTAAAATGACCCGTTGTTTTGTACCTGAAACAGATAATACAGCCTCCACAGCAACTAAAACGATCCCTCTTGCTGTACCTGAAAGGGATAGAACATTTACCATAGCAACTAAAACAAGCCCCCGTGTTATACCCGAAGCAGATAGAAAGCCCCGTATATCATCTAATATGATGTCTCGTGTTGTACCGCAAATGGATAGAACACCCCCAATAGCAGCCCGAATGACCTCTCGTGTTATGCCTGCAAGTGATAGGACTCCACCAGTAGCAACTATCACCCCTCGGGTTATACCCAGGAGGGATAGAGCACCCCCTATACCTACAAACGTTGCCACATCTGTTATACCTGAAGTGGATAGAACACCCTCCATAGCTACTAATTTTACCCCTCGCATCTTAAGTGAAATGGATAGAGCGCCCCCATTCTGGTAAGATCTTTGCCTCCTTTAAAGGAAGATTTTTCATGGTTTAAGTATCGGGTGGACTTACAGTTTATTTGATGTTTTTTATGGTCTGTGCATCATAAGATCCTGTTGAAATATCAGAATCTCTGAAGTTTCAACTTAAAGTGGATGAGTAAAAGTTGTAAGGAATCAGGTCTAATTTCATTCTGAGTTAGTACCAAGGATTAGGCATATGAGATAAAACCTCTCAAGTATTAACCTGAGATGACTTGAAGCATCTGACCTTTGAAATGATGTTGAGAAAATCATTAGTTACTTGGTTCCATTGTCTACCTCGGTACTAAATGTTCCAAACTCTTTTTCAAATTAGAAAACCTAATTATTAAATCCCTGCTTTTGTCTCCTTGAAATTTTTTATTTTTCCATACAAAATATACTTAAAATTTCTTATTGAATAATATCATTTATTCTGTGGGAATCTTTCTAAAATGATCAGTTGAGGGGCTGAACCATTGCTTATAAGATCCTGATGTTTTCGAACTTAGACAAATGAATTCATATGTGCTTGTATTTTTCACATTCCATGAATCAATCTTGGTTCTCTTTTGCTGATGACAGAATGAAGAGCCTCAAATTTCTGGGAGGGACTTGACTTCTGCTAATTATAGAGATGTTATTGATGATCTGATGCAAAGTCATGATGTATTCTTAAATACCCTTAAATCGCGCTTGACAAAGCTACAGGTATATTGAGCTACTTGTGCATACTGGCTTAAGTGGTGGATATTTTTAATTGAAGATGGCCTCTAGAAGCATGACATATTGACAATTCTAAATATTTAATGCACTGCAGAATATGTTAATTCTACTTTTGATAGTAGATCTATATACCTATCTCCGGTGACTGATTCAGTTTTATGGATTTTTCATTTCATCATCTTCATTACAGCTAATAATTCCTTTCTGGCACCTATTTTTAACTCTTGTTTTTTCTTCCCCTTTGGGTGGTTGGGGGTCGTGGCAAAGTCACTAAGATAGTAGCTCTGATGTGATTTGCAGGTGGTTCGACATTTTTGGGAACGAAATGACATTAAAGGTGCTATCAATGCCTTGAGGAAATTGCCAGATCATTCTGTGGGTATTTATGGGAATGGTTCATCCCAGTGGCTTATTTTGTTTTGATAATTGCTATCTGCAAGGCTGTATATCTTGCACATTGATATTAATTAATCTTGTTGCAGGTGCAAGCAGATGTAATCAGTGTTCTCATGGACAAAATGGAGATTCTCAACTTAGATTTATTTTCATGCTTGCTTCCTGTGCTTGTGGGCTTACTAGACAGCAATATGGAAAGGTAACATAATAAGCTTACTTGAATGCTACATATGGTCTTTCAGTACCATTTTACTGCAGTCCTTTCGAAATGTCATCCGTAGTCCTGTAAATAGAAGTGGTAAAGTCTGAGTTTATATGACCAGTACAAAAACAGCTTATCTGAACTAACTCAATATGTTGCTTCTGCTATTGAATAACTACATTATTCTTATAAACAGTTCCAAATAAGCAGTCCTAGTAGTCCGCAAAGGAGAAAAATGGCTTTATTTTTTAGTGTGTTGAAATTGATAAAGGTTTTCGGGGAGGGTTTGTTTTGGTGATTTTATTTTATTGACATGATTTGATGTCAATGTTGTTATGCTGCTGTCATATGATTAGCTGTTTAATTATACCTTCTCATTACTTATGTGGGTAGTAAATGAAAAAACCAACTGCAAGATGTTATTCCATCAATTCATGTGCTTTTAGGAAGCCAATTATTGACTTGGTAGCATGCTAGTTGAAATTAATTGCCAGTGTTTAATCATTCTGCTGAAAAAGTGGTCCTGTGTTGTACTATCCCTAAGGACCCAAAGTTTGATTCTCCCTGTGTTCAAAAATTGCTTTCCTTATCATGAACTTCAATGTTAGAGAAGAAAATTTTGAATAATTCTCATTGAGTGACCATATACTCTAAAGAGGGAAATGAATCTGTATCAAAACTGGCACCCAATCAGGAACTCGAAGAGAACTCTTCGAGATATTTGACTTGAATTGTTAATTTTCAGGCACGCAAATATCTCATTGGAGATGCTCCTGAAGCTTGTAGCGGTTTTTGGTCCAGTAATACGATCAGCCGTTTCAGCACCTCCAGTTGTTGGTGTTGATCTTCATGCAGAGCAAAGGTGTTGCTAATCAACATTTACATGGACTTACACTTTTCTGTTACTGAAATGCTGTGTTAATCTAAGTTGTGTGGTGCAACACTCACCTTTATTGGATAATATGCAGGAGAGAATGCTGCAACCAGTGCTATGCTCAGCTGCAAAAGATCCAGCAAATTCTTCCAGCACTTGCAAGGCAAGCATTCTGTCTTGACTCTTGAGTTCTGCCTCATTTTTCCCATATTACAACTATGATTGTGCAGTCAAGTTAAACCAACACTGCACAAGGAAAAGGGTTCCATGCTACAGAGCTGCAAATCTTGTTGGCTTTACCACAGGAAAATAAAAGTTTGCAGAAATTTCTTAATCCTGCTCAAATATTCTATTCATTATTACTTTTTTTTTCCCACACCATGTATCTGAATGCTTGATGGTTTTCCTAGTCGCTGATGTTACAACCCATAATCAAAATTCTCTTTTATATTTGCTGCAGGAGGGGTGGTTTATTGACAAAAAGTGCTCTGGAATTGAATCTAGTCCTTCAACAGTCATAGCAAATGGTCCCATCTAAACCAATTTCTTCTGCAAATGTTAAAGATTGGGCCAGCTGATACGCTGCTAGCGAAACACGTGGAGCGTGATACTCCTTGCATATGGTTTTGTCGATCTCGTAATTTTGTTTTGCCGCCCCATACTTTTTGCCATCATACTCGTTTTAACTACTGACGGCATCCTACAGATTGAGAGTTTTGTGAGGCAAACATTAGAGCACTTGCTTTTCTTGTGACTATTACTGCCAAGAACGAAAGACCTCATCTTTCCAACCATGGTCCTTTCTGAATTACCAGGAATTTCCTCATTGTAATTTTTCGTCTCTAGGCAGTATTATATGTGTATTTTTGTTCAAAGCAATGTAATTAGTCCCAATTCATATGTACACTCCATTTGTTATATTCAATGAAGTGCATAAATTTTTTCCTAGACTGAGTCCAACTCTAGTTTCTTCTTTGGGTGGCTGGTATCTGACCAATTACCATACAAAATGTATGATGAATTTGCTCTGTGAAGACAACTAAAATCAGTATTGGATGTGTTTTCTGTTCTGAGGAATGTAATAAGCGACAATGCGCTTACAAGCTTTTTTGATATAGTGTCGAAATATTGGCCAGATGGTACGAAGACCTCCTGAATCATTGACTGTTTTCATTTACACTCATTATACCTTTTTTAAAGTATATATATAAAATACATAAACTTGTGAGAATATTTGGATTACAATCCCTATCACTCTTTATCATTGAAATTCTATCGTTCTAGCCATCAAATCACCTCAAAATACGCCAAAATAATCCTCCTAATCTACCCAACAAAATTTTCTTATCAAACAATATTTTTAAAATTAGTAGGAGACGAGCCTTTCATTTAATGATGGCCTTACCAATAGATTTCAGAGCTAACAGAAAAAAAAAAGGTTAAAAGTCTAAACATTTTATGATTTAAATATTTAGATAAAAAAATAATAATACAAAGGATGCGGATCAAAACGGTTGGTAATTCTTCAAATAGTTTAATCTATCTTTTTTGTACCGCGACCGAATTCATGGAAATTCAAGCAGTCGGTCAAATATTTTCGGACAAAGGCAGGAGGGAGTTATCCTTCAAAAGTCATTGCCTTCGATTAAATCTGAAGAACTGAAGATATGGATAGCTTTCAATTTCGGATTTTCGTCAACCTAAAGATCATGTTATAATCATGGGTGGAAAACTGGAATATACGATAAAGAATTGACAACCAAGAGCACACAACGATGGTTTTGAGTGGTCCACCAATACCTTGTAACTTGTCGATTGTCAAGTCATAAACATGTTTTAGAGCCACCAGCTCTTGATTCCCACTACAATCAGAGAAGGAGGCCACAGGGAAGAATTTGTGGAGTCATAAAGGGCCCATGCATTGCATCGGCTTACATAGAGAAGAAAGAATCCATTTATTGAGACATATACGTGTGATACGTGTGGCATGTAATAATCCACGTGGCAAATCTTTTTTCTTGATCTCCCACCCTAATTATTCTGTAGCAAAACACTGAAGTTTACCTTCTTTTTTTAGATGCCACATCTTTTCCATGCACATTCGTTTGATAACAATGCCAATCATGTGTAACCCTTTACTCTTTTCAATAGCCCAATCATGACCTTTAAGTAAATAAATAAATAAAGCTTTCCTTTCAATAGTCCAGTTGTTTTTTTTTTTTCCTTTTTTGTAAACATATTGAGTTTAAGTTAACAGAGGAAATTATAATTAGTCCCTTTTGTTTTGAAAAACAAATTGATTCCTCCCTTTGTTTTTAAAAATAATAATTATTTAATCATTTTTGTCCATTTTGTATTTTTTCAATTTTTTTTAAATAGATATTAAGGAAAGATTGATTAGCAAAAAAGATATTTTTAAATAAAATAACACTAAATTAAGTATAGTTAGTGATTAAAGAACTAAATAATTAGTTTTTGAAACAAAAAGAAAAGATCTCAAACAAATTTATAATTTACTAAAGTTTACACATAAAAGTTAATATATTTATTTATTTTATTTTTATTTTTTGCCGGAATTTGCTCAAGTTTACACATTAAATTAAGTATAGTTAATAACTAGTTTTAATTGTCTAGACATGCATTGTGTGATACATGTGGCATGCAATAATTCATTTTTTGTTTTCAAAGTTGTGGTCTAAACGAGAGATTTAAGTGAATTAAAAAGGATTGTCAAAGAAGTTTTGTATTACTTTTGTCAAGGAGATTGTAGCATCCAAAAAAGTATTAAATGAAGAATATAAAATTGATACTGAGCTGATAATTAGTAACAATGACGATGTAAACACAAAAATTGTTGAGCAAGGAGAGCAAGACCCTCACACGATATTGAATATTGCAAAAAACAAGAAGATTTGCAAGATTTCAAACTTTTATGTTAAGACAAATTTAGTTACATAAATAATTTGTATTATTGTTAGTATTTTTATTTCTCAAATTTACAAAAAAAATTTGAGTTATCTTGTTACTTTCTTGATTATAATTGATTATTTTAAAATTAGTCTCGTGGTTTTTCGCCTCTCAATATAGATTTTTTTATACATAAAAATATTATATTTTTATGATTGTGCTCTTATAATGTACTTATTTTCTATTCTTAATTGTTGTGTGTATTTTATTTATTTTTTTTTCACAAAATCTAATTTATACAAAATGAAATTAAAAACTAAAGAACATTACATTAAATTATTTTAGTTTTGCTGGCATTACCTCAAAATTTGGTAAAGGAAACAATTTTATAAAACGAAAATCCCAACATGAATTCATTCTTAGATGCAACCTTTGAAGACATTAAAGTCTAGATTGGAATACACATGTGATGAACGTGTCACATAAGTTCTCCCATTTTACGTTTAAAAAATTCAAGCAATTTTTTAAACGTAAAATGGGAGAACTTATATGAAGAAAAGTTATCTATGTGTCACACTCACCTCTCATAATCCTATAGATATATGAAGTGTCGTTGCCAGTTAATTCATTGGATAATTAAGACGAAATTAAGGTGGATCTCACCACCTAATTGTAACACTCTAGCTAATGGAGAGTCATGAATGAAACCTAATATTGATTTTAAGCGATAAGATAACCTCATCCTTAAGGACACGCTTATTATTAATATTTTCGTTGCAAATGATAATCTTATCATTACTCAGAATCGATGGGAAATTTTCTAAATAATTAAAAGAATGATGTATTGATATAGTAGGTCTAATGTTTTCTGTTGGAGAGAGTAAGATAACCTTTCTATTTAAAAGAAAATTCATTTTTTTAACCTTTTTTATTTATTTATTTATCAACTTTCTATTTAAATGCATGTAATGGTGTGAGATGAGAAACATGTAATGGTAACAAGATGTAAGTCAAGTGGCTGATAAGTAGATAGTCAAAATCTAAATAATTAAAGTTTTGTATATTGTCTAGTGTGTAAGCATGATAGTTTTAAGATGGAGAGTTTAAGCATTTCTTTTACTAAAAATTAAAAATTATGAAGTCAAAAGTTATCCGATACGAAGTTATGATCCCTTCATAATAATATAAGATTCGTATTTATAGTGAAAGAAGATAGTACTTGACCACTAAGATCATGTCATATCATTCAAGTTTGGATTGTCAAATTTGACCTAAAAGATTTAAGCTCTTTGATTTTAGTTTGCTAGCAAAGGATAAAAAAAGTAATAATTGGGTCTTTTTTTAACAAATCAAGTTTCGAACTCACCAAGCCAATCTCTTTAATGCATCTTAAAAAACAAAACATGGACACTAATTCTATCGAACACTCATGTCCATTCTTGAGCCCTAAGATCTTGTATTAAGTTAAATTCATTACTAATTCAATTCATTTATCATACAATTTGGACTCATGTCAAAAAAATAATAACATATATTAATACATAATAAAAATTAATTAATTAAAATTTGGAGCATATACAAAAAGAAAAAAGACTTAATTATATAATGCTAATTTCAGATCAGTCGAATTTGTGTCAACTTGTGCTAATCTATAATATCCAAAATTGCCATTTCATAACTCTTGTTTTGAATTTAACAGCACAGTCTTAAGTCATTTATGTTTGGAATTTGCACATGTGTATTTTAAGCATTTATTCACTTGCTTTTTTGTTTTTTTAAAAAAAAAAAAACTTTCTCTGACATGTCTCGTGTCTTGTAACGCTATGGTATAGGGATATGCCTAAAAATAAAAATAAAAAAAATAGTTTTTTAAGGGAAAAAAAGAGAGAAGGGGCAGACAAGTAATTTCAGTAGTATAAATAAAAGAAAAGACGTTTCCAAAAACAAGCGACGATAAAGGCAATCCAGAATGTCTTAAGCTAAGAAGAGAAGAGAACAACCTCAAACTCAATCACCCAATAATAATACTTTTAAAATAAACATTAAAAAAAATACACAAAAAAAAAAAAAAGAAGCCAACCCATATTTACTTTATTTCTTTAATTTCCATGTCGTAAAAAAATCCTCTCTCCCTTTACCCTCAATGTTTTTCTCATTTAACACCTCTTTTCTTCTCTAATTTCTCAATGATACATATACTACACCTATTTTTCATCTCTCTCGCTTTTTAATATTTCCACTTCATCATCATCATCATCTTCATCTTCTTCTTCGTCCTTTCCTCTTTCTTTTATAGAATAGAATCTGTCGACCCCCGTGTCTCACGCAATTCTCCCAAAAAAATCTCTCAAAAACCACCTCTAAAACCGCCTTTCTCCTCTGTCTTCTGTAATATCCAGAAGCCCCTTGTTTGTCTCTCTCTCATTTTGGTTGCTTTTTCCATCAAAGGGGCTATCTTGTTATTCTTCTGGTTTGTTTCGAATTCGTTTGCTTTTTTTTTTTTTTCCCTTAAGGTGGCGCTGGCTAAAGCGAGCCAGGGTGCGTAGGATAAGGAGTTTGATTGGAGGCGTACACGTGGACGGTGGGGATGGGGACGGAGATATTAATAAAGAAGTGGGGTACATGGGAGGAACTGTTACTGGGTGGGGCCGTGATCCGGCACGGTACACGAAACTGGAATTTGGTTGCCTCGGAGCTCCGTGCCCGAACCGTTAATTGCCCGTATACTTTCACACCTGAGGTTATTAGTTAATTAATTAAGATTGTATTTTTTGTGTTTTGATGAATTAATAGTTATTGCTATTAATTTTTCTGTCTCCTTTTTTTTTTTTCTTTTTTTGTGGGGTTGTTGCATAAAAAATCAAAATTAATTTTTTCATTGGTTCTAATAGAAGTGATTAGGTATGAAAAGGATTGTACTCCGCTTTCTTACAGAATTATAGGATCCTAAAAAAATAATTCATAGTTTCCATGTTTTTGTGAAAGAGTATATTACAGCAAATAATTCCTCCCACGGTTAATTGGACAATGTACATGTCTTTTGTTTCTTGTTTTTTGGTTTACCCGTATTTTGTTAATTAGTCGAAAAGTTTGTTATTACTCCCATTATTTTGCGTAAAGGTTCAAATTACCGTCCATTATTATAGGTTATTTTTCAAAAAAATAATAATGTTAGGTGATTGGTATTTTATTTTCTATGGGTTTAATGAATAATGAATTGTGATTGGTGGGATGAAGAAGAGAAGAAAAAACATGGATGGTGACATGAAAAAATGGAGGGAACTAACTTGGCAAGCATGTTTTGACTTTGACGTTGACTGGACTTAAATAGTTTGTTTTCTAGTGGTAGTAGTAGTATTTGCATGACTTGCTAGCTAAGTTAGAAAATGTTAATGACAATCATGATAGTGATATGTCACGTGACATGCATGTGAGTGTACCCTTTAATGGTTTATGTATTGACTTGGTCCTCTAATTCAATTTGGTTCCCTTTTAAGCATGATCTTTGATTTTATGTTTTATCCTTATAGTTTTGGCAAAATGTGATGTGATTTGACTGGCTAATTGCTATGCTATAATGTGGATTTATTTTGGTTTGCATTCTAAATGCAGATATGTAAAGCAAAGTATGAGGACTTGCAACAACGTTATTCGGGATGCAAGTGAGCATACTCTTCTTATGATATCAAAGACATTATTAGCTATCCTTGGGTTGTCCCAACAGGATTGCTTAACTATAGCAAGAGCAAGAAAAATGGGGTGTTTCTTATCACATCATTCTTTTCGTTATTTAGTATTTACTGGTTCTCTGCGAAATTTTCAGTCTACTAGAAAGAATTAGAGGGTTTAAAGTCTTCCTGGCAATGGAGAGAAGAAATTATCTTTTTTATATATTTCTTCTTAACATTACACTGCATCACATTCAATTGCGTCATACCAAACATCTTATTGTTTGATAATGCAAAGCACAGGCTTTGAGTTGAAGGTTTAAATCAAATTTATTTGCGCACATGCATTCATTAGCATATATTCATGATTAAATTCCTGAAACAAGTGGCGCGTTATTTACTTCGTGCCATGTATTCCTCAGAGCTTGGTTTGAAGAGCTGCGGAAGCAAAGAATGATGGAGTTGAGGCGAGCTTTAGAACAATCTGAAGGCTCAATTGGGTCAGTGATCTGTTTTTTGTTCCAATTCAGACTTTGTGAACTTATAAATTTATGTTAAGAAAACTGCTTTGCGTCATTGTCTAACAGTAAAAACATGGTAGTCCAAAAACTGTCTTAATCATGTTCCCCTGCATTTATGTTGTCGATATCATGTTAAAAGTTTGCATAAGATTCTAACCCTGAAACATGTTGTGGAGCATCATTAGAACTTGTGCTTTGGAGTCTTGTGGCCAAAGCATGAAATCTTGAATGTGCAAGTGTCTTCAATGGATAGATGGTTGTGATATGATAGTGATGATTTCTTCATCTTACCCAAGGAATAAATTGTTAAGAGCTGGATTTAGTGGAGATGTACATGTAGTAAATCTGCAGAACTTCATTATGTGATTTGTGAAATTTGGAGGGGTTAATTGGAGGAGAGAAATGCATAACTATAATCCTGAACTTGCTTGATACTGATTTGCTTTCATTCTGTAACTTGTTAAGAATTCATGGATCCACTTCAGAGTTCGTGTGTGAATATTGCAGTCTGAATTAATGGTTGTAGAGATTTCTTAACTGTTATGTTTCAGGTCACTGGAATCAAAACTTGAAATTCTCAAGGCTGAGAGAAGGGAGGATTGTCATGTCAGTTATGACTCCAGCCAGACAGAATCACCTGTACCATTTCAGAGATGTGGAGTCGAGTCATCCAGTAGAGAGACATCTAAGGATGGACTATCTGCTGGTAGTTTTACTCAGGACACAATAACAAATTGGGCTCCTGAATGTCGAATTCCAACTTCTGTGCCAGCTGCAGAAGTAGAGATTAAGCCAGAAGTTTTAATGTCTCCTGAAGAGAAAAAAGGTTTGAGCATATGGAAGCTGTCAGATAGCATATTTGCAGGACAGATAAGTGGTTTAAAAAGAAGGAGAGGGAAGCGAAAGCGGAAAGATTGTAATAAGGATGTAAAGGAAGGGAGTGTTGGAGAAAGTGAGTTTTTGGGGTCAGCCGAAGTTTTATCTGCTACTCGCTGTAAAGATAATTCTACTAGCACCTCTGGTCAAATTGCAAGATGTTCTAGTATTGGTGATCGATCCAAAGGTTCGAGCAAGGATGTGGTGGATGTCAGGGTGATTTTTGATTCTATTGCAGAGAACAAATGTGCCTCTGTGTTTTGTCGGCGTCTTGATAGCCAGGTATAGATCACTTTACCTTGTGAGTTGTGAAGTTGGTTCCTTGCAGTCATTGTCAAATGTCAATACATGTTTCTGAAAATGATGATGGCTCCTCTTTATCTTAAATTTTTCTTACTGTGTTTTAATTTTGTGAACTTGCTAATTTTGATCATAATTGGTATGCTAATGCGCACAATCAGTTAACTTATGGTCTTGTTTTATTTTTGTAACAGAAGAGAGGAAGATATAAGAAAATGATCTTGCAGCACGTGGATATTGATACCATAAGATCAAGAATTGCAAGTGGCTCCATTACAACAGCTAAAGAAGTCTTTCGGGATCTGCTTCTACTTTCTAACAATGCATTGGTCTTTTATTCCAAGACTACTCGTGAATACAAATCTGCATTGCTTCTGAGAGACATCGTTACGAAAAGTCTGCAGCAGAATCTTAAGAACTATATTACCAAGGCCACCATTACCTTTCTCTCAACCACGTCACCTTTGCTTAACCCTCCTGTTAAAGCTCGAAGTGCTCGTCCTGGTAATGGGAAATCGTCAGGAAAGGTGACAAAAGCTGCGAAGCTTGTTGCTAAAACTCCAAACACGGGTAAAAGACCAAATAATGCCAATTCACGTCCTTTAGCAGAATCTTTCGCCTTGAGAGAGAAAGGCTCACATTCCCCTCCTTTAGCAGAATCTTCAGTCCTCAAAAAGAAAAGCTCACATTCCCATCCGTCAGCAGAATCTTTAGCCATGAGAAAGAAGGGCTCTAGCCGACCAAGAAAAACTGGACAAAGAAGTACTACCCAACGCTTCCAAAGTCCGCCAAAAGGAAGGAAGAGATCTCGGGTTAAGTGACCATGTTGTATATTTGTTCATCATCCCCTATAACATGTTAAGACAGTGCTAATGTGTTTTCTAGGATATTTCAATGTACAAATCTCCCCTTTTGAAACTAACTGTTGTATAATCCAAATGTAACACAAAAAAAGTTTAGAGAGACATTCTTGCCCATTTTCTTACTTTCTACTGGCTCAATCAACATGCGAACTCAAGGCAGCATAAGAAGCGATTGCATCTGAATTTCTGTAGAATGCAGTTTGAACTTCGAATGTTGGATATCTGGCCAGTGGCCACTCCACTGCTAAAGATTGTAGAATGAAGACCTTAGCCTAAGTAGGACTTCCCTATAGCAAACCGAATACAATGAGCACATTTCAGACCTCGAGAAAGCTAAAACTGTGGCAACGAGAAACTGGTCCAATGTTGAAGGCTCAAAGTTGAGGTACAGAAGGCAGAAAGTTTGGAAAGTCAAGATTCCAGCTCCCACCTCCAAAAAAGAAAAAATGTAAAAAACGAAAGCCAAAAACTCTGCCTGTGGGAAGAATGCCAAAAACACACCGGGCTAGAAATGGACTAGTGGATCACTTTATCAAGGGTGGTTGGTCCAGTTTTGTTCGTAGGTTGCTTTCCTCCTTTGTCACTTGGCCTAGATGTTTTTGGTGGGAATTCTGTTCGGTCCTTAGCACATTCTATCAAATCAAAATTCCATTGTCTTACCAATTCTAGGGCCGAGACCAAGATATTTCAAGTGAAACTGGGCCACCTTGGCAGACCTTGTCCGAAGTCCAGTAATCTTATCATCTCCAGGCCTAAAGTCCAGTTAATTCATGTGAAAGTGAAACTGGGCAGGACCTTAAGTTTTGATTAAAATCAAAACAAAACCCACGATCGTGAAACAAATCCCAGGTTTTAGATAATTTTATAAAACCTCATCTACCTAGACAGCCTTTTGGTCTCATTGGAATGATTTGGCCTAAGGCAATGCCAGTTTTTAGTTGGGCTTAACTAATTTGGGGTGACCATATGTGTCCTTGCTCTCAAAAGGAAAGCGATAAAAATTTTTTTCACTAAAATAGTCTAACTATCTGTGAGCTTTAAGTCATCTGAGGTTGAGTTTTAAAATTTTTAATTGGTTTTGAGAATTTTTGAACTTTTGAAATTTAGTCCATCTAATAATTTTTAGTTATCACCTTCGCTTCTAAAAAAATCAAATCTTGGTATTTTGAGCTATTTTGCATGCGTTTTGAAAATAATTCAATCGGTTTTGTAATTTTTTTTTAATTTTTTTTTAACATTAAAAATGTAGAAAATCACGGAAAAGTAAAAAATAATCCTTAAATGATTTTTAAATTTGTTGAAAAGTCCTACATAAATTTTACTTGAATGATTTTCATCATGAAAATATTTATATAATTGTCATTTTTCGAGATAAATGATAAAAAAGTAAAAGACGAACTAAATCTAAAAAATTAAAGAATTTTCAAAACTAATTAAAAAATTTAAAAACTCAATCTCAAATGATTTAGAGTTCAGGAGTGACTAGTCCCTTTTAGCAAAAAAAAAAAAAAAATGTCCTCATTCTTTGTTGTAAGCAATTGGCATTTCTCCAAGATTGTAGCAAACGTGAAGGAGGTCATGGCTTGACAAAAAGGGAATAACTCTAGACGCGGATGTCAACTTACGCAGCTAAGTATCACATTTACAGCATATGATAAATCAGAACTGGATAAAAAACAAACACACACGACCTGACAACCACATGCTTAGATGATCTATCTATAGGTTAAGATATCCATGTCAAGGAGTGGAATGACTTGCATGCCAAATGCATGATCCTAAATGAAGGTTTGATTATTGGTTATCTCTCTTTTACAAGAATAAGCAACCACTCACTTTGCAAAAAAGCTGCTTATTTTCTTTCCCCCTAACACAAGTCTTTCTTATCCAGAGAAAAAACGTTCTCCATAAAAAGTATTTATGGTGGGAGTGTCTTGTCAGCTCCGCACCTTAAGTTTGTGACGTCCGAAAGCTAATTATCCAATTTCTTTCAGGAAAAAAAAAGATAATTGTGTGTTATATTAGGAAATGATACGATAAGGATAAGGATAAAGAAAATTTACTAAACGGATAGGTGGCCAGATGTGACATCACGTCGTAATTATATTATATTTTTATATGCTAAAAAAAAAAAATTCACTGTAGTTAAGCTACCATAGCAAAACCAAAACGACACAAAACGGTATCATTTTTTGGAAAAAAATGAATGATTTTTTGTTATTTTTTTATACTTTGATACACTAAGTTATTAATTTATACAAAAAAAAAAAAATTTCTAATGTTAATTAACATGTAAAAAGGTCTTTAAAATTTTTTTGTCGAACTGGTATAAGCCCAGCACAACCTTTTTTTCTTTTTTCTTTTTTATATTTTTATTATTTATTATTTAATCAAAATAAATTTTTTTCATAATTAATAATTATTTTTTTTATTTTTATAAATATTTATTAACTAAAATTAAGTATTCTTTTAATATAAATTGGTTAAAAACCTCCTTTTGATTTGATTTTTTAAAATAAATAATTAAGTGCATGTATTTTTTTATCAAAATAAAAAATATTTATAAAATGTATTTAAATTCAAATATATGTATGTATATTAAAAAAAAATTATAACGAGTGTTAACTAATTTTTATTTTACGTTTATATTTTTTAATTATTTAAAATATTAAAATATTTATCCGTATCAACGTCCGGTTATTGGGCTAGTGTATCCTAAATCTAATGGACCCAGTCCCAAGTTCACATCGTGACAAATCCAAGCTGCCAATTTGATGGTTTTGCCCTTTTCTCTTCTGCTACATCAGGAGATAACTATGTTTTGCTTTGATTTGTCGGATCCTTGTATCAAGAATAGCCTCGTGAACCAATCGGGTTGGGTTGCTTCATCAATTTGACTTAGAAAATTTATCTTCGTCACTTGTTGCCTTATGTTCGTCATGCCTAGTCTACACGCTAGGCTTGAAAATTTGGAAAATATAATTAAATTTTATGCATGAATATTCTAATTAGATATTAAAATCCTAATAAAATAATACCCATTCCTGGACCCAAAAAGAGATAAAACTGAGCCCAGCCATAGGAAAGGGGAGGATTGTCTTTTTGCCGCAGCTGAATTCTCGTCCAAGTTTGAATTGGCTTTGTCTTGATGAGTTATTTGCTGTTCCTTGAAGTGTCAAACTTGGTCCTTAACAACAAATTTTGTTCAATTTGATCCAATTAATTACTTGCAGTCAATTAGAAAACATTTATTTTCATTCAGTTAGAGGTAGCACTAATTTGGGAAAAAAACTCTTTTGTTTTAATTTTTTTATTTCATTCATTGAGTATATATGTGGGTTACCTCAATTGCATCCGGTCCCGAGAAAAGTTTTAAAATACTTCACCACTAATTATTCTATATTTTTAATAATTATTCCATAAGTTTATTTAAAAAATAACATAAAAGAAAGAGAGAATCGCACATAGATCTATAAAAAAATATTTTTATCTTGTTTTAATTTTTTTTAATTTTTAATTTTTATATCTAATTTTTTATGAAGTAGATACTAATAATACTTTATGAATAATATAAAATTTCTCTGATCTTGATGGATTATAAAATTGAATATCCTTTAAATATATGAGCCCATAGGCAAGATCCCGACAACATGCACGTTTTAAGACAAAAACACTAGTCATCTGCTCCACAATCTCTTACCAAGACCCTCCGTCCTCGATGACCTAACCCAACTACGCTTTAAATTCATCTAAATCTTTTTTTTTTTTTAACAATTTTTTTTCTGTCGTATGCACACCTTTGCATAACAACTATTGACCCATCCGGCCATCCCTAACCTCCCCCAGCTACTTTTAGAAAAAACAGAATGTATTTAAAAAATTAAATTAATAAAATTGATCGAGAACATCCCTGGTTTCGACCTTTGTAGAAATTATTTGTTTTTTTTATGGGAGCTAGTAATTTACTTTAAAGGTCGAATGATGTTTAAACAATGCGAGCCACTTTCTTAAAATATTATGGTTCGCACCATTTTTTTTATAGTGCTCGTCGCGAACCTAGGTTTGCATTATTCCTAGCTGCCAAGTGTTCTTGAATAACCCGCAATTGATGGATGCATTATCTTTTAGTGATGCTAACATGCATGCCTATAAAGAATAGATTAAAAATTAGGCGTTATCTATCTTGATTTAGCTCAAAAAAAAAAGATTTAAATTAATTGACATGAAAAGTAATTTAAAAATATATTATTATCTGTAAATGTTAAAAAAAATATGCCTATAATTATATAATTTATGTATATACGGTAAGCAATTTAATAGTGTGAGATCAAACCATAAAATATTGATGATATCAATAGGTAGAAACGCCCTTTTGTTTCATTAATTAATTGATCCAGCCACTAATTTTGAAGTTTACTCCAAGATGGATGGACATAATTGAGTTGTTTTTCTTTTTCTTTTTTCTTTTTTTTTTCTTAACTTTCCGGCTAGATTCCAGCGAAGGATCTGGTCCCTGAGATAGGTTAATACTTTGGTATAGTAAGGTGTATGACAGGTGGGGTCTATTGTCTATGGAAAATAAGTTTGGCAGGTAGCATTTGAAATTAGCTATCCCAAGTATACCTTCTCAAAAAAAAAAAAAAAAAAAAAAAAATAATAATAATAATAATAATAATAATTTACAGTGATTGTTTCTGTCACCCAGTCATACAATTTTTTAAATAGATGAGAACTTATTTTATAAAAAGAGGATCCACATCTAATAGTTTATAGGAATTAGAAATTATTTAAGTTATCTAAATATAGGATTTGAATCTAAAACCTTTCTATATCTTTTAAATCAAATCCTTATTGATGGGTTTTTTTTTTTTTCATATTTAGACTTGTATTTTTTGAATTTTTTAATTAAAATCCACACTAATTTTTTTATATTTTATTTCGGACGTTCTTTAATAATTTTATTAATCGGTGATCAATGTTTTACATTTTAAAGTAAAGAATTTTTTTAAAAAATGTCTACTAGTAATTGATGAAATTATAAAAGTGTTCTAAAAAAAAAATTCTAAAATATAAAGTTTCAATCAAGACAAATAATAATAATAATAATAAATAAATAACCTCAATAAAACAAATTGAAGAATATAAGGACTCAATTAATCGTAGACCTTGTAGGTTATCTATAGCTTTAACTTAATGATCTTATTAGTTAGATGATGGTCTTCGCATTTATGGGTAAATCCATCTCCATCTCCATCTCACTCATGAAATGACATTAATTTCTCCAAATTGATTACCAAGGCACGAAATTAATTACCATTGCATCTCAAATACGTACTGCCAGCCAGCGGCCACCATAAATGCAACTACTCTATTTCTATTTTAGGATGGTTGGTTCCACACGAATTACAATCTAGTGAAGCCCAATGCGATCTTCTACCAACTAAACCAAAAGTGCAAGAATTGAATTCACTCAAAATCCATAACCTGGCTTTGTCCAATTTTTTGGCAAAGAAATTACGCATGGATCGTTCTCTTCTTGACTTGGTCATTACTTGCATGCATGAAACCAAACGTTAATTAATAAAAAAAGAGAGAGGTTAAGTTAGGGTTTCAATGTCTGATTATGTCATGGATGGATGGAACTGGCGCGTTATGATTGTTTGAATATTCACAGAACATATGTGATCTCCAAGCTAACAATTGACTACATGTCATGCTCTGTCTAACCCCAACCTTTTCGTGATCATTTTATGATGTTGGCATTTGAGGCTCTACTTGCCATGGGAGCTTGCTAGATTATAGGATGTTATGATAAACAGTAAAAATAAAATAAATAATAATAGATAATAATTAAAAGATAAAGCTAAATAAATTATCAACACATACAAAATTTACGTGATTCTATAAATTAATTATTTCACAGACGAAAAGAGAATTTTATTCACTTGATAGTAAGAGAATATACAAACGCTAAAGGTCCGATACAAAGCTTTTATGTTTCATTCTATTTTCTAAATAACTATATAAAGCTAAATATTATTGCCTCAAAGCCACACGCAACACAGGGCTCGAAAATTATTCTGCATGACTCATAGGTTTTTTTTTACTCTCTTTCCAATTAATTTTAATAGCTTACTTTTAAGTTATTGTGATATAAATTGTCATCTTAGAGAACCCAACAAGGAACGTTTGCCCAAAAAAATAAAAAAATAAAAACAAAAAAGGTCGCGTAGCAGCAACATCATCGTAGCAGCATGGTAATTCACATTTTTTTACAGCAGTATTTCTCGAGAAAGTAAAAAAAAAAATTAAACTCACTGTAGTTTGCCCTACCGCTGAACTGTAAAGTAAACCGCGGCCGCCGGACTGCTACTTACGTTTTATTTGGCAGCCTTCCTGTATTATAATTATTTTTTAAAAAACTTTTTACATAGATTAAAAAATTATTATTTTATATTAGTATTTAAAAAATAATCTTATTTCTTAAAATTATATTGAAATTGTTTTATAAAATAAATTTTAACTGAATATTTTTTAATAAAATACATCACTCAAAATTTTGATGAAATAATAATTTTGAAATAAATATAACTAGAAAGGTGGAAAACCGTTTCGACAAAATAAAACATGACTATTTTCTTCATGTCTTAGAATGCAAAAGGGACTGTAATTTTTTTTTATTTTTTATAAAAATATATTCTGAGATGTGAAAGAGCAAGAGGAATTTGATCTTTGATATAAAAAAATATGTTTTGAAAATTTCCTAACTATTTAAAACAATCCAAAATGATTGGACCTCTAAATCCCGATCCTCTTGAGTTGGTGAGTCTGCCTGCCTAGACCATTTTTGGTAAACACAATAAACTAAAACTGAAAAAAAAAAAAAAAAAAAGGAAAGCAAAGACATGAATGAATATTTTCCCAAACCATAAAAAAGAAAAAAATGTTTCAAGATTTGGCCATCAGAAAAAGAAAAAGAAACAAAAAGGATTAAGACAAACATTAACAATAAACAGTGATTAATTGATTAAGACAACAGTTTTTTTCCACCTCTTATACACGCATCACACTTTACCATGTAGTCGGAAGAAGAAGAAGAAGAAGATAGACCAGACCAGACTAAACCAAACCAAGCCAAACCCCCTTTACCCATTAAAGAAGGAAAAAACAGTGAGTAGAGATCAAGAGGAGTGCTGTGCTGTGCTGTGTCTTTTCTTAAATGGACAGCAGGTGACCCTTAAGCAACCTCTTTCTCTTTCTCTCTCTTTGTCTCTGGGCGATCCATTTCCCTAACATAAAACCTCCAAACCCCAAAACACGGCATGCAAAAGAAATACTTTTTATTTTATTTATTAGCTCTATAATTTTTTTTTTCTAAGAAAGAACGAAGTGATGTGCTGCTGTGCTGCCTGAGAATTGAGAAAGACAGTAGTGCCTGAAAACGTGGCGATTCTTACACGTTAGTCCTTTCTATTCTCTCTCGAAACCTCTCATTTTCCCTCTGATTCTCTCTCTGTTGCACTGCTTTTTCTGATGTTTCATTTTCTTCAGAATCAGGCCCCAAAATATTGTTTGATTTCTGCAAGATTGCATCTTCTTGAGTATTATTAGTTCTCATCCTTGATCATTATTTGTTAATATTACCAGCTTCAGTAGCTGCTTCCTCTCACCGATTTTACCTCTCTTTTATTTCAAGGTATGCCATCTTTTCTTCTTTCTCCATTTAATCAATACAAGTTTAGCTATACTGCTGCTACATCCTCTGTTTTTTCTTCCTTTTCATTTCTTGAAATATTGAAACTTTCTTATAAAAGTAAGTTAATGAAAATGGAAATTTGTGTTTGCTTATTATAGATAACATTTCAAGCGGAACTTTTCTTCTTGTTTGTTGATTTTTTATCTGTTTATGAGATCTGGAATTTAGTTTTTTTTTTTTTTTTTTCGTTGGATTATCTGCATTGATAGATTTTTTGAGGCATGAATGTCGAAAGAGACTGCTTTGTCGCTGAAACTAGATTCCTTTGCTTAAAAAAAGAAAAAAGAAAAAAAAAACCTTTTGACTGAAGTTTATTCGGTTCATTTTCTTAATGGGAAAATTTATTTAATCAGTTTTCTTGGGGGATTAATTAGAGTTTTAAGAATCTGTAATTCATTTACTCTATATTAACATTAATATCAAGTTGATTCATAAAAACTTAAGCTGCCTATCTTTGCATTAAACTATCATGACAGGTATGCCCCTAGACGAGCTAATTAAGAAGCCAGTATTAATTTTCTTTCTGGTTTTTTTGAGATGTCAATTCAAATTTGTTCTTCTCAATCTTTCAACTTCTATTGAGTTTACTGTGAAAGAGGCTAATATACATGGAAAATGAGGATTTAGACTGTGTCAGATATCATGATGAAATAGAGAGTTAAGAATAAATAGATTTTTTAAATTGAGAACCGGTCGAGAGAAAGGGGGATTCTGGGGATTTTTCTTAATCAAGAAATAGAGCTAAAACAACTCGCAAATTTGGTTGTTAAATTTTGTTCAAGCTTAGAACTTTATCTTATGCCAAAGTGAAATTGGAACCTTAGTAAATATTTCTTTCAAGTGCAACCAATTGTTGTAACATTTGATCAGGGTTCTTCTTGTATCTGTCTCAGTTTTTTTGTGCATTGGCTGCTGTTTGTTATGAGAACCTCGTAAAAGCTTTGGCTGTCTATGATGTCATTCAGATCATGGAAATTGCTAAAAAGGAACACCTCCTTTGATGGGGTATGGCAAATCATATTTAATTTGCTTCTCAGTCTTGGGGGCAGCTAAGCAGATGGAGTTTTTACAAAATCTGCCTTCGTTCTGGTAGTCATCAAAGATTAATTGTGTTGCCTTGATGTAGGTAAAATCCGGATTAAGGATGAAGCAGCTGCCTTTTATGGGAATTTTGTGTACAGCAATGTTGTTCATTGTGTATAGGACTACAATATATCAGTATCAACATACAGAGGTATGGAAACCCCATCAACTCTCTACATATTTGAACTTTTATGTACCAATCAGGGAGCCAAAATGTCCTATTAATTCTCTTCTGTTGAATAATTCGAGGATTTTTTTTTCTTGTTCATGGAGGTGTTAATTCCAATATCTATGTTGTAGACGATATCTGATTACAGTGATTCTTCGATCTGAAAGAAATGTAACTTAGTATGGTCCAGAATCTTAATAACTTTACTTCTAGTGTCGCTTGCTGATCCATCTACAGCTTTTCTGTTGTTGAATTTACCCTAGGTACAAACTAAGCTGCATTTTCGTATTGAAAATAAGTTCAGCTCTAGCTCTCTGTTCTCAATATTGCTGCTTCTGTTTAACTTTTTACCCTTTTATCTCACATCCTGGTGAAAATTTTTCTGACTAGTTTTTCTCCACCATTTTCAGATGGAAGAAAAATGGTACCCCTTTGACACATTGAAGGTAATTTTAGAACCACCAATTAAAATTCCAAAAGTATTGTTTTATGCTTTGGATGATAGTTCTATGAGTTCATCATCATCTGAAGATGCTTTTGGTGCTTTGATGTAGGAATCGGCTTTGGCATCTGGGCTGCTGGGTGGTTTGCCTCGTGGTATTATACGAGCTAGCTCAGATTTGGAGATGAAGCCTCTATGGTCAACAAGTAGTTCAAGGTCAAAGGTTGGTTTTTTATCCTTTTGTATTGTGCCATCAATTCAAGTTTGTTTCTGAATAGTGTTCTCGTCTCTGACCATATAATAGTGGTCGATTCTAGTGCTAGAACAATATTCGTCATGTATTCAGTGTTGTTCTTGACATATTGTGGAAATCAAATGCAGGTTGATCCTTCTACCCGTCGTTACTTGCTGGCAATTCCGGTTGGCATCAAGCAAAAGGATAATGTTGATCAGATTGTCCGAAAAGTATTGCACATTTCTTGTCTAATGTTTTTGTTTCATCAACTGAACATTTCTTGCCTAATATCATTGAATTCAGTTTCTTCCAGAGAATTTTACAGTTGCTCTATTTCATTATGATGGCCACGTGGATGGGTGGTGGGATCTTGACTGGTGCAATGAAGCCGTTCACATAGTTGCTAAGAACCAAACAAAGTGGTAAGGTCAATCTTGATCCTTTTTTTTTATGTTATTTTTTACAACAAATTTTGTTTGTGTGGTTGAAACGTATGATTGATATTGCTGTAGCAAATGATGTAAAATCATTTAGCTTCAAAGTTCAGAGGGAGGCAGGATTTCATGGGTTAAACTCATAATATCTTCTCAGCAAGACAAGAACTTGATAGGTTATGTGAGCATGAATATTTTCAAAGGTTTTGTCTGAGGCTCTGAGCAGCTAATTCGTTTTTCCTCATGCTTCAGACTAGCTGACTGCTGTGAGAAAAATAAAATCCACAAACACCTATAAATATGGTCATGGAAATTGGACTGCCTAAAAGGTGGCTGGAAACTTAGTCTTTAGGTGAAATGCTCTGATAATCTTACTGGATCTGTAATCTGCCACTCAGATCTCCAAGGGGACTTATCAAATGATGCTCCAACTGCTGCCATTCTTCAAACTTACCTTTTATCCTTTGGTTTTTCTGTACAATTTTATTTAACTTGTCATACTGTTAACAGTATTAACACCTTTTAATTTAGAAAAACTCTCTTTGTTTGCTTTTCAGGTGGTTTGCAAAACGCTTTCTGCATCCAGCTGTTGTGTCTGCTTATGATTATATATTTCTATGGGATGAAGATTTGGGGGTAAAGAATTTCAATCCAGGAAGGTAAGTTTGTCGGACATTTTTCTCTTTTGCATGTTCGGGTTGCCTGTCTTTGGTAATGGATTGTCACTATATTTGTCTTCCGTCTGTACACATAATGTTTGGGTTTTATTTTTTATTTTATTTTATGGGTGGGTGGGTTAGTGATCATCTACTCCAATTTCCAAAAATTGTTTGGCCTGTTACTCATCTTCATTTCCATTTTTCGTATTTTACCAGTCATTTATAGACATACATCAATCCATGATGTCTTTCATTTAGTCATGTCATTGGGAGTGCTAACATCTGCAATTTCTCCTGCTCTTCAAACTCCTGCCAGAACAGGATTCTCTTTTGCTAAGGCTGTTTAGATTACTAGTGCTTAGTTTTCTTGGTGAACCATCTTAGCATTATCATTTCTAGGACAATTTGGAATTAAGAATGCATGAGAGAGATAGCAAGGACTGGCAGAGTTTACCCATTCCATACTCTTAGTTGACTTGAAGAAGTTCTTTTATGAGAACAAAGTGTGACTTATGAGTAGGCACATATTCTGTCTAATAAAAACATGATTGATTTATGATTTTTGTATTTTTTTTTTTCAATTTTCTGTCTAGATACCTGAAAATTGTGAGATTTGAAGGACTGGAGATATCTCAGCCAGCTTTAGACCCAAATTCGACTGACATACATCATAGAATTACTATTCGTGCCAGAATGAAGAAGTTTCACAGGTGAATGGCATGGCCTTTACTAACTTGATTAAAATCTCTCTCTTATGGACTGTAGTACTTACATAAAATAATTTACCATGAGCAGAAGAGTTTATGACAGCAGAGGCAGTACCAAATGTTCTGACGTCAGTGAGGGGCCTCCATGCACTGGGTAAGTAAATGCACTGCTAAACTTGTGATATATCTTGTCTTCTGAATTTTATAATATGGTGCAATGCTATCTTTTTTACTTCTAATTTTCAGTTAATTCCTTATTAGTGGCCCACTTGTAGTATTTATTTTCCTTTCCATCTGCTATCAGGCTGCTAAGGAATTGACCTATGTTAAAAGCAATGAGCAATGCTATCCCTAAAAATTTCTTTATTATTTTTTGAAAAAAATGACTAATCTAATAGTCTATGTCAAATAGAAGACGTTCTGTTTAGTGACAATTTAAGCTGCGCCTTGAGCTCATCTTTGTCATGCAACTTCAATACTTGTGACGATACCCATTGAAGGATATACTGTATTGTTCTTGTAAGGATTCTAGCAATAGTAATTTAGTTTATGTCACATCTGTAGATTTGTGGAAGGTATGGCTCCAGTATTTTCAAGATCTGCTTGGTACTGTGCTTGGCATCTTATACAGGTAACTAAATTTTGATTCTTCTTGTATAAAGAGGTCCTCTAGGTAACAATATTGGCAAGCTTGTGAACCCCTATGGACTTACTATTTGATGGTCTTATTCTAAGCAGGTTTTCTTGTGTGTAAAATTTAGTTGAGAAGCATTTAGCATTTAGGCGTTTGTTTTGAAGATGTATGAATTGTTGATAAATATGACAGATATACGGTTGTACCTAGGATGAAAGAAAATATAACATATACTTTGAGCTCTCTTAGGAAAATGTTCTCCTTTTGAGATCTGGAAAACAAATTTCTCCACTTAAAGCATGCTATTTAGTTTGACTACAAAATAAATTCCTTTGACTGGTTTTTCAAGCCCCACTGGAGACGAATCTCTGTAAAATATTTTCGAAGATAACACTTTTGTGCAAACAATTGGTGCATTAGACATAACTTGCTTTTGTAAGGTAGAAGATATGGGCATATGGTTAATTTCTACTCCACTATAGCACGATTGCAAATCAAGTGCTTTTGGCTTCTGGTTGATTAACTCATCATGAAACTTCTTTTCTTTTTGTTCAGAATGATCTAGTCCATGGATGGGGAATGGACATAAAACTTGGATACTGTGCGCAGGTAAGTTTTACTTGATATTTCTGGGACTAGGTGTAGTTTCTCTTACTGTTTAATTCCCTCCACCTCAACTCGTTGACTGAAGGTTTTCTTTTGCATTATTAATGTACTCGTTGCTTTGTAACCTTTTTGCTATTAATAGCTGCTTGGTATAAGATTATTTTAGGCTCAATGCTGTGACCTGAAGCTATTTTGAGAACTAAAATAAGACTAGGAAAGGTTCAATAGCAATCAAATATTGGTGGTTGTAGGAAGCAGCTTAAAAATAGTGAGTAGATGCGGAAGATGCAAGAAAGTTTCACAAAGAGCCACGAGTTATGAGTGGTTTTGGAGGAAGAGTTTTATGGTTATTGAAAATCATTAGTGCTCCAAAAATCCTCTTGCCATGCCCTCATCGTAAACCCACTCGTAACGACCATTGCCCAGTGATGCTAGAATTGAAAAGTTGATCTTTTTTCCTTTTCTGCTTCCTAAGGACTTGGCACCTTTTCACCACTAGAAAATTACTTTATGTTAGTTAGGAATTGAGAGGGGATGCAGATAATAAATGTTATGGTAATCCATAAATTTGGACGTTTAAACTATTTGATTAATATTTGTAAGCTCATTATTTCACTAAGATAATTTACTTGTCCGTTCTTATAATAACACACACACACACCCACACACACACACACGTATGACGAAAAGAGGTCTCCTCGGATCAGGGCCAGCTTGGTCCTCAGTGAGAGTAGGTTCCTTCTCCAAATGATCTTAAGGACACGCCCTCACATCGGTCTGGTACTTTTGGGAGAATAGATTCTTTTGGGTGCTAGGCCCAAGGTTTGATATAAAGATTCAAGAAAGGGAACAACCTTCTTTAACATTACCTTGGGGTTTTGTTTAGAGTAACTATTGACCACTGTTGGTCTCATTAGAAGTATAAAACAATACCTCTATTTTTGTGTCTTTGATGCTTGATGACTCTTATTTTATCTGTTTCTTTATTTTCTTCTCCATAGACAGTAGTTAACATAGAAAGAATATTATAATAGCCTTGATAAATGTGACCTTGTACAGGGAGATCGCACGAAGAAGGTGGGAGTTGTCGATAGTGAATATATTGTTCATAAGGGCATACAAACTTTGGGTGGGGGTGGACCTCCAGGAAGAAAGGTCAGCCATTTCTCCTTTTTCTCTTAAGAGGAGGGGGGAACCACTGTTTATAGTTATTTCTTATTTGGTGATTTTTCTCCAAGTGCATAGAAATTATCTATTATTAATATCTTTCATCCCTCTCTTCAGGCATCAAATACGGAGGAGTTGACTAAGGTAACCTGCCCTTTGTATAGTAGATGATTTTTCCTTTGACACTATTTTGAAGCTATTATTATTTATTCTTAAAGTTTCACCTTCTCCTGTGTGGTTTATTTTCTCCTTCTGACGTACAGAGACATAGTGCTGGATCTGTGGATCCTAGAATGGAGGTGAGATTATTGATCCTCTAGGCTACCATCAACCCTACTTTGAGCATTATATATACTACTATTCTACTGGACATGAAATGCCCGCAATCAGCAGAAGAGCTGCCTAGTAGTTTAGGATGATTGCTACCTTGATTATTTACATGTTTTCTCTAAGATATGCAGTTTGGCTGCTTCCAATTTTGTTGAGATCTACAACTTATAACTGATTAATAAGGACTGACTAGGTAGTAGGTTCCAATATCCTAAATTGGCACTTCTTGACTTTGAAATGGGTGATATTGGCTTTGATATCACTTGTATCCTGGAGTTGATACACATGTATCATGACATTGATAACTCTATTATACTGCTGTTTTCTCTATGTAAAATGAACTACTTTGAGATACTACATACCCTGAAGGGCTTAAGTTTGTTACTTTGCAACCATGTTATCATTCAGCGATTTGATAAACTTTGCGGTTTCTTTTTTAATGGACTGATCAGATTAGAAGGCAATCAACATGGGAGCTTCAAATATTTAAGGATCGCTGGAATCAAGCAGTAAAGGAGGACAAAAATTGGGTTGATCCTTTTCTAAGATACCGAAAACGCAAACAACTAAGGCGGCGGCACGGCCACTGATATAGTCTTCATCACACACATGCGGTCTTCTCAATACCTGTAATTTAGTCCTTCTAGGATACTCATAATTTATTCATTATTTGGACAATTCACAGTTTTGTTCTTAAAATTCGGATTCTGTTACTTATCTAGTTCTAGCTGATTTTCTCAGTGGTTGATTGAAGGCACCTTTGTGTATTTACCTATATAGATAAACAATGAGTTATTTTGGGGAGAAATTTAAGGTCTGCCATAGCATTATTAGGCAGCTTGAATGCGAAATAATCGGATTTGTCACTGGCTTGATAATCCCATCTTGCTTGCTTAAACTAGATCTCGTTACCTGTTTGGTTTATTACAGCTCAATTGTAAGGAAAAATAAAAAGTAGACAGCCTCGCCATTTCCCATAAATGGTTAATGGTGTAAACTCCATTATTAGGCATCCTGAAAAGAATGATAATGACATGGTTCAAAGGCTACTTGTAAATTCCGTTGTTCTTTGATCTTCCAAATCTTTGGCAAAGTGGAGCATTGACAATAGGATAATGTGTCCTGCAAAACCAGTGGGGTCAGTGTCTTGGGTACATTCTGTTCTTTTGTGGGGTAGATTGATTCAAACGAGGAGAGCACTTCAACTTCAGCAATATTTTATCCATCACCTGTCAGAATAATGTAGTGTGGTTAGGTTGATTCTTCCGAAAACGAAAATATTTTTTTGAAAAGAATTGATTCTTCTGAAAACGAAAATATTTTTTTTTTGAAAAGAAGCAATCATTCGAAAGATGTGTAGTGATATTTAATTTATAAACCTTTCAGCCGCAACACGTTGAAGGAAACTTTGTGAACATGGTTAGGGATGGCAACGGGGCGGGACGGGGATCGCCATCCTCATCCTCGCCCTGTCTCTAAAAAAACAAAAACTCTATTCTCACCTCATGTTTCATTCGAGATGAAATTTTGCTCTTCATTTCTGTCCTAAATGGGGTGGGGTGGGGCAAGGATGGCCATCCCCATCCTCGTCTCACCCTGTCCTGTTTAAAAAAATAAATCTCTCCTCATCCCGTGTCCCATTTAGAGCAAAATTTCACGCCTCATATATGCTCCAAACAGGATGGGGTGGGATGGGACGATGTTGGGATGGGTTGGATTGCCATCCCTAGTCATGTTATGGTCACTGGAGTACATAACTATGCATTTTAAAATCATGAATCATGTCAAGGGAAATAATCAGCACAAGTTGGCTACGGATCATTGAAATATATTAGAGAACTAAGCGGAAACCAGTAATGATATTATTTATTTAAAAAATTTAATAATGGTATTAATAATTTTGATCAAAAATAATTTTTAAAATAAATATTAATCTTTATCAACGTAATCCAACATTACTAGAGATGCTTCTGTTACGCAACTTCAAAATCAGGCTCTAAAATATTTTTGCTTTTACATGGCGTAGTGGGAGGACTATTTGTAGTCTAGTTTTCTCGTTAGTATGTTAATGTGCCGGTCCTGCACTGCCCTTCGCAACTCATGAGACATATATATATATATTGAAATTAAGTCTATTATTTTTAGATTAAATCAACATAAGAGTTAAGACTTTTTGAATTCATCAAAAATACATATTTAATATCACTTAAAAAAACAAAAAGTTTTTCAAATACTGTTATGATTTAGAAGGATTTTTTTTTTATCACTTCACCTACATATTTGATGAGCTCTAGCCTTGTGAAGTGTTATTGTTAATAGACACTGTTACAGATGGATTGTTTGCAATAGAACAAAAGATTTGCATGTGTCGTTAGAGATGGCAATAGGGCGGGGATCGCCCCGTCCCTAAAAAAAAACTCATCTTTGTCTCATGCTTGTTCGGGGTGAAATTTCACTTCCCATTTGGGGCAGGGAACCTCACCCAAAAAAAAAAAAAAAACCCATCTCTACCCCGTGTTTCGTTCGTGGTAAAATTTCATACCTTATCACTACCTCAAACGAGACGGGCGGCTTCGGGACGGGTTGTATTGTCATCCCTATGTGATTAGATTTTAGATTTGTCGAAGGATGGCACGGTTATTTAAAATTTAAGGGAAATGGAAGTGTGGAGAAATAATGTCCATATACTAGTTCAAACATGTAGTTCAAAGTTGACTGACTTGTTCAAACGAAGCAAAATTCTGTCCTGTCATTCCCTTTTTCTTCCTTTTCAAAGCGTGTATGATAGGCTCTTTCGTATCACATGCCGTTCAACTTTTCTTCTCTTATATAAGCATTTTCCTTTCTCAATTTCTTTAATCTATACTTTCTTCTCTTCTAATATCATAGATTTTGAAGCTTCCACGGTCCATATAGTACTCAAGATTTCTCCGAAGCCAAAACCTCTCCTCATGACAATAGCTCCTTACTATAGCTGTCTACTCTTTAATAAGGTAAAGCCCTTTGCAGACGAGATAGATGACCATTTACAAAAGTTGCAGAATCTTGCAACTGTGACATTTATAGGATTGGTTCTCTGTCTTATTTGGAATACTGGATCCGTTGCATTTTTGTGGATGCTTGGTGGGGTAGAAACAAAAATTTTGTTCCTTGCAATGGCCTACCTAGTCTGTGGACTTCCAGCAGCGAACTGGTTATGGTATCGTCCACTTTGTCAAGCTTTGAAGACAGAAAATACTTCCAGGCTTCGTTATTTTTTCCACATCTATCAGTTTCACATTTCCTTCTGCATTTTTGCTGCAATTTCTCCTCCTGTAATAGGCGTTAATGGAAGATCCCTCACGGGCATTCTGAGTGCATTGGACATTTCTGGTGATTATGGAGTGCTGGGGTACTTATACTTGGTCGGTTCCGGTTGGTTCAGTCTTGAATCAATTCTCAGCATCTGCGTTATGCAGATAACATACACGATTTGCCGTCGCAGTGATATAAATCTGGAGTCAACTCTGGAGATGTTTTAATTGTTCCGTCTGTGTTCATTTATCATCCCATATGATTCTATTAGGTTTTTCTTTTTCTTTTTTCCCCTCAAGTTTTAAGAGGATGTTTAATCATTGTACAGTGAGTAGATATCAGTACAAGTATGTTACACCATCATCACCAAAAATAAAAACTTTTTGAGAGGGATTGACTTTCATATTAAAATTAAAATTAATTGGTTTTATGTGATTTAAGAAAATATAAATAATATATGAAAATTATATCAATTTTATTAAGTAATTTTTTTGGACAAAATCGATAGACGATATTTCATTAATAAATAAATATTAGTACATAATAGCAATAAATACATAAATTATAATAATTCTTTAAAATTATGTTTATAGTTGGGGAAGAGAAGGACGAAAACATAAAGCTCTAAATTTATTCAAATTTCAAATAAAATTTGATAAGAAGGGAGGTATCACACTGTTACTAGAGATTGCAACACACGATGTCCGGCTTATTAATTTAATTTTTTTACTATATTTATTAAAAAAAGACCATATTCATTAAGTATTTATTAACAAATTACTATATAATCTTTAATTGGCTTATACTCTTTTCACATTTAGTTTACCCCTTCGTTTAGTACTTATTTAATATCCTGCTAAAAATAGGTTATCAAAATATTTCATTTTAGTTTATATAATTTTTTAAGAAAGTTTTTTATCCTTAAAATTAATTTTTTTACAGTTAGGTCCTTTATTTTTAAGTTTTTTATCCTCATTTTTTTTAAAAAAATATTTTGATCTTTAATTTTTAAAACTTATGCAATTAGATACCTAATTTAAAAAAAATCAAATTAAATTAATGAGTATTATTAGAATATAAAGTGAGTATCTATATCTTAAAACTACATTAATGGATATATTTTTTTTATCATGATATTTATTGAATATTTTTAATTGATATTTATTGAGTCGGATAGGCAAATAATTTAATATTACATCCACATGTTTATCCAACTACATGTCAAAAGAACTTATTTCCAACTCAAAAGGTAAAACTTTTTGAGAAGGTTGACATTCACATTATTAAACAAGCAGAAAATTGTACTTTGTTATGTGAAATGCATATTGTTCTCAACAATTTATCCAAAATTCTTGGCAATATTCAAGGGCTAAATGTGTAATTGGATGAAAGCGCATCTAGACAAGTATAGAACGAAAGAATTAAGTGTATAGATAAAATATAAGAAAAACTCGGGAACCAAATTGAAATTCTGTAAAATATTAAAGAATATCAATAATATTCAATAAAACCCTTATGCAATTGGTATAACGGATTATATTAAATATTAAAGAATACCAATTTGAATATTACTTTCGCATAATACTAATGAATAAGTCGATTATATTATTGTATTTTAGTGAATTTTTAATCTATTTTTTCGATGATATATTTTAGCAAAACCACAATAAATATCATGTGGTTTGTACATAATAAA